ACCCACTTACTTCCCAGCTCCACCCTCCACCAGGATAACCCTTCTCATCTACCAAGTCCCTTCAGAAAATATCTTCCATTGTCCAACCCATGATCTGATAGTTTGTATCTTAAGCGTTCTTGGCTTCTGTGATTCCAAAAATGCCGACTGTTGACATTTTCCTTTTGACCAGTGTCTCTTAAGTTTAGTTGTGCTGTTTCCAAGGGAAGGTGACATGTCCTGTAGAACTCCTGAGTGGATTATGTTTCCCTTTCTGCCGGAAATCCTGGGTACCTTTGAAAAACACCTCTTCGTCGCTTGTCTGATCTGGCTTCCTTGTGCCCGCTCTCAGCCTCCCTTCTGCCCAGGAGCACGCCGGAAATCCTGGGTACCTTTGAAAAATGCCTCTTCGTCGCTTGTCTGATCTGGCTTCCTTGTGCCCGCTCTCAGCCTCCCTTCCGCCCAGGAGCCCGCCGGAAATACATACATACATACAGGAGAGCTCTGGAGGCCCAATGGTAAGAATCTGCATTGTGATCCCAAGGTAACTTGCATGTACAAAACACAACCATGATAGGATAAGATTGATGAATGTGACCTGCTAAAGATTAAATCCCTGTGTGCACCAAACCCTTTTTCCAACAGAGTAAAAAGAAAGCCTACTGACTGGGAAAACACATTTGGCAATAGTTTCTCAGACAAAGGTCTCACAACAAAAGTTCACAGAATACTATAAGGCCTCCACAAGAAAAAGACTGGTAACAAAATGAGCAAGATAGAATACTATAAGGCCTCCACAAGAAAAAGACTAATAACAAAATGAGCAAGAGACATGGAAAGACTTTTCACAGAGGAAGACTTTCAGATGGCCAACAGACACATGAAGAAATGCTCAAAGTCATTGGCAATAAGAAAGAGGCAAATCAAAACCACAATGAGATACCATATCACCCCAGCAGCAGTGGCAAATTTTAACAGGAGAGCAAGTAATAAATGTTGGAGAGGATGTGGACAGATAGGAACTCTCACTGTTGGTGGGATTGTAAAATGGTACAACCACTCTGGAAGGCAGTTTGACATTTCCTCGAAAAGCTAACATGTAAACTCTGTATGACTCAGCTATTCCACTACTAGGAATATACTCTTAGAAAATTAGGACTGAAACACAAATGGAGATTTGTGCACCAATGTTCATAGCAGCTTTATTCACTGTTGCAAGAACATGGAAACAGCCCAGACGTCCAATCAGAACCGAAAGGATTGAGAAATTGTGGTACAGTCAAACAGTGGAATACTTCACATGCGCAGCACGCAGAAGCAACAATTTTAAAAATTATTAAGTAACTTGGGAAGGACTAGAGAATATCATGTGAACTAACTTAATCTAATAAGGACAAATACTGTGTAAAACCATTATTGTAAAAATAGAACAATAACTAGTAAAACATTTATGAGGATCCAAGGTGGGGAGAGTGTTGGCAGAAGGGTGAGGATGGGCGGGGGGGAAACCATAGAGTTGCACAATTTGGTGAGTGGATGGGGGTGGGTAAAGAAAATGGAATGGCATAGTTCAATGATAATTAATTTTATAAAATATAATGAATGAGATATATATGTTTCCCATTCATTATGGATGATAGAAAGAGAATTGATGCCTTTGAGCTGTGGTGCTGGAGAAGAGTGTTGAATATACCATGGACTGCTAGGAGAACAAGTTTGTGCTGGAAAAGGTGAAGCCGGAATGCTCTTTGGAGTCAAGGATTCTGAAGCTTCGTCTGACATACTTTGGGCATGTTGCAAGGACAGACTGGTCCTTGGAGAGGGACATCATGTTTGGCAGAGTGGAGGGACGGCGCAGGAGAGGAAGACCCTCGATGAGATGGATTGATTCTGTGATTGGGGTGGTGGGAATGAGTGTGTTTGACAAGGTGAGGTTGACACAGGATAGACCGGCATTCAGGGCTCTTGTATATAGGGTTGGTATGAGTCCCAAGCGACTCGATGGCACATAACAACAATAATGAATGGGAATGATTGTATGAAACACAATGTGATTGAAGGATAGTTTAAAACACAATGCATATGAATTTTGTAAGCAAGCCAATATAAAATAAAAAATTTAAAACCCCCCACTATATATTTATCAGTACTCTTGGTACCAGAAGTCAAGAAATCAAAAGATGAATTTCATTGGGAAATTCTGCTATCAGGGACCTCTCCAGAGTCACAGTGTCAGCCTGGAGACTAAGGTGCACCTGATCTAGACCAAGGTCTTCACTATTATGTGCTAAGCATCAGAAAGCTGGACAATGACTAGGGATGATAGAAGGAGGTTAATGACTTTGAGCTGTGGTGCTGAAGAAAAGTTATTGAGTATATGCTGGACTGCTAAGAGAACAGATTCATCCCACAGAGGGTAAAATCAGGCTGTTCCTTGGAAGCAAGAATTCTGATGCTCCATTTGATACTTTAGGGATGTTACAAGGAGAGACCAGTCCTTGGAGAGAGACGTTATGCTTGGAAATGTGGAGGGATAGCACAGGAGGGAAAAACTCTCTATGAGATGGATTGATTCAGGGACTGGGGTAATGGAGGAGGTAGATGTGTCAGAGACAATAATGTTGGCTCAGGATAGAGCAGGGTTCAGAACTGCTGTACATAGCGTCGCAGAGATTTTACAGCATATAATAACACATCATATGCAAAGTACTAAATTTTTAAAAAATGATTTATATATAATTTATTTTTATATGTATAATTAAAAACATGATAGTAACATATCGCTTTTACTATGCACAGGAACTGATTTATATAAGAGAATAAGTTATCTCTTTTAATCCTGGCAACAACAACGTGAAACAGGCTCCATTCATATCCTTCTTACCAGACGGGGAAACCGAGGTACAAAGAGGCTAAGCAACTTGCCCAAGGCCTGGGATTCTGATGCAGAGTAGCCGGCTCCACGACCTTGCTCTAACTATTGTGTACTGTGCTATTTTAAAGGGATGTGCATCCTGACACCGCTGTGTTTTTGGTCAAGGACTTCCTCAGGCAGAGCCTCAGTTTGCCCTCTGGGGAATGGCAAGAATGATGGTGTCTTCACTACAGCGGAGGTGCAGAGAGGTCAGCTAGCTGCCTTCTCCTAGACTCTCGCCCACCTTTTCGCCGCGTGCACCCAGCGCACCAGTTCGCCGGCGGGGTGAGGGGTGGGGGCGGCCGGGGAGCGCGGCGGGCGGGGACCGACGGGGGCGTGGCCGGTCTGGTCCAATCGGGGGCGGGGCCTCTGTCTAGCTCTGCGCCGCACGCCAGTCCCGCTGCAGTTCCATCCATCTCGCGCGTGTTCCTCGCGTCCCCCAAGGTCTCCAACCCCAGCCTGCCCGGCCTGCGCGGCCTGCGGCCCCCTCCCCTGACCCCCAGACCTCAGCTTCGGCCCCTCGGACCTCGACGTCATGGGTGACGGAGGAGAGGGCGAGGACGAGGTCCAGTTCCTGAGGACGGTGCGTATCTCCGGGGTGGGGGGCCTTTAGGGGCTCTCTGAGTGTCTGTCCCTGGATGTTCTGGTCCTGCTTGATTGTGGCCTCTGAGACTCGGGGTCTCTTCTGTCACTTTGGGTACATGTCGTGCTGACTGCTGCTCTGTCTCTCAGTCATCTTTCTCGCCGCAGTGACAGGATTCGACGCTGCACAGCGGGGAGGGCTTTGGCTGTCCTCCTCTCTAATATTAGCGATTTGTCTGGGGAAAAGGAGAGCAGTGTTTTCACCCTCTCCCTCTATCCGGGAAGCAGGCACTTGGGGAGGGTGGTTCTAATTCCTCCGCTTAATTTAGCTTTCCTCCCTACTTTCGTAGCCCTGATTCTCTTTTTACCTTAGACTCTGACCTATTTAAATTCTTGGGAAGGGGCCTGAGGTGGGTTGGAGGACCTGACTCCTTTGAACACCTAATCTTTGAGGGTCCTGGAGAGTCCTCCAGTCTTCCTTTCTCCATTGGCTTTGGAATGGAGGTTCAAACATGTCTAGAAAGGGTTTCTGGGGTTCTCTAGGTCATGTCTCTCATCTCTCTCTTTGGCTTATCTCTGTCTATCTTTCCCCACCTTTGTAACTCTCTTTGTTCTTTGGCTTCAGGCCCTCTGTGTTTCTCTCTGTCTCTGACTCCCTCAGCATCTCTGATCCTTGGCTGGGGGCAGGGATGGGAGTTGGAACAACAGGTGTCCCTCCCAGAATAGACTGCTTTTCTGGGGCCTGGGCAGGGAATAGGGAGGGGACTCCAAGGGGAGGGGCTGCCCACCCTAGAGAATCTGTCCCTCCTTTCCTTCTCTGAGACTCTTTCCCCTGAGGTGGAGAATATGAGTATGGGGTGGGGACATGTCTGCTGACCCTGCACTGGCTGCGTCCCCCCATCCCAGGCCCAGACACCATGCAGGAAATGCTGACACAGCATTCCAGCCCCAGAATAGACCCTGGGGAGCCGGGTCTGATTTCTTAGGAGGGAGGAAAGAACAGCTGGAGGTGTTAGTGAGGAAAGGGGACAGCTGGCCATGAGGTCACAGGAGGAGGTCTAGCTTGAGCCCAGCCTCTCGGCCCAGGCCCAGCCTTGTGGTCTACACCGTAGATTGGACGCTCTTTCTCCACGGCCCTAATAAGATCATGGCCAGGGCCACCAGCCCCTGAGCATTCACTCTGCTCCAGGCCCTGTGCCCAGGGCCCTGGCCTCCTGAGGCATCTAATTATATCCTCTTTGCCCTCTCTACTGAGGTAGGACCCTATCTTTATCTCCCTAGGAGATCTGAGGGAAACTGAGGCCCGAATGGGGAAGTTACTCATCCAAGGTCAAAGCCAGGAGAGAGCTTCTATAGACACCACCTGGGACTCAAATCTCCCATTTTCGCAAGAGAAAATCTGGACTCAGACCTGTAGAGGTAGCCAATGTTGAGGTCCCTGTACCTTAACCCCAGCTGGTGCTGTGTGCCAGCAAAAACTCTCTTGAAGTTGTGCTGTAGTTTTTTTTCAAACTCTTCGGGCCATATCCCACCAGTGAGAAATCTCTTATATTGCAATCCAGTGCATGTACATACACACATACATTGTAAGAAATCAACTTTACCTATGCATAATTGGCATGCAATAAATAACATCTGGGGTTTTTATCTTTCTTTTTTATGGTTGTGATTTGAGTGAAAGTTTACAGAGAAAATTGGCATTCCACTCACTCACTCATGCACGCTTTTGCTTTATGACATTAATGACAAAATCTACACTGACCTGCACTCTTCGCACTTTCTCCCTGTGATTGTTGCCTCCTGTTCTACCCTTTCCTTTCTTCTGAGCCTTATCCATAACCAAAGTCAGCACTTCGATCATCCATAGTTGATGGTGCTAAGGAGTAAGTACTTACCTGGTGTTATTTTTTCCCCTTACAGGCCTGTCTGTTATTTGGTTAATCCTTGAATCACAGGGATGAGTTTTGTTCCAGGCTTGAAGAGAGGCTAAGGGCCATGGTCTAGGGGGTTCCACCAGTCTCTATTAGAACAGCAAGCTTGATTGTTTTTATAATTTTGAATTTTGTTCAACTTTTTGGTCTATTTCTTCTGGTCTAAGGGTTGTGCGTGTTGAGGTTCTTGTGTACCATTAGTTCTCTAGACAAATTGATTTTCTTTCTTTTTTTTTTCTTGTTGTGTATCATTGAGTCAGATCCGACTGGCACAGGAGGAGATTGCCCCTCCTTCTCCAGTGGACAATCTAGTGGATTCGAACCATGCGCCTTTGGGATTGCAGCACAGCTTCTTGCCACTAGGCCACCAGAGCTCCCTCATTAGTCCTCTAGACTAATTGAAACTGCAGCTGTTTGAAGTGTGAAAGTTGAGTTTAATTTTTACAAATTAAATCACAAATTAATGATGACCTATGTCACAATCAAGACACATAAATTTCATTTACTCCAGAAACCTCATCTACACTTTTTTGCAATAATCACTCTGGACACCTGCTGTTGTATATTCTGGTTTGCTGAGTGAGAACCCTCTCAAAGTATCTAACAACAGTTTCAATTTGTCTCACTTTGTTTTTCCCATGTGATTTAAGCTCCTATCTCTTGCTTCTTGGATTTGGTGTACTAATTTTTTATATTCATCCCTGCTGGAGCATGTATGTTGGAACACGAGTCTGTTACTCTTTACTGCTTAGTGGTATTCCTTAGAGTAACTTATCAGCCCTCCTGTTGATGGATGGACATTTGGGTTATTTCCTTTTTCCACCCCTCTTAGGAGCAAAAGCTCTTTGAAAACACTTTCCCCAGATCCTTATTTTTACTTGAAATTATTTTCATAAAATTAATCTCTGTTTGGCATCAACTAAGAACTGACTCTTAGCAGTCTGTTTTCAGAGGCTGTAGATCACACGGAAGGGAACTGCCCATTTTCCTCTTGCAGAGCCTCTAGTGGATTCAAACTGCCTGTCTTTGAGTTGACTGTGCGACTTGCTACCCATTAGTCCATCAGCGCAGGTAGCCCTCAAACAGGAGAGGCATGTGGTTGTTCACTGTCCTTGCTCTATTTTCAGTAGAGTGACAATGGCCCATCAAATGAGTGTTCTTTTCTGTTGATGGTGGCGAACTCCAGCCATGCCCACTCTGGGGATTTCCAAATTCCTAAGCATCTTGTATCCTGGAGGCTGGTTAATGGATGGAGTCCCTGCCAACTCCCTGCCATTCGAGCCACTGAATCAGGGTCTTAGGGAACAGACTAGAGGCAGGAAAGAAGCTGCTTTTAGAACAGATCCCTCCACAAAACCCATCATTCCAATGCTGGAAAAACATCAAGAAACAGTGATGTACTACTGGACCCTCTGGCTCTTGTTTGCATCCTGGCCTCGTCATTTATTTTCCTGCTTCTTCACTTGGCCAAGTGGTTTCCTTTTTTCTTAGTGTCAATTATGTTGAGGAAAATGAGGACAGAAATGCGCATGTAAGTACCTCTCTGGGCTCGTCTTCTCCTCCCTCCGTCTTGCTTCTGCAGCTTCGTGGTCCCCTGTGCCATGAGCCACAAGCCTCCCTCCATAACCACCAGGTTTTTTTGCACAGGCTGCCCCCTTTTCCCCAAATGTCTTCCACCTGTGATGAGGCCAAACTCTTTGCTGTTATCTGGACAAGTCTCAGCTCAAATGTCATCTCCTTGGAGAAGCTGTCACTTCACCTTCATGCTGATGTCATCCTCATCTCCAAAACCACCCTATTACATCACCTGGGCTTATTTTTTCCATCCCACATATCACTGGCATTCTGATTACATATTTATTCACTCTTTACTGCCCGTCTCCACCTCCAAGAATGTCAACTCCATGAGGGCAGGGATTTTTGTCTGCTTTGTTCATGCTCCATTTCTAGTGCCATGAACAATAATTGACATACAGTAGGTACTCAGTAAATAATGAATGGAAAGCCCCGGGCAGAAGGCTAGACAGACAGTAAGCACTTCATCAATACAAGCAGTATGGTTACAGTGAATACACAAGTGCTGGGCTGTCTGACTTGGAGGGTCACAGAACGGATCAATCCTGGAACCCTTGCCACCAAGTTGTGTTCCTGCCCTCCCCCATCGTTTCCCACAAGCCCGGATGGACAGACTGAGGGCTGTCCATGTGAATCGAAGCTCAGTGTCATAATGTGTTCATTCATGTGATGCACTTGCAAAGGCTGGAGGCTGTGTAACTTGTTCACTCTTCTATAAAATGGGATGGACCATTGCTTTGCTCAATAATGAAGAGCTAGGATTTTTCACTCCCTTCGTGAAAAATATTGAGCACACTCCATGTATACGTTTATACTATTGTACATGTGTGAGAGGGAGCTCTGGTGCCCTAAGTCCAAAGGGAGTTTTGTTACTAACTCTAAGGCGATTTAGATCCACCAGGGGCTCTGAAGGAGAAAGATGGGCAGTGTCCTCCTTTGTGATTTACAGCATCAGAAACCCAGTGGAGGGTTGATTCAGACTCAATATCTGTAAGTGGTTATATATGTAAAACGTTCAGGAGAAGGATGGGCAGTCTCCTCCCGTTCAATGAACTGCTTCTGAAAGCCCACTGGAGGGTCAGCTATGGCTTGGTTCCAACTCGACGATACACAATAGCAACAACAACAAATATATATGTATATTTAGTTCATTCATTGTTGCACATTTTCCTCCCTCAGTGAGTGCTTTTAAAATTTTATACTAGTTTACTTACAAAGTTTGTACACATTGTTTTTCACACCAGATCTTTCTCATTTCCTTCACACACACACACACACACACACATCAAATTGTGCTACCCTGTGATTAACCCTCCACCCCCACCCTCTGCGCCCACCCTGCCCCCCCTTGTATCCTCATACTCATTCGATAGTAATGGTCTTATGCAGTGTTTGTACTTCTACTCAGTGAGTGTTTTGAGATACATGTTAGAGAAGGGTTTCTGTGCTAATGTGCTAGAAGGTCATCCAGTGTCCTGAGTTACAGTGTGGGGTTCAAGTACAGCTGTGTGACCTTAGACAAGTCACTTTAGCTTTCTGGGCTTTCTTTCCTCATAGTCACACAACAGGACACCCCTCTGCCCAGGGGTTGTAGTGAGGGTTAAAGGAGTTACTAAAGTAGCTTAGAATAGAATGCTACTTCCTTAGAATTGTTGTTGTTAAGTGCCGTTGAGTCACAGGCGACTCATAGCAACCCTATGAAGGAGAGTCCTCGATGCTTAGGTGCCTTTCAGCCTCTCTCCAGGTTCATAGGGTTTCCAAAGGCAAGCTGTTATGGAAGTGGATGCCACTCCTCCTTCCAAGCTTGTTTTAATCGGGGAGCTCCACCCCACTCTCTGTCTGCATTGTGTAACCAGCCATTAACGCATTTGACACATCAGTGTCACAGTGTTCAGCCTCACAGCAACCATAAGTGACCGCTGTACGGCAACTTGTACATCATTCTTAGAATAGAATGCCATTAAAAAATGTCTTTTATTCCCTCTACGAGTCAACATTTACAGAAAAGTTGGAAGATTAATGCAAAGAACTGCCTTGTACCTTTCAGTCAGTCAAAATGTTAATACATGTCACATCTGCTTCATTATTTCACTATTATTTCTAGTGCTGCTATAACAGAAATACTACAGTGAACGACTTTAGTTAACAGAAATTTATTTTCTCATCATTTAGGAGGCTGGAAGTCTGAATTCAAGGTGCTGCCTTTAGAGAAAGGTTTTCTGTCTGTCTGCTAGCAACTGTTTTAATAATGAAAAGTTACTTGAATTTTTTAAGTTGTGATTTGAGTCAAAGTTTATAGAGTACATTGGTTTTCCATTTAGCTATTTGTACATATTTTGGTTTATAATATTGACCATAATCTCCACATTCCTTCCTCTTTCCTCTCAATGATTCTCATTTCCTTTCTCCCCTCTGAGATCTTTGTCTTTTTTCAGCTTATGTTCCTCAGTTCCTTGGTGATTTTCAAGTGACCTGTCATCTGTCATCCTTTTTCCTGCTAAGCTTCTCTACATCAAAAGGGATGGATTTAAGAACACATCCTACAGTATTACTGTCTCATTAATAAAACAGAAAAAAGTATTCCTAAATAGGATTATAGCCATAGGTACAGGGGTCAAGATTTACAACACATACTTTGAGGGACACAATGTAATCCATAATACTCTTTACTATTTCAGTTGTGTTTTCTAAAAGGTAAAGACAGTCTTATAAAACCAGAGCACTTAATATTAGAGAACTCTGGTGGCCTAGTGGGTAGGGAGTTGCACTGGTGCAGCTACGAAACAGCTCCAATTTGACAGCAATGAATAAGGTTAATATTGATATGCTATGATTCTCTCTACATTCAGGATCCAATGTAGGATCTTGTATTGCATACAGTTGTCATTAGAAAGCATCCCTTAATCAACCATACAAGATAAAATGGGCAGCATTTACTCATGGAAAAGAAATGGAAAAATCACAGGAAAAGAGTAGGAGAAGTGCTGTTACAATGTGGGGATTATAATCAATGTCATAAAACAAACTGTATGAATGCTTGAAAGGAAAACCAATCCATTATTTAAACTTTAAGTCAAATCACAACAAAAAGGTATTTTTGTTTTTTTTTTAATTCCTTAAATGCTAGCAATAATTAAAACAATACACACAAAAGGTAACTGAGAAAAGGGTGAGTTTTTAAAGCAATTCAATGTGAAGTGCAAATATATCTCACCCTCCAGTGGCTGGATCACCTTGTACACTCCACATGGAGTAAGCCAGACTCAGGTTCAAATCCCAGTTCCTCCTCTTACCATCTGTATGTCCCTTCCTGTACCTCAGTTTCCTCATTTTTCAAATGGTTCCTAACTCAGGGCTGGAGGAGACCCTATGACCAACGCAGGCCTTGGCTTGATAAATTGGAGTGCAAGGATGGACATTTTTAATAGCTGTCTTCTTAAAAGGAGCCATAGAGGTCCAGTGGTTAAGTACACAACTGCTAAATGAAAAGGTTGGAAGTTCGAACCCACTGGTTGCTCTGTGGGAGAAATTACCTGGCAATTTGCTCCTATGAAGAGTACAGCCTTGGAAATCCGATGGGCAATTCAATTCTGCCTGCAGTCACTGAGAAGCAGAACTGATGAAACGGTACACCACCAACAACGAGCTTCTCATAAAAGAGGGGTGTGTGGGCCATGGTATGGGGTCAGGCTAACCCCAGTCTTCGGTGTCCACCTACAGGACGATGAAGTGGTCCTGCAGTGCAGCGCCACGGTGCTCAAGGAGCAGCTCAAGCTGTGCCTGGCTGCGGAGGGCTTTGGTAACCGCCTCTGCTTCCTGGAGCCCACCAGCAATGCCCAGGTGGGTGCCTGTGGAAATGGGAGTGAGGCTAACGGGGAGGAGGGTCTTCGGCCCACAGAAGAGGGTAGCAGAGTGGGGCTGGGAGTTATGAAGGAAAGGAAGAAAGGGCCAAGGAGGCGGGCAAGACCGACGGGGGCAGGAGGGAACAAGATGGAGGTCTGAGAGCATTAGAAAGGCACTGAGGATGAGTTGGGGATAAGTGAAAGGGCAGAGGGTTGAGAAAGTAATAGTCTCTGAGCAGCAGGAGGTCTAGGGCCCAAGAGGGAGGGGACCCGGCTCATTTAAAAGAAAGATGAGGACACAGAAAATGGGCTAAAGAGACCTTGAAGTGTTATCGATCTAAGGAAGATAGTCTGAGAGCCTGAGGCTTGGCATTTAGGCTGAGGGCAGGTGGGGGACTTGGGACAGAGGACGTTGGATTCAAGATGAAGGGGCTTTGGACAGTCAAGAGGCCTTACTGGGGAGGATATTCGAGACTGAGAGGTAAAGGGATTATGAAGTTTGAGGGGAAACAAGTCAGAAGGTGAGGTGAACTCAGGGTTTAAGAGAGAGGAAGCCTGAGGGGGCAGGGCATGGGGCTAAGAAAGGAAGGGGAGGCTGGGGAGTCTGAGGGAATAGAGTTCTGGAGGGAGAAGAGTCTTGAGTCCAAGAGGAAGGTTGTGTAGTGTCTGAAGTGACTGGGATGAGAAGCTGAGGAGGCAGGCATTAGGTTGGACCCTTCTGTGGTTTTGAAGCAGTGTTAACACCTCTCTGAGGTGGGATGTGGGACTGTCAGGTGTTGAAGATGTAAGGTTGACCTTCCTTGCTTTGGGATCATAGAGACTTGGGGCTTCCTCAAGGGGGAAGACAGATCATGAGCTTCCAGTAGGTTGGAGCAAGTGTGTTTGAGGGAGGAGACACAGGGATGGGACCAGTGTAGAGTGTTAGAGGGAAGGCATAGGCCTGAAGCTTCCTATGGGGTTAGAAAGGGGTTTAGGATACTTGAGTGGGCAGAGCAATATGAGGCTCCTGTGAGGTTTGGGTGGGGTTTACGTGTCTGAAAGGAACATTGGTGGTGTAATAACTAAGCACTCAGTTTTTAAGTAAAAGATCAGTAGTTGGAATGAATGCACCAAGTGCTTTGAGGAGGAAGGGGCAGGCTGCTTCCCTAAGGTCCTGCCTTGGCAAGCCTGTGGGGTTGTTCCGCTCTGTCCGTTAGGGTCTCTATGCATTAGAATCCACCCAACATTGGTGGGCTTAGGTGTTTGAGGGAAGAGGCCGAAGAAGAGGTTTTAAAGGATGTTGCTTTGGATGTCTGATGGGGTGGCAGACAGGTCCAGGGGTCTACAAAGGTATGAGTGTCGAGACAATGGTTAGGCAGTGAGCCCAACATGATGCTCAGAAATCTTCAGGCTCCACTCACAAGTCTTCTCTCAACCCTAGAATGTCCCCCCTGACCTGGCCATCTGCTGCTTCGTGCTGGAGCAGTCACTGTCCGTGCGTGCCCTGCAAGAGATGCTGGCCAACACTGTGGAGGCTGGTGTGGAGGTGAGGCCCTCATCTTGGGGTGGGCCTGGGGAAGGGGTGGACAAGAGGACCGGGGTTGTTCATCATGTGCTCTTCTTCCCTTTCTCTGCCTCGCCCCACAGGCCCTCAATTTGGATAAGTGGGTAGGTCTGGCCTTGGGTGTCACCTGTCCTTCCACTCCTCTTGACCCCAAGCCTGCTTCTTGGGCCCACCTTCCTGCACACAAGGGCCAGGGGTCCCCCCTGCCCTTGCTGTCAGGAGTTGTGGGACCCAGAACAGGCCAGGCAAGAAGGGAGGAAGAGAGAAGGGGCTTCTGAGCCCCTATTCTTCCACCTTCTTCTCTCCTTTCTCCTCCTTCCCTCACTCTGGTCCCAGCATGGGACCTCTCCTCTCACCTTCTCCCATCCTAAGTGTGGGTGCTGCTCTCCCTGGCCCAGGATCAGGCCTGCCAATGTGATCAGGTGGCATCATCACATGGCCCCTCAAAGCATGGGCATGTGAGAGCTGTGTCATGATGTCATCCATCCTCCTGGTGGACCTCTCACCCTCCAGAGGGGCAGGGTCTCATCACCAGGGGATGCAGCAGCACCAGGGGATCGCCTGCTCCCTGCAGTTGTACTCAGTTAACAGTAGGCAGATTGCTCAGTTAATGACTGGCTGAGTGTCCTGGTGCACTCCAGCGGCATCTCAACTGGATCGTGCCAGGCTAGCGCAGAGAGGCCTGAAGCCCATGAAATGCCAATTCTGAGCCTTTCCTCAGCATTTGTCCCCAGGCACCCCAAGGACAGGCTAAGGTTCTCTGAGTGACTTCTTGGCCTGGCCAACCAGATAGAGAAGACAGGGAAGTCAGAGGGGGCTCTGGGGCATAAAAAAATGCCATCTACAGATGTCTCAGAGACGAAAGCCTCTGCTTCCATGAATGGGGAAACTGAGACTGAGAGTCTCTTGAGGGTCTGCACTGAGGCTATTTTTTTTTTTGTACTTCTAAGCCTGCATATGAAAGAGCCATTTGGGACCAGAGCAGGCAACTTGATTGAGCTGGGGGAGAGGTCTCAAGAGGCTTAAGGTCTGTGCTTACTATGTGCCCTTCTTCCTCTCCCAGTCATCTCAGGGTGGGGGTCACAGGACACTCCTGTATGGCCATGCTATCCTGCTCCGGCATGCCCACAGCCGCATGGTGAGTGTGTGGTGGCGGGATAGGGTCTGTGAACAGGGGCTAGGAGCGGTGGTCAAGGGGGCTGACGGAAGAAGGCTGACCCCCCCTCTACAACCCTAGTATCTGAGCTGCCTCACCACCTCCCGCTCCATGACTGACAAGCTGGCCTTCGATGTGGGACTGCAGGAAGATGCCACAGGTAACCAATGGAGCGGGGCGACAGGGACACCACAGGTAGAGAGGGGCGGGATAGAAGGGGACATCTCAGAGCTGAGTTGGTGGCTGTAATAGGAGAAGAAGGTGTTGAGAAGCTTATGGGCTGGGAATGGCCTGGAGAAGAGCATTCTGGGACCCACCATTCCACATGGGCCCTGTCTCTCCCCTCACTCCACAGGAGAGGCCTGCTGGTGGACAATGCACCCCGCCTCCAAGCAGAGATCTGAAGGGGAAAAGGTCCGCGTTGGGGATGACCTTATCCTTGTCAGCGTCTCCTCTGAGCGCTACCTGGTGAGCAGGTGTACCCTGTCTTGGCTCCTGCACTTTAAAATAATAATAATAATAATAATAATAAATTTTTAAATTGTGATTTTAACAAAAGTTTACAGAAAGGTTAGAGTTTCATTCGTTCAGTGTTGCCCATTTTCCTCCCCCTCCTCTAGTTCACTTGGTAACGGATCTCTTGTTCCAGATTGTCCACTGTCACATTTACAGTGCTCAGTCATACATTCCCTACAGACAATCCTTCCCTCATCTAAGTGTTCATTGTCTATTCATTCTTTTCTTGTTCTCTCCCAAACCCCCATGTTAGTCCTATTTTATCACCGGAGTGTTATGTAGTATTTGTCTTCTTATGATTGAGGTAGTTCATTCAGCATAATGTCTCCCACCATGTTGTGTAATGTTTTACAAATTCATTGTATGCAGCACTGATGCTGCATACTATTCCACTGTGTGACTTTACCACAGTTTTTCTATCCACTTGCCAGGTGAGGTGGGACCTAAAGAGTGCCATCTCCTCACATTAGTCCCTGCCCCCTGCTCCCTGACCCCCAATTTCTAGCTTCCTGGCTCTGACATGAAGGTTGCTAATTGCTGATTTCCCATCTTTTTTTTTATTACTAATTTCAATGAAAATTTACAGAGACTTTGGATTTCCATTCATTCAATGTTGCACTTTTCTTCCCTCCCAACCCTCCCCCCACCCAGTACACTCCCCTCTTTGAAAAGTACAAGAAAATTTCTTTCATTGTTTTATAATCACTCCTCTCGGCCCCCACCCCATCCACTCCACTATGTAGCCTTCGCTCTGGACTCCTGTCATGACAAAAATACCTAATCACATATCCCCTTTAAACAGTTTTCTCCCTCCTCTGTTTCAATGCAGTATACTTTATTGAACCCATCTTTCTCAGTCTCCCCCCCAACCCTGATGTCAGTCCTGTTTTACAACAGTGGCACCATGCAGTATTTGTCCTTTTGTGACTGAGATACTTTACTCAGCATAATGTCCTCCAGGGTCACCCATTTTGAATAATATTGCATGAGTTCCTTGTTTCTCAGTGCAGCGTAGATTCCATTGTGTGAATATACCACAGCTTCTTTATCCATTCGTTTGTTGATGGGCACTTAGGTTGTTTCCAACTCCTTACTATTGTGAACAAAGCTGCAGTAAACATGGGTGTGCATATATCTGCTTGGATGTCAGTTATGGTTTCTTTGGGGTATATTCCCAGTAGTGGAATTACTGAGTCAAATGGTATCTCTATTTGCAACTCTTTGAGAAAGCGCCATACCGCCTTCCCCAGTGGTTGCACCATTTTACACTCCCACCAACAGTGAATAAGGGTTCCAGTTTCTCCACAACCTCGCCAGCATTTGTTGCTTGCTGTTCTGTTAAATCTTGCTATTCTGACTGGGGTGAGCAGATATCTCATAGTTGTTTTGCTGACTTCCCATCTTGATGTTCATTTCCTGGTCTTTGGATGTGCTATCTTCCATCTGTGGGTCTCCTGGCATCTCCCCATTTCTGACCTCTGACTTCCCCCCTTCGGGCCATCTCTGACCCTCCCACCTCTTCATTTCCCCCAGCACCTCTCTACGGCCAGTGGTGAGCTCCAGGTTGACGCCTCCTTCATGCAGACACTGTGGAACATGAATCCCATCTGCTCCGGCTGTGAAGAGGGTGAGAACTCAACACCTTAGACCGCTAAACTGATACCCTCCAAGAGCCAACCCCAACCTTTCTCCTAGACACGCTCAAACTGAGGGGGTTGAGAAGAGAGGCAGAAGATAGGGCGTGGACAGCCAACTCAAAGGCATGAGGTTGGAATCTACTAGTGACCCTGCTAGAAAAAAATGGGCAGTCTCCTCCCATGCCCATACAATTTACAGCCTTTGAAAACTGATTGGAGGATCAGTTATGAGTCTGTTCTGACTCAGCAGCTAAGAAAGAAAAAGAGGTTTTATGAAATTTGTTTTAGCTAAAAATAGGTAGGTGTGCATGTTGGGAAGTTTTTACAAAAATCTACATACCTGTGTCACCAGTGCCACAATCAAGGCAGAACTTTTCATTACCCTAGAAACTTCCTTCACCCTTTTTGCTGCAACCACTCTGGACATCCACACAGTCTGCTGTTCACAGGGTTGCTGAGTCAGAACACATTCTTGAAGGCACTTCAAGTGAAGGGACTTCACAACAACAGATTCAGTGTGTCTCAGAAACAATTACTGTTCCTGTGTGGTGTATGCTCATGTGCATTGCTTCTCTGTAAAACATTACAAGTAAAGTATTACTCGGTATCATATTTTTTATATTCATCCATGTCGAAGCACCAGACTTGAAACCTCAGACTTCAAACCTAGAGCTCTGAATTATGACCCTCACACTCAGATCTCGGAAGTGACTCTAAATCCAGAAGCCCAAAGTTCAGACTTCCAAACCTAGAATTCCATGTTAAAATTTCAAACTTGGAATCCAAAGGCTTAGTCGCCAAAGTTCATAGTCTCAGATTTTATTCCTCAGACCACGATTTCAGTTTCCCAAATTCAAAGCTCAAGTCCCCAAACTACAGAAAGCTGGTCAAGAGGACTCGCTTCCTGTGGCGGAAGATCCGTGAAGGTCACCTGAAACGGAAGCAGATAAAATTCGAGAGAGATCTACGGCGTATTTGGCTGAAGGCTGGCCTAAAGGAAGCCCCTGAAGGTTGGCAGACCCCCAAGGTCTACCTGAGGAACAAATGAGCATTTCTACCCCACCTTTGTCACCATCTCCATCACTGCTGCTGATACCTTGTAATAAAAGATCAGAGATCCTACGTGAAAAAAAAAATCCCCAAACTAATACCTTAGTTCAGGCTCCAGACTTTAGACCACCCACCTCAGACCTCTAATCTTTAACCCCAAATTGTAGTCCTCAAAAAACCAAACCGTTAAAATAAAATTTCAAAATTTAGGCTCACAGACTAATATTCCAAAGCATGTCCTTAAAACTTAGATTTCCAGCTCTCACCTCAAAGACTTTAGACCCACAAACAAGCCCCCAACCTGAGACAAAAATCCACAGGTCCCAGAACTCAGATCTTAATCTCAGACCCTAAAACTTCAGAAGGTTCTAGTTCTTGGAGAAAGAAAGACATTATGCTGGGGAAAATGTAGGGTCAGCCAAAGGGAGGCAGGCCCTCAACGAGATGGCCTTACACAGTGACCAACTGCCACGACGGCCACGAGCAGGGCAGAGGTCGGGGAGAAGATGTGGCTGGTTAGGGCAATGTTCAGATACGTTGTTCATAGGTCGCTGTGACTCACAGTCCACTCGATGACACCTAACAACAACAACAAAACTCAGACCCACCAACCTCAAGCTGTTGTTGTTATGTGCCGTCGAGTTATAGCGACCCTATGTACAACAGCCCTAAACCCTGCTGTCCTGTGCCAATCGCACTGTCTCTGACACTCCCATCTCAATTATCCCAGTCACTGAATCAATCCACCTCATAGAGGGTCTTCCCCTCCTGCGCTGTCCCTCCACCCTCCCAAGCATGATGTCCCTCTCCAAGGACCGGTCCCTCCTTACAACATGTCCAAAGTATGTTAGACAGAGCCCCAGAATCTTCCAAGGAGCAGCCCCTATGTAACCTCAAGCTACAAAGTTTAAATTTCTCCAAACTCATACCCCTCAAATCACAGACAAACGCAAGTTCACTGGCATTGAGTCAATTCTGACTTACAGCGACCTGTGTTTATTCCTTTAAACTGCTGGTATATTTGAACTGCTGAAATTCTAGGCCTTTTGATTAACAGCCCAACACATTACAGACTATGTCTCAGACAAAAACTGCAAACAACTTACAACTCTTGACCTAAGCCCCCATTTTCAGAACATTGGATCCATACCTCTGACTAGTCTCCTGAACTCTGACCTCAGAATCTGACTTCAGACCTGTAGTTAACCCCAGACCTATGGTTGTGGTTGCAGCTGCATCTGAGTTGGCTGGACTCATAGTAACACAATGTTGACTCTTCTGTCCCATCTCTATGATCATTGGCATATGTGAGTCTATTGTTGTAACCATTGTGTAGTGCCTTCTAACCTAAGGAACCCATCTGCCAGCACTCTAAAAGATACTTTTCTGTTAGAGTTTTCATTGCCTAAAGAGGTGAATCTCCAGACTTTTCTTCCTAGTCTCTCTTAGGTTGGAAGCTCCCTTGGAAACTGTCCACCATGTGTGACCTTGCTATGCTAGTATTTTAAATACTAGCGTCATAGTTTCCATCATCCCAGCAACATGCAAGCCACTACAGTAAGATAACTGTCAGACCAAAGTTGGAAACAGACTTACAAAATCATCAACTCCTTCTAGCCTTGCCTCAGCCCCATAAACCTAGAGCCCCAAATTTAAGCAATTAACTTCAGATACTATATTTCGTACTCCAACTTCAGGCTGCAGACCTGACTTCAAATCTCAGACTACCCTTATAACCTAAAATCCATCACCTCCATCAAACTTCTCAGTGGGAGAAACAGGGACCCCAGACTCCAGCTTGGTCCCTAAGCCTTTGTAGGGCTCCAGCCTCCCAGTGAACATCTATCTTCTTTTGCTTCATTCCAGGATATGTGACTGGGGGTCATGTCCTCCGCCTCTTTCATGGTCACATGGATGAATGTCTGACCATTTCCCCTGCCGACAGTGAAGACCAGCGCAGGTCTGGACTGAGGACAAGAAGACCTAGGGTTTGGGGTGGCGGGGGCCAAGAGTTGACTGAGGAACAGGGAGGGGCCTTATGGCTGGGCTAGAGAATTAGATTCTGAGGGTTCTGGAGTTGATGGCCATGGGGCACTTAACCTTTTCCCTTGTTCTTAGACTTGTCCACTACGAGGGGGGAGCTGTGTGCACCCATGCCCGTTCCCTGTGGAGGCTGGAGCCTCTGAGGATAAGGTGAGCGGTAGGTAGGGTGTCCTGGGGGCCTCTAAAGGGGAGATTTGAGCAAGATTTGAAGAAAGATTTGAAGGAAGATGTAAATAAAAGATGGGAGGGGTTTTGAGAGAAAACCTAGGAAATCCAAAAGAGAGATGATAACCCTGAGGGGAACCTGGAGAAAAAGAAGTCTTGGAGGAAGATCGGGGATCCCTCAGAAAGTGATCAGAGGATACAGAATGAGAGTGTGGGCACATCAGAGGGAGAAAAGGGGGAGTGAAAACTGACGCCACTGGGGCATCTGAGTGCCTAAGGCATATCTGAGGACAGAGAGGATTGAGGTTGTTGAGGGAGGACTGGGACCATGATGGAGTTTGAGGCATCCTGGAAGAGGGATGGTGCCAGGGGAGGTTTGGTTTGAATCTCCATGGAAGGGCTGGGTTTTCTGACTCTTCCTATCCTCACGCTCCACAGCTGGAGTGGAAGCCACCTACGCTGGGGCCAGCCTCTCCGCATCCGCCATGTCACTACAGGTCGCTACCTGGGGCTTATGGAGGACCAGGGCCTGGTGGTGCTAGATGCCTCCAAGGCCCACACCAAAGCCACTTCCTTTTGCTTTCGAATCTCCAAGGTCAGTGGGGCTCAGGGATGCCCTCAACTCCCACCCTGGCCCCCTGTGAAGTCCCTCAGAGGGGTTCTGAGGGGCTTGACCTCTACTCCCCCACAGGAAAAGCTGGACATGGCCCCCAAACGGGACATAGAAGGCATGGGGCCTCCTGAGATCAAATATGGGGAGTCACTGTGCTTTGTGCAGCACGTGGCCTCGGGCCTGTGGCTCACATATGCTGCTCCGGATCCCAAGGCCCTGCGGCTTGGTGTGCTCAAGAAGAAGGTGGGTGACTGGCAGAGGGAAAAGTAGGGGTACATGCAGGGGCAAGAAAGGAACTGGGGACAGTGCCTGAACCTTGAGGAGTGTGAGATCAGGGGCTGAGACAGAGAGGGGTGTTGTACCGTCTAGTTGATGGCAACTCAGCAATCCCGTAAGCAGCAGATCGGAAGCCCTTTCTCCGTCCTCACGGTCTCCGACGTGCTCAACAGTCACTGTGTCAGTCTATCTTGTTGAAAGTCTTCCTCTCTCTGACCATCGGCCTTTCTCAGCATGATGCCTTTTTAAAGGACTGATTTCTGACAACATGCCTGAAGTATGTGAAACACTTTCACCCTTCTTGCTTCTAAGGAGCACCCTGGTTGTACTACTCCAAGGCAGACCTGTTTGCTCTTTTGGTGGTGGTTGTTGTTAAGTGCTTCAAGTCGCTTGCCACTCATAGCGACCCTATGTACAAGAGCCCTAAACCCTGCTCTATCCTGTGCCAACCTCACTGTCTCTGACACACCTACTCCCATTACCCCCGTCACTGAATAGATCCATCTCATTGAGGGTCTTCCTCTCCTGCGCTGTCCCTTCCCTCTCTCAAACATGTTCCTCTTCAAGGACTGGTCCCTCCTTGCAACATGCCCAAAGTATGTCAGACAAAGCTTCAGAAATATTCAGTACTCTTCTCTCATACCAGAACTGAAAGACATATATTCTTCTTTATTGTGCAACATTCAGATGCATATTAAAAAGACACCATGACTTGGATCAGGTGCATCTTAATCTAAAATGAAATCCTTGCTCTTTAGCACTTGGGAGAAGTCCTTGACTGCAGGTTTCCCAAGGCAACAACGTCTTTTGGTTTCTTAACTGCTGCTGTTGTGGGTGTTGATTATAAATCAAGTAAAACAAAATCATTGGCAACTTCAGTTTTTTATTGAAATCATGATGTTGCCCATTAGCCCAGTGGTGAGGGGTTTTCCCCCCCTTGATCTTGAAAGGTAATCCATTTTGAAGACTGTAGTCTTTGCTCTTCTGTAGGAAGTGCTTCGAATCTTCTGGAAGAGATGTTGGTGTTGTCATGTGCTGTTGCTATGAGTCAGAACTGCCTCATAGGTGACCTTCCAGGGCTTTTCCGAGACAGTAAATCACACAGGAGGAGACTGCCCATGTTTCTTCTGTGGAACAGCTGTTGGGTTTGAATTTTATGACTTTGGGTTGGCAGTGCAATTCCTTACCACTAGGCCGCCAAAGAGGAAAAGAGAAAGACGGATACCGAAAAGACAGAAAAATAGAGACAAAGATAGAGAGACAGGTAGTGAAAGACTAACAACCATAGTTATTGAGAACCCAAGTTGCCCACCTCTGTGTGTGTGTGTGTGTGTGTGTGTGCGCGCGCGCGCGTGCACGTGTGCGTATGTGTAAAATTTGTAAGACAAACCCTGACCCTGTATGCAACAGAACAAAACAGTGCCCGGCCCTGTGCCATCTTTAGGGTCACTGCCATGCTTGAGCCTACTGTTGCAACCACTGTGTCAATCCATTTCCTTGAGGGTCACCTTCTTTCTGGGTGACGGCTTTTCCAAGCATGCTTTCCTTCCCTAGAGTGTGGTCCTTACTGACAGCATGGCCACAGTGTGAGCCAAAGTCTCGCCATCCTCACTTCTAAGAACATTCTGGCGGCATTTTTTTCCAAATGGCTTTGTTTGCTCTTCTGCACATCTGTGTTTTGTTTTGTTTTTTAAGTAGTTTTTTTCTTCTTTTTTATTTTAATAAACATTTACAGAGATTTTGGATTTCCATTTATTCATTGCTGCACTTCTCTCCACAACTGTGTTTTAATCATTATTCCTCACCAACACCAGAATTCAAAGGCATCGTTTCCCTTTTTGTCTTCCTTACTGCCTTCGTTATACAGCTTTCATGTGTTTGTGAAAACACCATGACTTGAGCCAGGCATTTCTTCATCCTTAAAAGTGACATTTTTGCCTCTACCACTTCGAAGAAGTTGGGGGTCTTTTGTAGCAGTGGTCCATGCAATGCGTCATTTGATTATGGATCCAAGTAAAATGAAATCTTTGACAAATTCAATTGTTTTTTGTTACTCACAATGTTGTTTATTCGGTGGTGAGGATTTTTGTTTTCTTGATATCAAGAAGTAATTGATACTGAAGGCTTAGTCTTTGATTTTCATCAGTGCTTCAAGTTCTCTTAGTTTTCAAAAGCCAAGGTTGTGCCATGTGCGTATGCAATTTGTTAATAATTTTCCCTCCAATCCTGACACTGGGTTCTTCTACATACAGCCTCAAAAAACCCTCACACTCACTGCTGTTGAGTCGGTTCCAATTTATAGCGATCCTCCATTGAGTCTCTGAGGCTGAAAATCTTAATCCATCTTTCTTCCTCAGGGCAGCTGGTGGATTCGAACTACCATAGGTGCAGCCTTTGGGTTAGCACTGAAGCCCATGACAGACTAGGCCACCAGTGCTCCGTTATTATTACACTGGCTTCTCTAATTACTTGCTTAGGCTACAGATTAAATAAATAGGACCAATGGCCATGACCCTAACTCTCTGATAACACTTCTCCCAATTTTAAATCATAGCAGTATCCCTTTGTTCTAGTTGAATGACTGCCACTTGATCTATGTACAGGTTTCATGTGAGCACAGTTAAAGAGACATGGAAAGAGAATCTTGAGTTGGGGCCAGCTTTGGTGCTGGAGTCTAGATGGAGGTCTGCAGGAGGAGGGATCTGGGTGGCCAGCCGCCTTCACACTTTTCCATCCTTCCCTACCCCAGGCCATGCTGCACCAGGAAGGCCACATGGATGATGCCCTGTCGCTAACCCGCTGTCAGCAGGAGGAGTCCCAGGCCGCGAGAATGATCTATAGCACTGCTGGCCTGTATAACCTCTTCATCAAGTAAGTGCTGCCACCAAGAGGAGGGGCAGCCTGCATCCCCTCCCGAAGCTCCTAGCACCTGACCTCTCTAACTTGGACACCCGCACCCCTTCTCCACCTCTAAACTTCTGAGCTTTATGCACATAACCCTTAATATGAGTTGGTACTCGTCACCTTTGATTTCACGTATCGGCTCTCCAAACTCCCGACCCGGGACCTTCCCCGCCTTCCTCTAGGATCCCCCACGCCTGCACAGAAGCAGGTTCCAGTGCCCTTTGGCCATGTGACCCTTTCCACGTCTAAGCCTCTCCCCCGCATAAAATAGGACTTTCCTCGGGGTCCTGTGGGGAGAATGCTTCGAGACTCAGATGGTTGACGGCTGCGTGATCCCTGCAGGGGCCTGGACAGCTTCAGCGGGAAGCCGCGGGGCGGGGGGCCACCCGCTGGCACGGCGCTGCCCATTGAGGGCGTCATCCTGAGCCTGCAAGATCTCATTGGCTACTTTGAGCCTCCCTCAGAGGAGCTGCAGCACGAGGAGAAGCAGACCAAACTGCGCAGTCTCCGAAACCGCCAGAGCCTCTTTCAGGAGGAGGTGGGAGCCGCTGCGTGGGAGGCAGTCTCTGAAGGGGTGGGGCCGCGGCATGGGAGGCGGAGTCTATGGAGGGGCGGAGCCTCGGCATGGGAGGCGGAGTCCCTGGAGGGGTGGCACCTCGGCGAGGGAGGCGGAGTTCCTGGAGGGGTGGAACCTCGGCTCGGGAGGCAGAGTCTATGGAAGGGTGGAACCTCGGGGAGGGAGGCGGGGTCTATGGAGGGGTGGAGCCTCGTCGCGGGAGGCGGAGTCCCTAGAGGGGGGCCGCCGCGCGGGAGGCGGGGTCTCTGGAGGGGTGGGGCCGCGGCGCGGGAGGCGGAGTTTCTGGAGGGGTGGGGCCGCAGCACGGAATGTTGATTCCAGGAGGGGTGGGGCCGTGGGGTGGGAGGCGGAGTCTCTGAGAGGGGGGGGCTGCGGCCCGGGAGGCGGGGTCTATGGGAGGGTGGGGCTGCGACGCTGGGTGGAGCCGGCCGGAAGGCTTGAGGGAAGTAGTGGTCAAGGGAGAGGCTCCAGTGGAGTGTCTCAAAACTGGGGTTATCGCGGGGTGGGGGGCCGGGAGGGAAGGGACTACTGAAGGAGTTGGGGGAGATTTGGGATCAGGAACAAATGAGGGAGGCGAAGCCTGGGAGGACGGTTGGCTTTCTTGTGGGCCGGGCCTGTGAGGGAGGAGCAGACAGGCTGGAGCAGGAGTCAGTCTCTGTGACAGACATTTGAGTGTTGCTACTGTGTACTGTTGAGTTGGCATGAATCCTAGCTGACCCTCTAGCTGCTTTTCAGAGGCAATCACAGGGGAGGAGATTGCCCATTCCTGCCGTGGAGCTTCTTACCACTAGGCCACCAGAGCTCCCCTAAACATTTGAATAGTTTATGTTAAAGGACTTGCTCTTAGTTTCCCTACGGGGGATTATATTTCCATGTTACCGTCAGGGTCACTGAAACTCAGCAAAGTTACATACAGTCAATAAATACTTAACTGGTTGCTCACATATGCCAGGCGACACAGCTATGAACAAAACACCCAAATCTCTTTTCTAATGGAGGCAATGTTGGGGGAGGGAGGATACAGACAGTCAAGAAAATAAGTAAGTAAATCATCTTGTGTCTGAGATGGTGGGTGCCAAGGGGGGAACATAAAACAGGCCTGGGGTAGGGAGCACTGCGGCTGCCATCTAAAACAGTGATAAGGGAAAGCGAGCCATGAGTTAAGAGGGAGCCCTGTGACTCTCTGCAGAATGTCCTTCAGCTCTTAGGAAGGACAGCAAGGGCAAATGCCCTGGAGTGGGAATGTGCTTGGTGTATTCCAGAATTGAGAGGAGTGGGAATGTGCTTGGTGTATTCCAGAATTGAGAGGAAGCCTAGGTAGAAGTGGGAAGGAATAAGAGAGGTGACAACGCCCAGGTCAAGGCAAGGATTTTGGCTATAGGAGCCCCAAGAGGCTAGATCTTCTGAAATCACTAGTAGTGGAAGATCCACCCCATGTCACTCTTAGTGTCCACATCTTGCCTCTCCCTCCTCATCTGCAGTCACAAGCATTGGATTGAGTGACCTGCACATGTCTGAATACATGGGTCTCATGGTATATATACATATACAATTATCTCAGCACTGTTTGCAATAGCATAAATTGGAAACAGCCTAAACATTGGTCCACACTAGAATGTATTCATAAACGTGGTACAGCCACACAACAAGATGGTACTGAGCAACGAAGACCACAGAACTGTTGTCTTGGAGTTGTGATGTTATCAAAGAATACTGGATATACCATAAGCTTCCAAAAGAACAAACGTATCTGTCTTTGAAGAAGTGCAGCCAGAATACACCGTAGAAGCAAGGATGGCAAGATTCTGTCTAGCATACTTTGGATATTTTATCAGGCAGGACCAGTCATGCCTGGAAAAGTAGGTCAGCAAAAAAGTGGAAGACTTTGGAGAAGATAGATTGACACAGTGACAGCAACAATGGGCTTAAACACAGCAAGTGTGCAGGTGGTGCAGGACAGGCAGTGTTTCATTCTGTCCTGTCACTGAACTTGGAGCCAACTTGAAAGGATCTAACAAGAGCACTCAGCAATGAAAATTAGCAAACTCCAGCCACATCCCATAATGGATCAAACCTTAAAACAGTATTGAGCAAAAAAATCTATGTTAAAAAAATTACAATGTACAAAGCTCTGTGGCTTACTGACAAGAAACTGCGTTGCAATCCCTAAGGCACATGGTTCAAGACCACCATCTGCTCCATGGGAGAAGGATAGGCAATCTCCTCTTCTGCCATTAATTCTCTCTGAAAACTCACTGGACAGTCAGCTATGGGTCGGTACACAACAACAACAATTATGTACAAAAAAGGAGAACATTCCAAGTTCAAAAACCAGCCTAAACTCAATCCCTGATGCATACTTTCTCTCATTGCTGTGGAGTCTGGACTGAGTCACAGTTGATCCTCTAGCAGGTTTTTAGAGGCTGTAAATGTCATGGGAGGAGAGTATCCATATTTCTCCCTTGGAGCATTTGGTGGATTTGAACTGCCTGCCTTTGGTTTGGCAGCACAACTCCTTACCCACTAGGTAACTAGAGCCCACCAAGCCATGCATACAGAGGTAGGAAGAACAGAAAAGCAAGAGAGGGATGTCCATAAAAAATCAGAACAGTGGTCCCCTCTAGCTTGGAAGGATGTGTGATCAGGATGGGCATCCAGGGGGCTCTGGTTGTCAGACAATGTTCTCTTTCTTAACTGGGGTGCTTTTTATGTGCTTTTTTTTATATGTCTTTTTTAAATTTATTATTAATTTCAATGAAAATTTACAGAGACTTTGGATTTCTATTCATTAATTGTTGCACTTTTCTCCCCTCCCAACCCTCACCTCTAGTACATTACTACCCTCTTGGAAAAGTAAAATAAAAATTCTTTCATTGTTTTACAATCCCTCCCCCCAGGTCCACTCCACTATACAGCCTTTGCTCTGGACTCCTGTCATGACAAAAATCCCTAATAATTTTCCCTCTTAAACAGTTTTCTCCCTCATCTGTTTCAATGCAGTATACATTATTGAATTTATCCTTTTTAGTCTCCCCCCAACCATGAGGTCAGTCCTGCTTTACAACAGTGGGACCATGCAGTATTTGTCCTTTTGTGAGTGAGATTCTTCACTCAGCATAATGTCCTCCAGGGTCACCCATTTTGAATAATATTGCATGAGTTGCTTGTTTCTCAATGCAGTGTAGTATTCCATTGTGAGAATATACCAAAGCTTCTCTATCCATTCTTTTGTTGATAGGCACTTAGGTTGTTTCCAACTCTTTGCTATTGTGAACAAAGCCGCAGTAAACATGGGTGTGCATATATCTGCTTGGAAGTCAGTTAAGGTGTCTTTGGGGTATATTCCCAGTAGTGGAATTCCTGGGTCAAATGGTATTTCTATTTGCAACTGTTTGAGAAAGCGCCATACGGCCTTCCACAGTGGTTGCACCATTTTACACTCCCACCAACAGTGGGGTTCCAGTTTCTCCACAACCTCGCCAGCATTTGTTGTTTGCTGTTCTATTAAATTTTGCTATTATGACTGGGGTGAGATGATATCTCATAGTTGTTTTGATTTGCATCTCTCTTAGAGCTAGGGATTTTGAACATTTCTTCATGTGTTTGTTAGCCATCTGAATGTCTTCTTTGGTGAAGTGTCTGTTCACATCCTGTGCCCATTTTTCAATTGGATAATTTACCTTTATCTTGTTGTGGTCTATATGTCTTTTAATTCTCAATGAAAGAAGGAAATTGAGGGGAGCTCTGGTGGCCTAGTGGTAAGGAGCTGCAACTACAATCCCAGAGGCGCACGGTTCGAATCCACCAGATGCTCTGCCGAGGAAGGAGGGACAATCTCCTCCTGTACCAGTCAGATCTGATTTGACGGTACACTCACACAAAAACAATATAATAAAAAAAAAGAAAGAAGGAAATTGATTAAAATGTTAAAAAGAAAGAGAACCAAAGAAAGTGGAAAAGCCCCTCTCTGATGGTTGGTGAGAGACTGAACTGTATTATTTGGGACCAGAAGTGGGGACTCTGGCCACCTTTGAAGAGGGACATGTGGAGGAAACACTTGAGAAGCAGATTCAAACCGGATGTTAGAGCATGTTATGTTAGGGATAGAGACAGAAGAGACAAGGACAGATGTGGAAGGCCAGAAGAAAGAGGGTGATGGAAATGGATCGGCATGGACTCCATGGTGGATGTGAGCTAATATGCTGTTTGATCCAGGGATACCTGGTTGGAACCATCACTGGTTGTTGAGTAATAGGAGTTAGTAAACTTTCTCAAAAAAAGACCAGAAAGAGAGGACTTGCAGCTCCTATTGTAATTACCTTTTCCCTCATCCCAGGGGATGCTCTCCCTGGTCCTGAATTGCATCGACCGTTTAAATGTCTACACCACTGCTGCTCACTTCGCTGAATTCGCAGGAGAGGAGGCGGCTGAGTCCTGGAAAGAGATTGTGAACCTGCTCTATGAACTCCTGGGTAAGGAGCCCCAGCCCTAACTAGTCCCACTAGAGCACCCCAGATCTCATCTCCTGTCCTGCTGGGTCTGATAGCCCTCCTCCCCCTCCAGCATCTCTAATCCGTGGCAATCGTACCAACTGTGCCCTCTTCTCAACCAACTTGGACTGGTTGGTCAGCAAGCTGGACCGTCTGGAGGCTTCATCTGGTAGGAGAACCCTGGGGGATTGGGACAAGGACTAGGGGGAGACAGAGTCACTGCCACCTCACCCTCACTCTGGCACGTGCTTAGGAATCCTGGAGGTGCTGTACTGTGTGCTGATTGAGAGCCCCGAGGTCCTGAATATTATCCAAGAGAACCACATCAAGTCCATCATCTCCCTCTTGGACAAGCATGGGAGGAACCACAAGGTCTGGCCCCTCCCCCAACCCCTGAATTCTGACCTCTCCTCATGGCCCTGGGACCCCTCTCACCCCTCCTCCTCTTCCTCGCTCATCTCTAACCTGGACAACTCTCCCAAGTGCTTTAATCTCAGCATGGGTGTTGAAAACACATGACACTAGAATTGATCCAGAATCACTGATGTGCTTTGTTGGATCTCTTTAAGTATTGTTAAAATTTTATCACCGTTATGTGGTTGCACGTACAATCTCCAGCTTACCACAAGTTCTACCAGTTCTACCTATTGCATTATTTTTAACCATTTCACAGAGTTACAGTACCATCTGGCTCCTGAATACATAGATTTGGAGCCTCCAATGACCCAAAATATCATCTTGGTCCGTGTGGTCTCTTATGGAGCATTCCTCTTCCCTCCAGCTGCTACCTTGTTACCCTAGTCTTTCATATCTTACATCACTGATACCAACTCCTATGTCTCTTCAGCCTTTTTCCTGCCCTTTCCCTGTGATCGTTGCAGTTCTTTTTCCTCACCTCTTCTTAGTCAGCGTCTCCACGTCCTGGCATATCGTCCTTTCTTCTGGCACTTCCACAGGCCCCTGCCCTCACTCCCTGCCTGGCCTCTCATCTTCCCTTCCAGGTCCTGGATGTTCTGTGTTCCCTGTGTGTGTGCAATGGTGTGGCCGTACGTTCCAACCAAGATCTCATCACCGAGAACCTGCTCCCTGGCCGAGAGCTTCTGCTGCAGACAAACCTCATCAACTATGTCACCAGGTTTGAGGCCCAACCTCAGATTAACTCAGAACCTTTCAACCTTCTCCCTGACTCAGACTCCACCTAGGTGGTAACCTTGTGTTGCTAGGACTTAATACCTCATCCTCACGAATGTCCACTCCTGTTCCAGTTTATCCCTGGCTCCCAACTCATTTCCTCTCTCCCTTTTCCTCTCTGTTTCTGTATTTTTCTCTTTTGAACTTTGTCTCTCCCTTTCTCTGATTAGCTTTGTTTTCATTTTCTATTCCATCACTTTCTGCTGGTTTTTCAGTGTCTTTCAGTTTGTGCTCTTTTTCCTCTGTTACTGTGTCTTAGGAAGCTCTGGTGGTTTAGTGGTAAGAAGTTGCACTGCCAACACAAAGGTACATGGCTCAAATCCACCAGCTTCCTCCCGTGTAATTTCCTTCCTTTGTTGACCCATTGGAGGGTCAGCTATGAGCAGGTTCTGATTCAAGAGTCCTCAGTCACAATAGTGTTTCAGTGGTAAGGAGTTCTGCTGTCCAAGATGCATGCAGTTCAAGTCCACCAGCTTCTCTGCAGGAGAAAGATGGGCAATTTCCTCTTGTGTGATTTACAATCTGAAAACCCACTGTAGATCAGTTATGAGTTGGTTCTGACTCAACGGACCAAAACAACACAACAATAACAACATGTCTTACTCTGTTTCCATTTCTCTCTCTGGATTCTCTTCTTTATACGTCAGACTTTCTCTCCTCTTCCCCACTCCACCTTCTGGCTTGACTCTCTCTCTCTTGTGCATGCCTTTCCTGCAGCATCCGCCCCAACATCTATGTGGGTCGAGCAGAGGGTTCTACCCAGTATGGCAAATGGTACTTCGAAGTGATGGTGGATGAAGTGGTTCCATTTCTGACTGCTCAGCCCACTCACCTCCGGGTAGGCTGGGCCCTCACCGAGGGCTACAGCCCCTACCCTGGAGGAGGTGAGGGCTGGGGTGGAAATGGAGTTGGCGACGACCTCTACTCCTATGGCTTTGATGGGCTGCATCTATGGACAGGTATATGAATCCTGACCTCTAATTTGTGACCCATAAATCCAAGGGACCTCACTCATGAGCAGTATGGCACAGTTACCAAGACTTAGCCCAAATCCCTTGGGATTCTCAGAATTGTAACATCACCCCCTGACAGAAAGGCTGATTTTATATTTCTTTCTCCTCATTTCCCAAGACTTAAGACTTATTTCCAGAATCCTGGAAATCCTGTTTCATTATAGTCTCCAGAACTCTAATTGCAGAGAAAATCTCTGATCCAAAGATTTTTCCTGAAAAAGACCCTAATTTTGATCTCTAATATTTGACCCCAAAAGATTCCAGAACCTTAACTCTAGGGGAATTTTAATCTCTGACCCACTAGTTCTCAGGAATCTAAGTCTTGTCCTCTGTCCCTAATCTCAAAGCTATAGGATCCTCTATGGAATCATTTGACCTTAGCATTTCCAAGATCTAGTGCCCATGATATCCTGCAATATTTGCCCTTTATTTCTTGATTTCATTGGTTCTGTGAGACCTCTGACCTATAAACCCTCCTTGGTGACCCTGGTGCAGGACACGTGGCACGCCCGGTGACTTCTCCAGGGCAGCACCTGCTGGCCCCAGAGGATGTGGTCAGCTGCTGCCTGGACCTCAGTGTACCATCCATCTCCTTCCGCATCAATGGCTGTCCAGTGCAAGGCGTGTTTGAGGCCTTCAACCTTGATGGGCTCTTCTTCCCTGTTGTCAGCTTCTCAGCTGGTGTCAAGTAAGGACCTTCCCCTGTCCGTAGGTACCTGCCCCTGTCCTGTACTGACCTGATCACCCCATAGCTTCTTTTTTTTTTAAATTTTTTTTTACCCCATAGCTTCTTATGAATTGTTACTCTCTGGTGGCCAGAACTCCTACATGATAGTCCCCTTGATCTCCACAAAACTCTAGAGCCTTATGATGATCTCAGATTCACCCCATCCTCCCAAGTGATCCCAGAAACTTCTAATGACCCCAGATTTTCCCAACGGCCTTCTAGTTATACCAGACTCTTCTTATGACTCCATGCTCTTTTAGTGACTTTCAAATTACTCCATATCTGACAGTGACCTTATAATAAATAACTTCAGACCTTCCCAGTGACTTCCACATATCCCAGATATCCTGTGTCCTTCCAATAACCTTGGATTCTCCAGTGACCTCTCAGTGACCCTAGACTCTCCCAATGACTCCTTGCTGTCCCCATAACCTCTCAGTGACCCCAACATCTCCCAATTAATTTCCTATAGCCTCATACTTTCCCAGTGACCATCCTAATGACTCTAATTATATTTAAAGACTGAATAACTTCTCAAACACCATTCAGTGACAATTATGGCTGTGATTATACCAGACTATTGTTGTTGTGTACCGTTGTGTCGAACCAACCCATAGCTGACCCTCCAGCGGGTTTTCAGAGCCAGTTAACTGCATGGGAGGAGATTGCCATCCTTCTCCCGCACCATTTTATTAATGATTTCCAGATTACTTTCTTGATTTCTTCAAAATGTTCCAACATCTTTAAATATCCCGTTGACTTAAAGTCTCTTTCAGAGGACTTTCCCATGACCTTGCAATAATTTTAAATCTTCTCTAAGAACTGCAGACACTCCCACTCTAATTCCCCCAGAACCTCACAGATTTCTTTTCAATCCTGCGATGGCCTCAGACATTCTCTTAGGATGTTCTTCTGACCCTAGACTTTCTTTCTGATTCCCTAAGTGACACTCTTGACCTTATGACTGCCCAGTCACCTTAGATCTCTCCAGTACATTGCGCCAATTCCAGGGCTACTTCATTGTCCTACAACCTGCCGGTCTCTTAATAATTTCTTTTCCTCTCCCAGAGTTCGGTTCCTCCTTGGTGGACGGCATGGAGAATTCAAGTTTCTGCCACCGCCTGGCTATGCTCCCTGCCATGAGGCTGTGCTCCCACGAGAAAAACTCCACCTTGAACCTATCAAGGAGTATCGGCGGGAGGGGCCTCGGGGTCCCCACCTGGTGGGCCCCAGCCGCTGCCTCTCACACACCGACTTTGTGCCCTGCCCGGTGGACACTGTCCAGGTACTGACTACTCTGGGAGGATTTCCTGGCGAGGCAGGTTCTTTTAGGGATCAGGGAAGTGAGGAGCTGAGATGGAAGCTGGTAACTTGGTTGTTTAACAGATGAAGGGAGAAACTGAGGCACAGACAAAGCAAGGGACTCTCTCATGGTTCATGTGCAGAATCTCAATTTCAGAGAGTCCTCTCTAGACCTGTAAAGAGAGGCTATTCCTGGCCCAGACTCACAGTTGAGGAAAACAAGACTTAGAGAGGCTTAGTGGCCTGTGCAAGTTATTCAGCACAGTGAATCCAGCAGTCTGAGGCCAGAGCCATCTAACCCACCACACCACAAACACATTTCTTCGATCCCTCAAGCCCATTGCCGTCGAGTCACAAACAGCTAATAGCTGACCCTCTCGTGGCTTTCTGAGGCTGTAACAAGGAAATATATTTCAAAAAAAAGGCAACCAGGGTGTCCTTGGAGGTGAGGATGGTGAAACTTCATCTTACATACTTTGGGCATATTGTTAGGAGAAGGTAGTCCTTGGGAAGAGACATCATGCTTGGAAAGTGAAAGAGAAGACTTTCAACCAGCTGGCTTGTCACAGTGACTGGAACACTGGGCTCAAGCGTATCAGAGATGGTGAGGATGGCACGGGACGGGGCACAGTTCACAGGATCGTTAAAGGTTGTAGTTGACTCGATGGCACTTAACAGCAATATTATCTCAAAGGGACTTTGCCGTCCCCGTCCTCAGGTTAGCCTTGACTCTCATCTTTAATACTTTCTTTCCCTAACTCCCAGCCTGTCAGCCTAACGATTTGTCTGCTTGACCTCCTGAGCACCGCTCCCACCAACCCCCTCTCCTTCCCCTGGTCACCCTTTCTCAGGCCGTCATTATCTTTTGCCCACAGAACCTTCTCACATAAATAATTTATGAAACATCTTTTTGGTGCCCCTGGTAGCACAGTGTATAACTCATCAGGCTGCTAACTGAAAGGTCAGCCGTTCAAATTCACCAGCCTCACTGAGGGAGAAAGATAAGCATTCTCCTCCCATTAAGATTTACAGGTGACCCAGGAGGATATTATGCTGAGTGAAATATCCCAGTCACAAAAGGACAAATACTGCATAGCACCACTGTTATAAAGCAGGTCTGACATGGGGCATTGGGAGGAGAGTGGGATAAGAGTGGATAGACAAGGGGAGCTCTGGTGGCCTAGTGGCAAGGAGCTGCAACTACAATCCCAGAGGCGAACGGTTCAAATCCACCAGATGCTCTGCCGGGGAAGGAGGGACAATCTCCTCCTGTACCAGTCAGATCTGATTTGATGGTACACGCACACAATAAAATAAAAAACAAACAAAAAAAAGAGTGGATAGACAGTGAACGTTACACTGGAACAGATGAAGGAAGAACTGCCATGGGAAAGTCTGCTGTTAGGGACCTCTCCAAAGTGCTGAAGAGCAGTGGTGTCTCTCTGGAGACTAAGGTGCGTCTGATACAGGCCATGGTCTTCGCAATCACCTGTTATGCATCAGAGAGTTGGACAATGACCAAGGAGGATAGAAGGAAAATTGATGCCTTTGAGCTGTGGTGCTGGAGAAGAGTATTGAGAATACCATGGACTGCTAGGAAAACAAACAGATTTGTCCTGGAGAGGGTTAAACCAGGTGGCTCCTTGGAGGCAAGGATTCTGAGGCTCCATCTAACTTACTTTGGACATGTTGTGAGGAGAGACCGGTCCTTAGAGAGGGACATCATGCTTGGGAGGGTGGAGGGACGGTGCAGGAGAGGAAGGCCCTCTATGAGGTGGATTGATTCAGTGACTGGGATAATTGGAATGGGAGTGTCAGAGACAGTGCGATTGGCACAGGACAGAGCGGAGTTTAGGGCTGTTGTACATAGGGTCGCTATGAGTCGCAGGCGACTCGACGGCACATAACAACAACAACATGATTAAGCATTATATGTACAACAGCTCAGAATGAGAAATGCATTGCAAAGAGGACTGGGAGAAGGGGGTTCAAGGTACTTGTGCAACAATTAGTGAATATTAAAAAAGTGAATTGGGAGGAGGGAGAGGGAGTGAAATGTGCAACCATGGATAAATGAAAATCTAACTTCTCTGTTAACTTTTGTTAAAATCACAATTAAAATAAACATTTTTATTAAAAAAAAAAAGATTTACAGCCTGGGAAACCCAGTTGAGGGCCACTCTGAGGTTGACGGACTCTATGTCAGGGATTATTTATATCAGGAACTTAGATAAACTGTATGACCTATGGTGAGTGGCCTAGTGGCAAGAAGCTAAACTGTAATCCCAAAGGCACCTGGTTCAAATCCAGCAACTATCCTGTGGGAGCCAGATGAGCATTCTCTTCCTGTGTGATCTCCTGCCTCTGAAAACCACTTCAGGGTCAGTTATGAGTCAGTTTTCACTCAACAGCACACAACAATAACAACTTATATGTATTTATAGAAATTCTTTTATGGAGCTTTGTTGAGGTAATTATTGTTAGGATTCCATTATACAGACAAGGGAAAGGACTCATTCATTTATTCAGCAAGCATTTCCTGAGCATCCCCTCTGGGCCTCATGTGGCCTGGATGGGGCTGAGGATGTGGGAGTGTGAGGTTGCTCCAGACCCCACCATCCTGGAGCTCTCAGTCCAGACTGGTCCCCTATAATCCACTTGGATCCTTTCTCCACTGGGCTCCTATGTTCTTGGGAGAGAGTTACTGGCCAGGGCAGCAGGATCTCAAAGTCCCCATGGACATCTCCCTGTCCCCAGATCGTCCTGCCTCCCCATCTGGAACGCATTCGGGAGAAGCTGGCGGAGAACATCCACGAGCTCTGGGCGCTGACCCGCATCGAGCAGGGCTGGACCTATGGCCCGGTGAGGGGCTGCCTGCAGCCTAAGGAAGGCCAGCGGGACCCCCGGAAACACAGGGAGCGGGGGAACAGCTCAGTGATGGGGAAGGGCACGGGCCGAGAACGGGCTTGAGGGCACCAGGGGTGGGGTTGAGGGGGTGGTCACAGTCTAGGAGTGTTGAGGGTTGACTCTGAGGTTTCTTTAGGTTCGGGATGACAACAAGAGGTTGCACCCGTGTCTTGTGAACTTCCACAGCCTCCCGGAGCCCGAGAGGAATTACAACCTGCAGATGTCGGGAGAGACGCTCAAGTGAGGAAGCAGGAGGCAGAGCGGGGGCCAGGTGGAGAGTGGGACAGACAGGAGCCAGACAAGTGGGAAAGAAAGAACTCAGACAGACAGAGATCAGGAGAGAGATAAAGACAGAAGAGAGACAAAAGGAGAGAGAGAAACAGAGGTGGCAGAGGGAGAAAGGCAGAGTGGAAAGAGAGACTCCGAGAGTCAGAAAAAGACATGGTCAAAGAAGTACATGGTCACAGAGACAAAGACAGAATGATAGCTTCCAGAGATGGTCAGAGGCCAAGATTGGGAGAGAGACAAGGACAGAGATACTCAGAAAGTGACAGGAAAGGCATCATATGGGATTGACGAGACATGGTAATGAATTAATTACATTAATATCTGGCAGAACAAAATATCTGTGAATGTTTGCATGAAAAAAGCAATATGATTTGTAAATCTTCACTCAAATAAAAATCTAATGTTAATGAAATTTTTAAAATGATACCCACAAAAAGCTAGAAACCCAGAGACAGAGATGACAGTAGAGGTGGGGAGAGGGTCCAGGATCCCCAGGAAAGGAGGCTTCTTTGGGTATGACCCTGACCCTGCCCTGTCCCTCCTGCCCTAGGACCCTGCTGGCACTGGGATGCCATGTGGGCATGGCAGATGAGAAGGCAGAGGACAATCTGAAGAAGACAAAGCTCCCCAAGACGTGAGTGTTGGGGGCCTGGGTCTATCTGAGGAATGGTGGGGTGAGGGATGCTGTGCTGTTGGGAAGGTCGCAGGGTCTTACTTAGGTGGAGGCTAAGGTCAGAGACAAAGAGTCTGAAGCGAACATCCTAAGGTCAGGGCTCTGGGGTCAGAAGTTAGTGTATTAGGGTGGGATGTTAAGATTGAGGAGTTAGAGTCCCAGAGAGATGGAGGTGAGTCTGGGATTCAAAGTCAAGGTCAGCCATGGAGTCATGGAAAAGGAGAAAGCAAGTTCAGAGTTCTCAGGGAGAAGCCAGGAGCAGAGAGGCAGGAGGTGAGAATTTAGAGGTAGTCAGAATAGTAAGCAAGAGATCCTATAATTATAGAGAGATCAGAGGTCCAATAGATAGAAGTGTCAAGATTCAGGGGTCAAGAACTCCCAAACCAGGAGTTTAAGGTACTGAGGTCCTGAAGTCAGAGATAAGAAATGTCAGAGGTGGGGATCAAAGAGTTCTTAGATCAGAGATAACGTTCTCAAAATCAAGATGAAGGGGTCAGCTTCGGCCACACCGCTGCATGGCGGTGGGCCTCTATAAGGGCCACAAAGTAACCACCAGCGTGAGCGCACAGCTGCTGCGAGCACCTCACCAGGCACTCCACGTTTGTTCGGGACATGACCTCGGAGGCGTGTGGCTCTGTGCCCTTGGACTGAGTGCCGCGCCATGGAGCAAGGTCTCCAAGGACAAGCTGGCCCTCTGGTTCACCAAGAAAAGGGCAGGAACACATATCCTCGCTAAGAGGAAGTGAGAGGAGCTGAGCCATGTCCTGGGCGCTGCCTTCCTCACAGTGCCCAGGCTGAGTGCCTCCCGCTGTCCACAAAGCTCTCACTCATCTGATGTAATAAAATGTAATAAACAAAAATAAAGATGAGGCTTGAGGTCAGTGATGCCACATCCCTTACTAGGGTGGCAGGATCATGGTGGGAGGTCAGGGCTTATGAATGTTAAAGCCAAGGGTCACAGGGTCCTGTGATGAAAAGTTGAGAATCTCAAAGCTTTATTCCAGAGAGTCACAGAACTCTGTAATCAGCTAGGAGCTATGGGATCCCTGAAATCAGGGATTCCACAGACCATGGACTCTGAAGACATGAAAGGGAGGGTGTAATAAGACAGAGTTCTACTACATCTACAGATACATGATGAGCAATGGGTACAAGCCAGCTCCTCTGGACCTGAGCCACGTGCGGCTGACACCAGCACAGACGACCTTGGTGGATCGGCTGGCAGAGAATGGGCACAATGTGTGGGCCCGAGACCGTGTGGCCCAGGGCTGGAGTTACAGCGCTGTGCAGGACATCCCCGCCCGCCGAAACCCACGTCTTGTGCCCTACCGCCTGCTTGACGAGGCCACCAAACGCAGCAACCGGGACAGCCTGTGCCAGGCTGTGCGCACTCTGCTGGGCTATGGCTACAACATCGAGCCACCTGACCAGGAACCCAGTGAGTGCTGACCCCTGGCCCTGAGCTGACCCCTGACCCTGCTCAGCCCCTGAGCTGGCTGTGGCTTCAACAGAGTCACCAAGCCCAGTGAACATGGACTCTTGGTCTCCAACCCTGCTTCCTCCTCTGCCCCTGACATTATTTTGACCTTTGGCACTAATCCTGAACCCTGACACCCTTGCCTGGGCTACTCTAAACCATCAACTGATGAAAAAAGTCAGTGAAAGCTGACTCCCCTGCTTCTAGTCCTGACACTAACCCTGACCCTGACCAGGCTTGCAGCCACAGCTCACTCAATTGCAGGCTTCGTGGGCCCTTCGCCCAAGCCCCTGGCCCTACCTGTAACTGACCTTAACCTCTGACTGAGCTGTAGCTACAACATGTAGCTGTACAGCAAGGGGCTCAGAGAGTTTCTTAACTCTCAACCCCCAACCTGACATTTAACCTAGCTGTCACCCCCAATCCTAGCCCAGCCCTAACCCTGATTCTGGTCTTGACTCTGGTCTTTGACCTCAGCTTCAATTTCTATCTCATTCTTGATGCTGGCTTTTACACTCCAGTTCTCCTGTCAAACTCACACCAATCCAACACCAGCCTAATCTTGACCCTTAACCCCAGACCATGACTCTGACCAGTTTACTGTTCTATTTCTCCTATTACTGTCAACTGTCTCTCTGTCCTCTGGGGGCTCTGATTGCTGAAGGGAAGGGGGAGTCTCACTCCCTAGGGCCTCAGCCCCTGACTAGTCTGTGATTTCCCAATTCTTCATCTCAAATATTTCTTGGGATGAGCAAACTCCTCCCATGGAATTTAGCCTTGGAAACCTAACATAGGTAACTAACTTCTTCCAAAAAGTTCCCTTACCTTCTCTGGTCCTTCCCACCAAACTCTCAGTAACTTGGGATTCAGCCCCTCTGATTCTGCCTGTCCCTATTGGTAGGTCAGGTCGAGAGCCAGTCTCGTTGGGATCGAGTGCGCATCTTCCGAGCGGAGCGATCCTATGCGGTGCAGAGTGGCCGCTGGTACTTCGAGTTCGAGGCAGTCACCACGGGTGAGATGCGAGTGGGCTGGGCCCGGCCAGAGCTGCGTCCCGACATCGAACTGGGAGCTGATGATCTGGCTTATGTCTTCAATGGGCACCGCGTGGGTATCTCCTTGGGCACCCCATTGCCAAGCCCCTCTGCACCTCCCATAGCTAAGACATTTTAGCCACTCATGCCTGCATCTAATTTGTCACTTTTTTTTAAAACAGACCCAACAGCTAACGTTTTCTATTTAATCTTGACCTACTGCTGTCAATTTGATCCCATATAGATCTTAAAGAGCACAATACCCTAAAGCATATATTCTTTTTGGTTAAGCTAAACTATAGCTTAAAATTAAGCTTACTATAATTGTTGTTGTTGTTATGTGCTGTCGAGTCACTTGCGACTCATAGCGACCCTATGTACAACAGCTCTAAATTCTGCTCTCCTGTGCCAGTCTCATTGTCTCCAACACACTCATCTCGATTGACCCAGTCACCAAATCAATCCACCTCCCAGAGGGCCTTCCCCTCCTGTGCCTGCCCTCCACCCTCCCAAGCATGATGTCCTTCTCAAAGGACCGGTCCCTCCTTACAACATGACCAAAGTATGTCAGACAAAGTTTCAGAATCCTTGCCTCCAAGGATTCTAGTTAATCTGGGAACTCTGGTGGTTTAGCGGTAAGGACTGCACTATCATATGGTTCAAATCTAGCAGATGGTCTGCCAAAGAAAAGATGGGCAATCTCCATTTGTGTGATTTACAGCCTCTGAAAACCTGCTGGACCCTCAGCTGTGAGTCAGTTCTGACTTGATGGTATATAACAACTACAGTTTGGTTTAAAGAAGACTTCAGGGGGTACTTTTGATTTAAGGGCAATAGTTTTAGGGATTCATCCAGTCTCCGTGCCTCCAGAAAGTCTGGCTTCCATGGGAATCTAAAATTATGTTCTGCTTTTCTCTTTTGATTACAACTCTTCTGTGGAAATTTAATCAAAGTTATATCTCATGGATGCAATTAATTATTCATGGAAGCAATTGGCCTCCAGTTATATTTCTTCCAGTTCTTGATTCTCCTTCCTCTATTGCTACAGGTGAATAGAGACCATTTGTGCTTTGGGATGTTTGTTTCTAAATTTTCAAGGCCCCAAGCACTATTCAATGAAGTAGGAGATAAAAGAACTAAACACAGTATTAGGACACTTAATTGGGATGATGCATGAAACTATGACTTTGAAACAAAGAAACCAAATGCTATAAGATGTATTGCCAGATACTCAGCTATCCACTCTTGCATCTATGTATTCCTCTATTTTTGTTCACCCATTAACTTGATATCTTTGTGAGTTTGTTATATAGTCATTCAACTACCCAATAATTTAATACATGTATCCAACCACTCATTCATTTACCTGTCTATGTATCGACTGTCTACTTATGCTTTCTTCTCTGAATCTACCCATGTCTACTTTTACCTTTCCATTCATTCTTCACCCACCAAGCATCCTATTTCATTATCCACTGATCTAGTCTGGGGACATAAGTTATATGCATGGGGAACATAGACAGGTTCATTTTTCCTTTCCATCTCTTCTTACTCCAGCCTTTCTCTACCACTTCTCCCAACCCCAGCTATGGGAATAGCAGAAAACTCAGAACCAGGAGGAAGGGATGCATCCATTCTCTAAATTCTAAGATCCTGGATGGGTTTGTGGGGAAAGATGTGAGACACTGTGGAGGTGACCTCTGTTCCTTAAGCCTGGATCTGATGCTCTGCTAACGCATTTTTATCCCTCTCTCCCCCCTCCCCGGCCCCCGCATCTGTATTCCTCCATTTCTCTATGTGTTTCTTCCTCCACTCTGTCTCCCTGGGCCTCCTCACAGGGCCAGCGCTGGCACCTGGGCAGCGAACCATTCGGGCGTCCCTGGCAGTCTGGTGACGTGGTCGGCTGCATGATTGACCTTTCAGAGAACAACATCATCTTCACCCTCAATGGCGAAGTTCTCATGTCTGACTCAGGCTCTGAAACTGCTTTCCGGGATATTGAGATTGGGGACGGTGAGAGCTGGCCGGGGGGCTTCCCTCTATCTCAGCTGACTTCTCACTACTGTCTAGCCTCCATTTCTTCCTCCCACAGTGCTACCCCCAGTAGCTTCCTTGCCCACCCTTATCCTACCCATCTGCCCCCTCCTCCCAGGCTTCCTGCCTGTCTGCAGCTTGGGACCTGGCCAGGTGGGCCACCTGAACCTGGGCCAGGATGTGAGCTCCCTGCGGTTCTTTGCCATCTGTGGCCTCCAGGAAGGCTTTGAGCCCTTTGCCATCAACATGCAGCGCCCAGTCACCACCTGGTTCAGCAAAAGCCTCCCCCAGTTTGAGCCTGTGCCCCCTGAGCACCCTCATTATGAGGTGAGAGTCTCTCCCAACTCAACACCTTTTGATCTCCCTCCAAACCTCCCTTACCCCACAGTGCTCTCCCCTGAACTTGCCTTGTCCTTCTTGGTAAGGACATAAGCCATGTAGAATGGGATGTCAGGATAATGCGCTCCTTGGGTTTCCTTAGGGGTGTAACCATGGCCAATACAACCGTTCCGAGCCCCAGTTTCTTCACTTATAAAATGGGGAAAGGGAAGCTGGATTAAGTGACCCCAGTGGAACATAGGGGGTTGCCTTGCATCAGTGGGATTTTTCGTTTTAGTTTTGTAGTGTAGTTGAGAGGATTAAATGACATAACAGTGCTTGTTAGCAATAAGTGCTGGATCAGGGTTTGACTATTGATATTATAGTTAAGTTCTGGTGGCTTAGTGATAAGAAATTGTGCTGTGAAACCAAACGCATGTAGTTCAAATCCACTAGCTGCTCCATAGGAAAAAGATGGATAGTCTCCCATGCAATTTACAGCCTGAAAACCCACTGGTCATATGAGTCCATTCTGATTTGACGGCAATGAGAGAGAAGTTGCTATTATAAGCTCTGACAAGTACCAGACAGGACTTATGAGTATGTAGAATAGGAAACAAGAGGACAGTGTTTTTGGAAAGCCCTTGTCCAGAGCACCCAGTGGGTGTGCAGTAGATTTGTTGAGTGAAAGAATGACATGGTCTGGAGTGAGTCCCTTGCACAATTAGTTTTAATGTTTTAAATGTATTTTTCTTTTTAAAAATAGTACTTTATTGTGTTTTCAGCAAAGGTTTACACAGCAGTTTAGGTTCCTCTTCAACAATTTCCATGCAATTTGTTCAGTGACATTGGGTTACATTCTTCACAATTCGTGGACATTCTTATTTCTGTTCTGGTTGTTCTGTTTCCATTAATCTAACTTCCTTGCCTCCTTAAATTCTCATCTTTGTTTTAAAGAAATGATTGGCCGTTATTTGGTGTCATATTCATACACACATGTAATTTTTTTAAGTGCACAATACGTCCTATGATATTATTTTTGGAGGTAATTTGTTATTTACAGGTAAGTTGTTTAAAGCTCCCCTGTGAGGCTGCCCAACACAAGGTACTCAGACCGAGGGCAAGAGAGTTGCTGAAGGCTTCTTCCTTCCAGAGGGGAAAATCGAAGGCTTGAATGATGGCTCTGTGTGTAACTAGGTTTCAGACGAGTGGCTCAGTGTCCCCCTTTCCCCCCACTCCCAACAGGTTTCGCGTGTGGACGGCACTGTGGATACTCCACCCTGCCTGCGCCTGACTCACCGCACATGGGGCTCCCAGAACAGTCTAGTGGAGATGGTCTTCCTCCGGATGAGCCTTCCGGTCCAATTCTATCAGCACTTCCGCTGCACCGCAGGGGCCACTCCCCTGGCCGCACCAGGCATGCAACCCCCAGCTGAAGATGAGGCCCGAGCTGCAGAACCCGACCCGGACTACGAAAACCTGCGCCGTTCAGCCGGGCGCTGGGGCGAGGCTGAGGGGGGCAAAGAGGGAACTGCTAAGGAGGGGGTGCCTGGAGGCACCCCCCAGGCTGGGGCAGAAGCCCAGACAACCAGGGCAGAAAATGAGAAGGATGCAACCACAGAGAAAAATAAGAAAAGAGGGTAAGTTGAGGGTGAGGCTGGGCTCTGGAATTTCGGGTCTGCTCTTGTGGTAAGGAGTTGCGCTGCCAACCCAAAGGCATATAGTTGGAATCCATCAGCTGCTCTGCTGGAGGAAGATGGGCAGTCTCCTCGTATGCAATTAACTGACTCTGAAAACCTGCTGAGGGGTCAGCTATGAGTCGGCTTCAACTCAACAGCACCCAACAGCTACAACAATTTTCTGACTCATTATGTGCCATTGAGTCACTTGCGACTGACTCATCGTGACCCTGTGTACACCTCCGACCCTTGCTCTGTCCTGAGCTAGTCTCACTGTCTCTACACACCTACTTACATAGCTCTAGTTACTCCTTTTCATCTGGGGTCTTCCACTCCTGCACTGTCCCACTACCCTTCTAAGCATCATGTCCTTCTCCAAGGACTGGTTCCTCTTGGTCACATGCCCTAAGTATGTGAGACAGAGCTTCATAATCCTTGCCTCCACGGAGCAGCTTGGTGTCACTCTCTCCAGGACAGACCTCTTTTTTCTCTTGGCTGTCCATGATACATTCAATATTCTTCTCCAGCACCGCAACTCAAAGGTATTGATTCTTCTTCTGTCATTCCTGGTCATTGTCCAGCTCTCTAATGCATAGCAAGTAATGGCAAAAACCATGGCCTGAATCAGGTTCACCTTAGTCCCCAGATTGACATCATTGCTCATTAGTGATGGATAAACTTTGGATAGCTGAGTGCTTAAGGTCCTCCTCAGTTTCAGCAAGCAAGGTTGTGTCATCTGCATAACGTGGGTTGTTGATGAGTCTTCTTCCAACCCTGATGCCACCTTCCATGTTGGTAGTATAGTGATGAGGATAGCTGCCTTCCTGATGCCACATTCCTTCTCATAAAGACCAGCCTCCAGAATGATATGCTCCACGTTTAGATTAAAAACGAATGGAGACAGGATGTGTATTCCTGACGCACTCCTTTCCTGATTTTGAACCATGCATTGTTTTCTTCCTCTGTTCTGAGGACTGCTTCCTGGTCCAAATACAGGTTTCGCACAATCAGACTCATAGAAATCCATATACAACAGAATGCAACCCTGCTTGACCCTGTGCCATTCTCAGAATCTCTGCTGTACTTCAGCCAACTCCACCTGCTTTAGTCTTCCAAATTAGAAAACCTCAATAGCTTGAGAAATCCACTACATCCCAGGTGGCTCCATATAGGCTAATAAGGATCGTTGTTATTGTTAAGTGCCATGGTGCTGTTGTTGATTGCCATCAGTGACCCTATGAACAAAAGCCCTGTAGCCTTTCTATAATTATCCTCATTTCTCAGTTCATAGAGTTTCCAGAGGCATGTGGTTAGGAGGTCGATGCCACTCCTGCTTCCAAAAATGCCGTGGAGTCGCCTCATAAAGACCCTATGGATGAACCCTGCTCTAACCTGTGTTATTATTGTCATCTTTGACACATAAGTCATGACTCAAGTGAACTCCACTAGTGTCCTAAAATGCCCTAATTTTCCTGAGAATATAAAACTGAGATACTCTAGAGATTCTTGAGAACGATACTATCTTTGGCATCTCTGATAGGCCTCAAAGGGCTCCACCCAATGGACTCATTCCAGTGGGGACATCAATATCTCAGAGAGTAGACTGTACCCCAAGATGTCTCAGTGAGCATCAAGTAGTCTTCTAAATTGAGGCCTTTTCAAAGGATGCAAGTATACTTCCAAAATGTCACCTGAAGGAAGCACTTCTGAAAATGTTACTGTTACGTGCTATTGAGTCGACAACTCATAGGGACCCTGTGAACAACAGATCTGAATCGTGAGCTGTCTTCCGCTAGCCTGTCTCTCAAATGCTCTAGCCCGTTGTTTCAGCCACCATGTCAGTCTCATCTCTTTGAGAGTTTCCTCTCTTTCTCTGACCCTCCACCTTTCCCACCGTGATGTCTTAAGGACTAGGTCCTCCTGACAACCCGTCCAAAGTTTGAGACGAAGTTCCACCATCTTGGCTTCTTGGGAGCTTCTTGGTTGTACTTCCTCCAAAACAGACTATTCTTTGACAGTCCATGGGGTGTTCCATATTCCAAGGCATCAGGTCTTCCTTCATCCTCGTTCGTTGTCCAACTTTCAGATGCATGGGAAGAAACTGAAAATACTTTGGCTTGGATCAGGTTCACCTTAGACGGATAATGTTTTTCTTCGGCTGTGCTGCCAATCCAAAGGCAGTAAGTTCAAATTCACCAGCTTCTCCAAAGGAGAAAGTCTTTAAAGTCAGCTGATCAGTTCTGACTGACTGTACGACAGAGTTTGGTGTGAGGGGCTCCAAGGATCCCACAGGCCTTGTGTTGTATTAATACTGTGCCTCACAGTGCAGAATTATTCTCTCCCAGATGCCTTTAGCACCCATATGGGAAATGGTGACTGAGATGAACCACTGCTTGCCCCGTGTTTGCAGAAAGGACATCCGAATTTAGGTTTCTAACACCCACAGCATGATGTCCTTTCCCACGGCTGGTTCCCCTGATGTACCCAAAGGGAGGCAGTTTCACCATCCTCGCCTCTGAGGAGAATGTTAGTTGCCCCTGGACAAGATGAGTTGACACAGTGACTTCAACAGTGGGCTTGAGGAAGGCAGTTTGTGAAGATGGCACAGGACAGGGCAGGTTCCCAGAGTTGTTCATAGAGTTCATATCATCAACTCAATGGCACCTAACAACAGCGTCCATGGGCCTGCAGTGCAGCATCTACTGGAGCGAGCTGAGGCAGCTCAGGTCTGTCTCTCTTGAAGTGAGGCCTTGGTTATTAGGAGCAGGGTGTTGTTAGGACAGTTGTGGGGGCCAGGATGCTGTGGTTGGGAGGGCTGGGGCGATGCACTTGAGAGCTGATTTTCACAGCAGCCTTTTCTCCCTGCTACCAGGTTCTTATTCAAAGCCAAGAAGGCTGCCATGATGACTCAGCCACCAGCCACCCCAACTCTGCCCCGACTTCCTCGTGATGTGGTGCCTGCCGATGACCGCGATGACCCTGAAATCATCCTCAACACCACCACGGTGTGAACCAAGAACCCTGGACTTAAACCTCTACGTTTAGCATGAGAACTCCCAATTCCCATATCTTGAGGGTACCCCAGAATGCACTGAAGACCTCTCAGTTCATAGCTAGGGGTCCTAAGAATGGCAGAAACACAATGAAGCCATAATTCAAAAGGTCCAGGATACAGAAGGCACATCAAAGGGAACTCTGATAGTTTAGCAATAAGGAATTGCTGTGCCAACACAAAGGTATGTGGTTCAAATCCACCAGCTGCTCCACAGGAGAAAGACAGGCAGTCTCCTTCTGTGTGATTTACTGCCTCCGAAAGCCTGCTGGAGGGTCAGCAATGCGTCAGTTCCAACTTAATGGTACACCACCACCAATATAGACGAAGGATCACAATGAATCGGCTCACTCATATGATTTCATATGGGAATTTAATAGCTACTGCAGATGATGAGGATGGCACAGGACAGGACAGAGTTTCTATCTGTTCACAGGATCACTGTGAGTCATACTCAACTTGACAGCACAACAAATGCATGGAACCAGACATCATAATTATCCCAATAACAAGGGGGGTTTTGGGATTTTTTTAGATCCTAATATAGTTTTGAATGTACCATGGACTGCCAAGAAAACAAACAGATTTATCCTACAGAGGGTTAAACCAGGCTACTCCTTGGAGGCAAAGATTCTGGGGTTTTGTCTGACATACTTTGGACATGTTGCAAGGAGAGACAGGTCTTTGGAGAGGGACATCATGCTGGGTAGAGTAGAGGGACAGCGCAGGAGGGGAAGACCCTCTATGAGGTGGATTGATTCAGTGACTGGGGTAATCGGGATGGGTGTGTCAGAGGCAATGCGATTGGCACAGGATAGAGCAGGGTTTAGGGCTGTTGTACATAGGGTCGTTGTGAGTCGCAAACGACTCGACGGCACATAACAACAACAACAATATAGTTTTGGGATTTCACAAACCTAGACTCTCATGAGTAGAATCTTCTATGACAGACTGCCTAAATACGACTTGGGCAAGTCATTTCACAATGTTTGCCTCCATTGCCCCACCAATAATATGGGGATGAAAACTGTCCTCAATTGATGGACTGCGGATTGATTTAGCTATTTCATATGAAAACTAAACATTGTTATATAAGTTAGTTATTCTTGAAGGGGCTCAAGAGGTGCTGAGGTTAAGGCATTTGGCTGCTAACCAGAAGGTCAGCGGGTCAAACCCACCAGCTGCTCAGTAGGAGAAAGATGAAGCCGTCAGTTTCTGTCGTGATTCCTGGTCTTAGAAACCCTGTGGGTGGTTCTGGTCTGTCCTGTAGGGTCTCTGTGGGTTGGAATCAACTCAGCAGTAGGTTTTGTTTAATTATTACTTTGTTGTAATCTGGGATGGGCCCTAAATCTCAGAGTATCACAAAATAGTCCCAAGAAATTCCCAAATCTAAAAAGACATCAGTGGATACAGAAATAGAGACCCATGGGTTGAGGAGGTCTCAAATCCATCCATTTCTTGTTAAGTGCCCAGAGGACCCCAAGAATCCAGGGACTTCCAGAATCCCCAGTCTTCCCACACTGACCATTGGTCTCCATTTGCCTCTCCAGTACTATTACTCTGTGAGGATCTTTGCTGGTCAGGAGCCCAGCTGTGTGTGGGTGGGCTGGGTCACCCCCGACTACCATCAGCATGACATGAACTTCGACCTCAACAAGGTCCGGGCCGTGACGGTGACCATGGGGGATGAACAAGGCAACGTCCACAGCAGGTACAGGGGAGGTGTGGGTGGAGTGGGTGATGGGGGGCTGTCTGGTGTGGGACCTGGGTCCTCTCTGGAATAAGGAAGTGCCAGAGCTCCCCCACATTTTCATCGCCTGCTCTTCCTGGTTCTTTTCCTCCACGTGTTCCTGCTTTGGCATTTCTCTTCCCTCATCCCCACTTCTTTACTTCCATTTTCTCCTTTTCCATCTTGCCCTCCTTCTTCCTCATCATTTCCTTTGTTTTCTCTTTCCTTTTCTTCGCCTCCCTCGTCCTCCTTTCATAACCCTCATCACCTTCAGGAATTCTAGCTCTAAGTTGTTCAGAATCTGGGATGAGGGGTCTCAGAGCTCACGTCTGCAGGTGGTGGGTGTTTATGGAGGGACCCAGAGGTCATGGTCTTCCAGACGCTCAGGCAAGGGGCACTCTGGGGTCCAGAGCACCTGAGCTGTAGACCCTAAGTAATGCCCATTTCTGTCTCCTCCAGCCTCAAATGCAGTAACTGCTACATGGTGTGGGGCGGGGACTTTGTGAGTCCTGGGCAGCAGGGCCGGATAAGCAACACGGACCTCGTCATTGGCTGCCTGGTAGACTTGGCTACTGGCTTAATGACCTTTACGGCCAATGGCAAAGAGAGCAACACCTTTTTCCAGGTGAGTCCAACCTTGGCCGTGTGTCAATAGCCTCCCATTAATTAACATATTCTCAGACATCATCTGAAGTCAGATCCAGAGTCTATGCACAGCAGATCTGAACCTTGTCCTGTTCTGCACCATCTTCATGGTTTCTGACTTTTTTTTTTTTTAGTTTGGGGTTTTATTTCTTTTTTTAAAATTTTTACTAGTTTATTTACAAAATTCTAATATATAGTTTTCAAGAAAAATTCTTTCAATTTCTCTCACCCCCCATCCAATTGTACAATCCCATGATTAATACCCCTCCACACCCCTGCACATCCTCATCTCTCTGCTTCCACCCTCTCCCATCCCTCTTGGATCCTTATACTCATTTTACAATAATAGTTTTATACAATATTTATCCTTGTGGGACTGGGATCTTCATGATCTCTGACATGCTTGAGCTGGTTGTTACAATCACTGTGTCCATCCATCTTGTGGAGGGAACCATTGGGGTTCAGAGTCAACCCCACCCTCTGCCCTCTCCTCTTCCTCACCCTATCTCCTTCTCCCTTGCCAGGTGGAGCCTAACACAAAGCTGTTTCCAGCTACCTTTGTCCTGCCCACCCACCAGAATGTTGTCCAGTTTGAGCTGGGGAAGCTGAAGGTCAGACTGCCATGATCTGGGCAGGAAGGGGGAAGTCTGGGGCCAATGGTGTGGGGAGGGCAGGCTAGCTAAAGGGAGGGACAACCCGGGAGCCCTCCCTGAGAGCAGGGTGGCTGAGCAGTGAAGGCTGGGAATTCTGACCCATTTGTGTGTGCTTTTGCTCTGCAGAATATCATGCCATTGTCAGCCGCTATGTTCCTGAGTGAGCGCAAGAACCCAGCCCCACAGTGTCCACCACGGCTGGAGGTGCAGATGCTGATGCCGGTCTCCTGGAGCCGCATGCCCAACCACTTCCTGCAGGTGGAGACCCAGCGAGCTGGCGAGCGGCTGGGCTGGGCCGTGCAATGCCAGGAGCCCCTGACCATGATGGCACTGCACATCCCCGAGGAGAACCGGTCAGAGCCAGTCAGTCACATGGGGGAGGGGCAGGTCTTCTGGGGTCTGGAGCCAACTTGGGCCTCCTCTTCCTAGAACCCCGTGGACTCCAGAAAACACCCTGGGAGGTGTTAGGTCCACCTCAGAGGGCCCTAGACCCACCCCTGAGACCCAGATTTACCTCAGAAATCCAGACTCATCTTAAGGAACTCTGGACTCAACTCAGAGATGTCAGACTTCACTCAGGCTACTCCATATCCACTTTAGGGAGTCCTCACGGACCCCAGACAATACTCCAGGGACTCAGACACCTAGGGCCCTGAACCCAGACCCACAAAAAGGAACCCTAACTACCCCCAGGGGGTCCCAAGTGTATCTCAGGGAGCCCATGACATTGCTCAGAGAGACCCAGGAAATCTTCATACACATTTCATGGAAATCTCAAACCTACTCCAGTGGGCATTCGTGCTCACCCAGGGCAACAGATGTGTTCATACGGCTAGTTGGTGTTGTTATATACCATCAAGTCAAAACTGACTCATAACTGACTGTCCACCAGGTTTTCAGAGGCAGTTAATTGCATGGGAGATTGCCCATCTTTCTCCTATGGAGAAACTGTGGATTCAAACTGTGTGCCCCTGGCTTGGTAGAGTAACTCCTTACCCACTAAGCCACCAGGATGCACTTCACGTGGCTAGTAGGACTACACTAAAGACTCTAGACCTGGCCAGGGATCCCAGAGTGTCTGCAGTCTTTCCTTTATTTATTCACGGGACAAACAGCTCTGAGCCCCTCCTACAGGAGGGGTGGGCATTGGTGGCTGGAGACACAATTCCATTGAGAACTGACATTCCAGTAGCATTGAAGTATAACTTGGGGTGCTGGGATCTCCTCACAAAAACTCAACCTCATGAGAGACTAAAGGCATTCCCTTTGCGAACAGGGAACAAGGATTCCCACTGTTACCACTTCAGCTCAGTACTGTAGCGCAAGTACAAGCTAGGAAAATAAGAGAAGGAAATAAGAGGCCAAAAGGTGGTAAAACTAGCACTAAATGCAGACAATATTATAGAGTACACAAAAAACTCCCAAAGACTAAACAAACAATCCTGCTAGACCTATTAGACTATTTTAAGAGAGTGGCAGGCTACTAGAAGAAGATATAAAAACCAGTTAGATTTCTCTATAGCAACAAAGGAAGCATGGAAAAGGATATTAGAAAAGCAATACCATTTACGAAAACCAGCCCCAAGATAAAATTCTTAGGAATAAATGTAACTAGAGACACAGAAGACCTTTTTAGGGAAAATCGCAAAACTACCAGAAACAAGAGATTTGATTAAATGGAAAAATATTCCCTGCTCATAGATAGGAAGATTCAGCATTGTGGAAATGACCAAAAGCCATCTACAGGTTCAACACAATCTCAGTACAGATACTAAACTCATTCTTCTAGGAGGTAGAAAAGAACTCAGACCCGTTCCTGGGAGCTCCAAATAAGACTCAAGGAACAAATGATTTCATACTGCAAATGGTTTCATGACATACTCTTTACTGAGAATGTCCCGTGTGCTGGGGCTGTGGTGATGCAGTCTGCATGGCATTGTGCTAACCCAGAGGTCATGCCTCTCTGCCAATTTGACTCCACCAGCCATTCTGAGGGTGAAAGATGGGCAGTCCAATCCCATGGGATTCATAGGCTCAGAAAACCCACTAGAGGGTCAGCTATGAGTTGGTTTGAAGTCGATGGCAGTGTGTTTTGATGAATTTTACTCTGTGCTGGAAATATAGTAGGAAAACCAGATAAGAAGGCCTGCCCTCAAGAGTTATAGGAGTTTATGTTGTAGTGATGCTCAGACATCACCAAGGTTCTTGGACCTACCAGAGGGGGTTCAGATGCAATTTCGGGAGGTCACAGATACATCTTGAAGTCATCAGGTCTTCTCCATGGAGTGCATATATCCCATACCTCAAGACCACTTAAGGGATGTGTTCCAAAGGAGCTTCCAGAACCATTGAGAGATTTCTAGATCCAGTCACATAGGCCCCCTCCCAGAACAGAGACCTAGCAGGACACTGGAAGTCTCTGCTGAAGCCACCAGCACTCACAGAGCATCTCTGTCCCTCTCTGTGGTGTGTCTCTCCTGAGTTATCTGTGCCCCACCTCCACCGCAGGTGCATGGACATCCTGGAGCTGTCTGAGCGCCTGGACCTGCAGCGCTTCCATTCCCACACCCTGCGCCTCTACCGCGCCGTGTGCGCGCTGGGCAACAACCGCGTGGCGCACGCTCTGTGCAGCCACGTGGACCAGTCGCTGCTGCTGCACGCGCTGGAGGATGCGCACCTGCCCGGCCCGCTGCGGGCCGGCTACTACGACCTGCTCATCAGCATCCACCTCGAAAGCGCCTGCCGCAGCCGCCGCACCATGCTCTCCGAGTACATCGTGCCGCTCACGCCTGAGACCCGCAGCATCACCCTCTTCCCGCCTGGAAAACGCGTGGACAACGGTCCTCGCCGCCATGGGCTGCCCGGCGTCGGGGTGACCACCTCGCTGCGGCCCCCGCATCACTTCTCGGAGCCCTGTTTCGTGGCCGCCCTGCCGGCGGCCGGTGTGGGAGAAGCCCCGGCCAGCCTCAGCCCCTCCATCCCCCTGGAGGCCCTGCGGGACAGAGCGCTGAGGATGCTGGGGGAGGCCGTGCGAGACGGCGGGCAGCACGCGCGAGACCCCGTCGGGGGGTCTGTGGAATTCCAGTTTGTGCCGGTGCTCAAACTTGTGTCTACACTGCTGGTAATGGCTTTCTCCAGCTTCTTCCCCGTTACAAGCAGTCCTGCAGTCTTCCGTTTACCAACACGCAGTCATCTCTGCATTTCATTCATCCAGCCACCATTCTACTCATCAGCTTCCACCCACCTTTACTTTTATCCACTCGTCTATCATTTTTTCACATATTTATTCATTTTTTTTTATTCTTCCAACTAACCAACTTCACCTCCTTGTCCATCCGCCAGTCTGCCAACCCTGCTCTCACTTTCCCATCCATCTATACATGCCACCCACAGTCCATCCGTTCATCTCTTTCCCCACATTCCTACCCAACTTTTAATATGTTAATCTGTTCATCCTTCCATTCAAGTAATACATCTGTCCATCCACCATTCATTCTGTTAATCTGCCTCATTAGGTTTTTAATCCATCATTTCTTCTGTCCACCCATCCAGCCTTTATCCATCTTCCATCTATGTTCCCTCCATCCATAAACCCATCCACAAATCTGTTTAACTCTTCCATCATCTGCCTCTCTCTCTCTCCACCCTTTGTTGTGTGTGCTATCAAATCAGAACTGACCCATACCTGACCCTTGTACAGGAGGGAGGAGATTGCCCATCCTTCACCTGTGGAGCAGCTGGTGGGTTTGAACCACTTGCCTTTGGGGTTGCAGTGCAGTTTCTTGCCACTCGGCCACCATACTCCCTGTCCATCCATCCATGCATACGTATTTCCAGCTGTACATGCACTCATTACTCCACCCACAAATCCATCAAACCAGCCTACCCCCATTCATCCATCACTTATCTATTAGTTCATGTGCTTGTTCATTCATCTAGTAATTCATCATCCCCCCTCCAGCCAACTTTTCATACAAACTCTACCCACCTTCCCCTCACTCATGACTGTTGACTTTGTCCAGTATCCAGTTAGCCATCTAGTCATGAATTAATTAATCCATCAACCTACTCTTGTAGCCACAAATCCATGCATATATTACTTACCTTTATGTCACCTATCCATCTACCATTTTTCACCACCTTTACTGTCATCCTTGCCCCGATCATTCACCTATGTAGCTCTCTCTTTGAACTTTTTATCATTCCATCTGTTCATTCTTCTGCCCAGCCACCCAGCCATCTCTCCACTCATCCATCTCTCATATTGTCTTTCTCTCTCCATTTTTCTTCCCTTTCACCTACCCTCTCTTTTTCAATGTATTAGCATTCTTGTTATGTTGACTGATATGTGGCATATGCTGGGAGGGATAAAGAAGTTATGAGATACTTACCTGGCAGGGGAGATACCGTGATCATGAAGGTGGTTTTCCCGGGGTGAGGCTTATCCATTTCCCTGTGGATGTACTAATCCCTGCAATTTCCCCAAATGTGGCAAACTCGATGGCATAATTTTTAATCATGGGGGACTGCATTTGTGCTTTCTTCTGTTTGGAGAAAAAAAAAGAAGCTATGGGGACCCCCATCAAGTGTAGGACGTGCCTTTGTCTTAGAGCTCAGTCTTTGGGGAAGAACATATAACTGAATGGAGAGGTGTCCGTGTTTAACTCTGTGGTCTGGACCATGTGGGTATGACACAGAAAGTGAGCCTGGGAGGTTTGTCAGGTGAGCAGGTGGTTGACAAAGCAAAAGAACTGTTATTCCTGCAAATCCAAGGAGTCATATAAACCAATGCAGGAATGAAGCTGTCCTTTGTAGGAACAGCAGGGCTGGGGAGGGAACCCAGAGCCTGATGATGGAGGGCAACGGTGAAGGACTCAGTTTTTTCTTGTAGGTAATGGGTGTCTTTGATGATGAGGATGTAAAACAGATTCTGAAGATGATCGAACCTGAAGTGTTCACTGAAGAGGAGGAGGAGGAAGAGGAGGAGGAGGAAGAAGAAGATGAGGAAGAGAAGGAGGAGGATGAAGAGGAAGAGGCAGAGGAGAAAGAAGAGGCAGCAGAAGGGGAGAAAGAAGAAGGCTTGGAGGAGGGGCTGCTTCAGATGAAGTTGCCGGAATCTGTGAAGTTGCAGGTAACTTGACGTTTCTACTTTCCAGCCTTTCTCTTTCTGGGCTGGGAGACCCAGAGCCTGGTCAAGCTTGAGGAGTAGAGATGTTCTCCTGAGGCAATGGGAAGTGTATAAAATGATTCAGTGATGCTGGCTTGCAATCATCCTTCTGATTGCCTGTGGAGGCTGACTTAAGGCTCTAGGTAGGAGACACTGAAGACTGAATCAGGGCAGGGCCATGCCAAGGGATGAGAAAGCAAGAAAGCTGTCATGGAAGCTTTGATCACCTGTGGCATGACTGTCCACCCACAGATGTGCCACCTGCTGGAGTATTTCTGTGACCAAGAGCTCCAGCACCGTGTGGAGTCCCTGGCAGCATTTGCGGAGCGCTATGTGGACAAGCTACAGGCCAACCAGCGAGGCCGCTATGGCCTCCTCATGAAAGCCTTCACAATGTCTGCAGCTGAGACTGCCCGACGCACCCGCGAGTTCCGCAGCCCACCCCAAGAGCAGGTAGGTCTGACTCCAGGCTAGTCTTGCTGTCTAATCTCCAACCTCCCCTCATCCTCTGGTTGTATTCTGGTTAGTATTCAATCTCTAACGCATGCCTGAACTTTGAGCCTCGGGACACTCGCATTTCTTACGGCCATACCTTTCTCTGAACCCACCTGACTTGGGTCACCTGAACTTGGATGCTCCTGACTCCTTTTCAGCCTATGGCCCTAATTTCATTAACTCACAACTTGTCTCAGAGGACCCACAATTGGACTTTTGGTCCTTGATGTCATATAGGATCCTGGACCTTCATTCTCACTTTATATCTGATTGTCCCCTAGATCAACATGCTGTTACACTTCAAAGATGGTGCAGATGAGGAAGACTGCCCTCTCCCTGAAGACATTCGGCAGGACTTGCTTGAATTTCATCAAGACCTGCTGGCACACTGTGGTAAGGAGAGAGAATCTCCATGAAACCCATTCCACCCTCAGTTCATCTGAGATCACTCCTGAAGTCCCCCTAAGACTTTTTCTCCACACTGGTGGAGATAGCTACTAGTAGAATGAGTGAATATTCATTTTTTAAAGAACAGATGGATGATGAGTGGAAGGATATGTTTATAAAGGTTTTTGAGTAGATGGATATATGGTTAATGACTATCAAAAGTCAAAGTTATTGCTGTCAAGTCAGAACCAACTCCAGTGGGTTTTCAGAGGCTGTAATTCTCACGATAGGAGACTGCCCATCTTTCTCCTGTGGAGCCCCTGGTGGATTCGAACTGCCAGAGAGCCCTGTCTTTCAACTAGCAGCGCAGATCTCTACTAACAATGCATCAAGCCTCCTATAGGCAGATGAATATACAGGTTTGTGAGTTGATGGTAAGAAGTGATGAATAACGAAACAGGTGAAGAAATAGCTGGGTGGAAAAGTGGCTGAAAGACTTCCATTGATGAGTTGTTGTTGTGGTTCTGTGCCATCAAGTCACCTGCAGCTCATAATGACCCTATGTACAATAGCTCTGAGCTCTGTTCTGAGCCAGTCTCACTGTTTCTGACACACCTACCACCATTATCTCATCTGAGATCTTCCTCTCCTGCATTGTCTTCCCACCCTTCCAAATATTATGTCCTTTCCCAAGGACTGGTCCTTCCTGGGCACATGCCCAAAGTATGTGAGACGGAGCTTCAAAATTCTTGCATCCAAGGAGCAGCCTGGTTTCACCCTCTCTAGGATAAACCTTTTTGTTCTCTTGGCAGTCAGTGGTATGTTCAATATTCTTCTCCAGCACCACAACCCAAAAGGACCAATTCTTTTGTCATCTTTGGTCATTGTTCAGCTCTCTGATGTGTAGCAAATATAATTATGAAGACTATGACCTGAAACAGGCCTATCTTAGTCTCCAGACTGTCATCGTTGCTCTTCAGCACTTGTGAGAAGTCCCTGGAAGCAGCCTTCCCCAGAGCAATTTGTCTTTTGATTTCTTGACTGCTGGTGCCAAAAGTGTTGATTGTGGAGCCAAGCAAGCTTTAACTGTTAACAACTTCAGTCTCTATCTAGCATGTGCTGCCAATTGGTCCAGTGGAGAGAATCTTTGTCTTCTTGATGTTGAGCTTCAATCTATACTGAAGACTAGAATCCTTGACCTTTTGCATCAAACAATTCAGGTCCTCTTCAGTTTTAATGATCAAAGTTGTATCATCTGCATAAATAACATAGGTTGTTGATGAGCCTTCCACCAATCCTGATGCCACATTTCTCCTCATAAAGACCAACCTCCCGAATGATCTGTCCTGCATATAAATTGAAAAAGTATGGTTGACAAGATGCATCCCTCACATACTCCTTTCCTGATTTTGAACCATGCAGTGTTTCCTTGCTCTGTTCTGAGGACTGCCTTCTAGTCCAAGTATAGTTTTCACATGAGCACAATCAAGTGTTCTGGGTTTTCCATTCTTCTCAAGGTTAGCCACAATTTGTTATGATCCACACAGTCAAATGCCTTTGCACAGTCAATGAAACACAGATAAGAGATTCCTCTGGTACTCTTTGCCAAGATCCATATAGTGTTGGCAATAATGTCTCTGGTGCCTCTTCTAAACCTGGCAGTTTTTCTGGCAATTCTCTGTTGATGTATTGTCCCAGTCATTTTTTTAATTATCTTCAGTGGGATTTTGATTGTGTGTGCTATCATTGATGTTGTTCAGTAGTTTCCACACTCAAGAGAAGTCAGCTAATAATCTTACTGACTTTCCCATGCACACAATATGTCCTTTTTCTCCAGATACTTTAATTTTTTCCCCTCTTTGTCTTTTGATAGCTTGCATTTAATGTGTTTTGGTATTGTTGTTGTTGTGTACCACTGAGTCAGAACCAACCAGAGTTGACCTGCTGCTGGGTTTTCCAAGCCAATTAATCACATGAGAGAAGATTACCCATCCTTCTCCCATGCAGCAGTGGGTGTATTCAAACTGCATGCCTTTAGGATTGCAATGAAGTCTCTTACCACTTGATCACCAGAGTTCCCTGTGTTTTGATATGGGGGGAACCCCCAAACAATCCCACAAACAGGCAAGCTCTGGTGGCCTAGTGGCGAGAAGCTACACTGCAGTCCCAGAGGTAAGCAGTTCAAATCCACCAAATGCTCTGCTGGAGAAGGAGGGACAATCTCCTTCTGTACCAGCCAGATCTTATTTGATGGTACACACACACAAAATAATAAAAATAAAATTATTTAAAAAACCAATCCCACAAACAAAACCGACTGCCATCGAGTTGAGTGCACTCTGCACAGCAACCCTACCTTACATTTCCAAGGCTGTAAATCTTTAGGAGAGGATACTGCTCATCTTTCTCCTGTAGAGTGGCTAGTGGGTTTCAACTGTCAACCTTTTGGCTGGTGGCTCAACAATGTCTCATATTATGCTGCTATGGCTCCTTTTAGGTCAGTTTTTGTTTTTGTTGTTGGTATGCTTGCTGAAACTGAAGAGGACCTAAAGTGCTTGCTGCAGAGGGTCAAGGACTGCAACCTTCAATATGGATTGAGGGTCAATATCAAGAAGACAAAGATTCTCACCACTGGAGCAATTGACAGCATCAGGATGGATGGTGAAGAGATTGAGATTGTTCACAGCTTTAGTTTGCTTGGCTCCATGGTTAACACTCTCGGCACCTGTAGCCAGGAAATTAAAAGACGTATTGCGATGGGAAAGTCTTCTGTTAGGGACCTCACCAGGGTACTGAAGAGCAATGGTGTCTCTCTGGAGATTAAGGTGCGTCTGATACCAGCCATGGTCTTTGCTATCACTTGTTATGCATCAGAGAGTTGGACAATGACTGGGAAGGACAGAAGGAAAATTGATGCTTTTGAGCTGTGGTGCTGGAGAAGAGTATTGAATGTACCATGGACTGCCAAGAAAACAAACAGATTCAGCCTGGAGAGGGAGGCAAGGATTCTAGGGCTTTGTCTGGCATACTTTGGACATGTTGTAAGGAGGGACAGGTCCTTAGAGAGGAACATCATGCTTGGCAGGGTGGAGGGACAGTGCAGGAGGGGAAGACCCTCTATGAGGTGGGTTGATTCAGTGACTGGGGTAATTGGGTTGGGTGTGTCAGAGGCAGTGCGATTGGCATAGGATAGAGCAGGGTTTAGTGCTGTTGTACATAGGGTTGCTATGAGTCGCAAGGGGACAGCACATAACAATGTAACCTTTTAGGTCTAGAACTGTTTTATTGTAGTTGGAGTTCATGGAACTCCTTAGATGTGTAGATGAATATTTTTTCTAAAATTCAAGAGTTTTGAGGACATTTTTTCTTCAGATATTTTCGCTGCTTCCCCCAACTTCTTTATCTGGGACTCTAAATCTGTATATATTGGTGCATTTGATGGAGTACCATAGGTATTATTATTATTATTATTATTATTAATATTTTGTGTATGTACCATCAAATAGAATCTGACTGGTACAGGAAGAGATTGTCCCTCCTTCTCCAGCAGAGCATCTGGTGGATTTGAACCGCGCACCTCTGGGATTGCAGTGCAGCTTTTTGCCACTAGGCCACCAAAGCTCCCTCTCATAGGCTTTTGAAATGGTTCATTTTCCTTATTTTTTGATCTTTCTGTTCTTCAGACTTTTGTTGTTGATGTGTGTGGTCAAGTTGGAACCAAAACATAGCTGACCCTCTAGTGGGTTTTCAGAGAAAGTTTAATCACGTGGGAGGAGACTGCCCATCCTTCTCCCAAGGAGCAAGCGGCTCCTTTGGAATTGCAGCACAGCTTCTTACTACTCGGTCACCAGAGCCTATAGGAGTATTGCAAAATATTATCAACAACAACCACTTCCTTTAAAAGAAGATGGAAGTAGTATAACAAGTCACTGTATCAGGAATTGGCTGATACAAAAGAACGTCAGGAAACAATGTATAAGCAAGTGCCTGTGGTGATGAAGGAAGAAGTCCAAGCTGCTCTGAAAGAACTGGCAAAAAAACAAGGCTCCAGAAATTGACGGCATACTGATTGACATATTTTAACAAAGAGATGCGTACCTGGACGCACTTACTAAGTTGTGCCAAGAAATCTGGAGGATAACCACCTGGCCAACTGACTGGAAGAGAGAGTGCAGAAACTATCAGACAATATCATAAATATCACAGGCAAGCAAGATTCTGCTGAAAATCACTCAAAAATGACTGGAGCAGCACATCAACAGAGAAATGCCAGATGTGCAGTCTGGCTTTAGAAGAGGCTGTGGTAATAGGGATATTATAGCTAACATTAGATGGATCTTGGCTGAAAGCAGAGTACCAGAGGAATGTCTATCTGTGTTTCATTGACTATGCAAAGGCCTTTGACTGTGTGTATCACAACAAGCTATGGCTGACTCTAAGAAGAAAACCTATACTTGGACCAGGAAGCAATCGTCAGAACAGAGCAAAGAAACAATGCATGGTTCAAAATTGGGAAGGGTGTACACCAGTGATGCATTCTGTCTCCATACCTTTTCCACCTATATGCAGAACAGATCATCTGGGAGGCTGGACAATATGAGGAAGAATGTGGCATCAGGATTAGAGGAAGATTCATCAACAATCTGTGTTATGCAGATGACACAACCCTGTTTGCTGAAACTGCGGAGGACCTGAAGTGCTTGTTGTAGAAAACCAAGGACTTCAGCCCTCAATATGGATTGATGCTCAACATCAAGAAAACAACGATTCTCACCACTGGGCCAATTGGCATCATGATAGATGGTGAAGAGATTGAGATTGCTCACAGTTTTAGTTTGCTTGGCTCCACAGTCAACGCTCTTGGTACCAGCAGCCAGGAAATCAAGAGATGGGAAAGTCAACTGTCAGGGACCTCTCCAGAGTACTGAAGAGCAATGACATCACTCTGGAGACTAAGGTGCGTGCTAGTTCAGGCCATAGTCTTCGCAATTGTGTGCTATGGATCAGAGAGCTGGACAATGACTAGAGATGATAGACAATTGATGCCTTTGAGTTGTGGCACTGGAGAAGACCTTTGAATATACCATGGACTTCTAGGAGAACAAACAGTTCGTCCTAGAGAGGATGAAGCTGGCCTGCTCCTTGGAGGCAAGGATTTTGAAGCTCCGTCTGATATACTTTGGACGTGTAGCAAGGCGAGACCAGTCCTTGGAGAGCGACGTCATACTTGGAAGGGTGGAGGGAAAGCCCAAGAGAGGAAGACCCTGGATGAGATGGATTGATACAATGACTGGGTAATGGGGATAGGTGTGTCAGAGACAATAAAGTTGTCACAGGATAGAGCAGGTTCAGGGAGTCGCAAGCGACTTGGCAGCACAGAACAAAAAATCACTTTGTTAGTAATGGAGCTCTGCTGCCAACCAAAAGTGGCACCTCCCTGGAGTTTGAATCCACCAACTCCTCCCCAGGAGAAAGATGGGCAGTCTCCTCCTGAGTGATTTACAGCATCATAAAACCTGCTGGAGGGTCAGCTCTGAGTCAGTTCCCACTCTGGCATTGAGTTTGAGTTTTTTTAATTATTATGTTCTGTTTCGTGAGTGTATTAATACAGTATACCTAATTTTTAAAAAAAAATTTAAAATTTGTTCTATTGTTGCACATTTCCTCCCTTCCCTTTCCCACAAGGTTTGTTGTCATACATATGTGTACTTAATTTTTAAAACATATTATTAGATGCTGTTGAATGGTTCTCATCTCCAGCAACTCTTTGTCCAACAGAATGAAGCATTGCTTGGCTTTGCTCCGTCCTGTCATTGCTGTGTTTGAGCTGACTGTTGTGGTCACTTGTCAGCCTGTCTTGTTGCTCAGCCTCTACTTTTTCCCAAGCACGATATGTTTCTACAGGGACGGGTTCCTCTCGGTAGCATCCAAGTATGTTGAGAAACAGTCCTGCCATTCTCATTTTTATGAAACATTCTGGGTACATCTTCCAAGACAGATTTGTTTGTTCTTCTGTGAGCTGATGGTATATTCAGTATTCACTAACACCACAATTTAGATGCATCAGTTATTTTTCTGTCTTTGCTATTCTTTGTCCAGCTTTTGCATTCATGTGGGGTGACTTGGAATACCATGGCCATGTGTCAAAAGTCCACGAAGTGAGATCTTTGTGCATTTTTTAAAAACACTTTCAAGTGGTCTTTTGCAGTGGATTTGCCCAGTGCAGTATGTCATTGGATTTCTTAACTGCTGTTTCCTTGGACATTGATTTTGGATCCAAGTAAAATGATATTATTGACATTTTAGTATTTTCTCTTTACCATGCTGCTCTTTATAGGCCCAGTTGTGAAAATGTTTGTTTTCTTACCCCCGCCCCTGTGGTAAAACTTACTGGTTTCTCAAAATAATTTTTTTTTGTTTTTTTTAAATTTACTATTAATTTCAGTAAAAATTTACAGAGACTTTGGATTTCTATTCATTCATTGTTGCACTGTTCTCCCCTCCCAACCCTCCCCCCCAGCACACTACCCTCGTGGAAAAGTAAAAGATAAATTATTTCATTGTTTTACAATCCTTCCCCCCAGGTCCACTCCACTGTGCAGCCTTAGCTCTGGACTCCTGTCATGACAAAAATACCTAAGCACATATCCCTTTTAAATGGTTTTCTCCCTCATCTGTTTCAATGCAGTATACATTATTGAACCCATCCTTCACAGTTTCTCCCTGACCCCAAGGTCAGTCCTGTTTTACAACAGTGACACCATGCAGTATTTGTCCTTTTGTGACTGAGATACTTCACTCAGCATAATGTTCTCCAGAGTCACCCATTTTGAATAATATTGCATGAGTTGCTTGTTTTTCAATACAGCGTAGTATTCCATTGTGTGAATATATCAAAGCTTCTCTATCCATTCATTTGTTGATGGGCACTTAGGTTGTTTCCAACTCCTTGCTATTGTGAACAAAGTCGCAATAAATATAGGTATGCATATATCTGCTTGGATATCAGTTATGGTCTCTTTGGGGTATATTCCCAGTAGTGGAATTGCTGGGTCGAATGGTATCTCTATTTGCAACTTTTTGAGAAAGTGCCATACCGCCTTCCACAGTGATTACACTCCATTTTATCAACAGTGAATAAGGGTTCCAGTTTCTCCACAACCTAACCAGCATTTGTTGCTTGCTGTTCTGTTAAATTTTGCTATTTTGACTAGGGTGAGATGATATCTCATAGTTGTTTTAATTTGCATCTCTCTTAGAGCTAGGGATTTTGAACATTTCTTCATGTGCTTGTTAGCCATCTGAATGTCGTCTTCGGTGAAGTGCCTGTTCATATCCTGTGCCCATTTTTCTATTGGATTATTGACTTTTATCTTGTTGTGGTGCTCAAGTATTTTATAAATTCTGGATATGTCATTACCAAATACTTTTTCCCAGTCGATGGCTTCCCTTTTTACCCTGTTGGAGAAGTTCTTGGGTGTGCATAGAATGTTTGTTTTCTTTAAACACGTTATTGTTGTTAGGTGCCGTCAAGTTGACTATGACTCTTAGCGACCCTGTAAACAACAGGTTAGAGTCTTGCCCTGTCCTTTGCCCTCCTCGTGATTGCTGCCCTGTTCATTGTTGTAGTACCTGTTTCCATCCAGCTCATCGAGAGCTAGCCTTTCTTTCGCTGACCCTTTACCTTTCCCAGGATGATGCTTTTTTTTAAGGAATGGCCCTTCCTGACAACACCATTCTTGTCCTAAGGAGCACCCTGGATGCACTTCCTCAACACAGATTTGTTTGTTCTTTTGGCAGCCTGTGGGATATTTACTACGCTTCTCTAACATCACAGTTCTAAAGCATTGATTCTTCTTTGGTCTTTAGACAGTTTTCTTTAATTATTCTCATATAGTTACAATAACTAGTTAAAAGACAAATGCTTCTAGTGTGTTCTTCATCCTACACTGGTGAGTCTTTAAGACTTGCAGATGGTCATCTAAGATGCAACAATCAGTATCTCCATATCTGGAACAAAAAAGAGTTAAGAAAACCAAGGATTCAAGGAAACAATTAGTCCAGAAGACAAATGGATCATAGACAGTACAACTTCCACCATTCCAAGACTAGAACTACAACTGACTGCTGTGGTCAGGATCACAACAGAAAGTCTTGGACAGAGTGGAAGGAATATTAAGGACAGACTTCAAAATCATAAAAAAGGGAAGAGATCAGATTTATTAAACTGATAAAAACCAAACAGCAACTCGTTGCTATTGAGTTAGAAATGACTTATAGCTTACCCTTGAGCAGATTCTTCAGAGCCCATAAAATGCACAGAAGGAGATTGCACATCTTTCTCCCATGGAGCAGTGGTCAGTTTGAACCACCTGCCTCCTAGATGACAGCACAACTCCTTAACCACTAGGCCACCAGAGCTCCCTTGGTCTGATAGAGACTGGTAAACCTTCTCACTGTGCTACTTAGTCATCTTTCAATTCTAGAACCACACCCAGCTCCAGGGATCACCTTTTAGTCAAACAGTAGACAGACTTAGAAAGTAAACAGGAATATCCATGAAGGACATACTCCTCAGGACAATCAACCATAAAAAAAAAAATCTAAAGAACAGCATTTGCCCAAAACAAAGCTTAGAAGAAGTAAGGGGAAGGAAAGAGGGACTGATGGAAACAAGGAACCCAAAGTGGCATCAAGAAGAGTGCTGTTATAATGAAGAGATTCTTCCAACTAATGTCAGGAAAATGAAAAAAATCCCATGTAAACTGTTGAACCAAAACCTAAATTGCTCTGTGACCTTTTACTCAAATCACATACACACACATACAAAAAATATTTACAAAGAATGAATAAATGAATGAACATATAAAGAAATGAAAACCCCCAAGTGTGTGCATGGATGAGAAATGAATGAACAGTTGGTGAGTGAAGAAATAAATGAGCAGATAACTAAGTAAGTAAATTAATGGCAGCCCTTCATTTCTTGACAACTTCCAGGAATTCAGCTGGAAGGGGAGGAGGAAGAACCGGAGGAAGAGGCCACTCTGGCCAGCCGCCTGATAAGCCTGTTGGAGAAAGTGCGACTGGTGAAAAAGAAGGAGGAGGCCCCTGAGGAGGAGCCACCAGCAGAGGAGAGCAAACCCCGTGAGAACTGGAGCCACCAGGGATGGGGGATTGACATGGCCCCTGTGCTTGTGGAGGCTCTGGGTCCAAGACAAGCCACAAGGAGAAAGGGATGGGAGGAGTAATGGAAGTTGTTGTTCAGTCAGAACCAACACATAGCTGATCCTCCAGTGGGATTTCGGAGACTGTAAATCTCACAGGAGAAAATGTTCATCTTTCTCCTGAGTAGCAGCTAGTAGATTCATACCACTTGCCTTCAGGTTGACAGCACAACTCCATACTGCTAGGCCACGAGAGCTCCCTAAGGGTAGGCATAATTATGTAAGGTAGGTCCTGCTGAATAAAATCCAAATTATAGCTGACCCTCCAGCATGTTTTCAGAGGCTGTAAATCACCTAGGCAGAGACTGCCTATCTTTCTCCATGAGACCAGCTAGTGGATTTGGGTTAGGAGCACACCAGAGCTCCTTAAAAGAAAAGTAGAGAGAGAGAAATGAGAGAAGCAGCATGAAGGGCTGAGATAAGAGAGGAGGCGTGGCGGCTGTGTGGCCCATACTACATGTAACGGACCATCAACCTTGGCATGATGGCAGCTCCTGCCTCTTGCTTCCATGTCCTTATGACTGTTTTGTTTGTTTTCCTTTTCTCTGTTGATGGAAAGATTACCATGCTGAGTAATTAGAAAAACAGTCATGCTAAGTTTTGGGTGGATATGTCATTATGCAAAATATGTATATTATCTGTTCCTTACAAGGACAAAGTCACTTGTGTTGGTTCAAGTTTATTCTGCATATTTGAAAAAGCTGCATCAGAGTTGGACAATGACTAGGGAGGATAGAAGGAGAATTGACGCCTTTGAGCTGTGGTGCTGGAGAAGAGTATTGAATGTACCATGGACTGCCAAGAAAACAAAAAGATTCATCCTAGAGAGGGTTAAACCAGGCTGCTCCTTGGAGGCAAGGATTCTGGGGCTTCGTCTGACATACTTTGGACATGTTCTAAGGAGAGACAGGTCTTTAGAGAGGGACATCATGCTGGGTAGAGTAGTGGGACAGCGCAGGAGGGGAAGACCCTCTATGAGGTGCATTGATTCAGTGACTGGGGTAATCGGGATGGGTGTGTCAGAGGCAATGCGATTGGCACAGGATAGAGCAGGGTTTAGGACTGTTGTACATAGGGTTGCTTTGAGTCGCAAACGACTTGACGGCACATAACCACAACAACAATGGATTTTTTTAGGAGGTCTGAGGCTTTATAGAGTAAGATTATTTTTCAGCACGATTTTCAACTGTTTTCCACCCAAATATACTCCTTTTACTTATTATTAACTAATGTTAGTAACATGTTTTATCATGACCGATTTGTAATGGGCTCCATTTTAAAGGCGTTTTTTTGTTATTTTTTATTATTATTCATTCGTTGTTGTACATTTTGCTCCCTACCCTCTAATAGTTGAGAAAGTTTTGTTGGACTGGCTCTGTGTTAGGCATTGTTAGCAGGGTGTGAAACACCTTTGGAAAGAAAAAGCAAAGCCTTTACTCTCAGAAACCAAACCCAGCTCACTGTCACTGAGTCCATTTGGACCTGTGGTGACCCTGTAAGGACAGAGGAGAGCTAAACCACAGGGTTTCCAGCTCTATGGTCAGAGACCTTTGACCAATAGCCACACGATGAACCACTGCACAGTGTAGCTTTTTCTTTCCCTGAAGGAGTTCAGGATATTATAACAAATAAACAAATAGAAATATATAATGTCAGATGGTCTCTGTCTGTCTTCACAGAAATACTAGAGAGGACAGAGTTGAGAGAGAATGTGGGACCAAAAACCTCAAGGGATGCCCCTCAGTGGGAAGTCCCAGGCAGACTAGCGAAGAGAATAAAAATGGGAGCTGTTCTGAACATCCTTTCTAAATGGTACTAAAGTCTTCTTAGTTTTGCTTCGTGTTTGTGATCTTACATGATGAACAATTGCAGTAGTTTTACAAGACAAATGCGACTGTGACTTGTGCTTTCAAAGTTGTCTGGTAAAGTCCTTCTGATAGTCTTCTGGTGTTCTGTAATAATGGGCTTTTTCATTCCCTCCATAAATCTGGAAAGGACCTAACGGTCTGGTCTGAAGGTGAAGAGAACAGAGTTTCTGGGATAAATGAAGTGGGGGAATCTGCCAGATTCCACTCGTTCTAAAGAGGAGAAAACAGTACATGGGGGCACAGGGCTGTAAGCATCTCTCTGAAAGGGCCTGAGGCTGAGTGAGAATAACACATCTCCTCCCCACCCCAGAGCAGAAAGCAGATAAAGAGCCCACAGCCCAGCCCAGTGGCGCCTCTAGAGCCACTCCAGCAGCAAGCAAAGTGTCAGGCCACAGCAATTAACACTAGCTCTCAGAATAAAACATCTTCCCTTCATCTAGTTGGTCATACTCTCCTGGCAGGTCAAGGGTGTGAACATGTAGTAACTGAGAACCTTTCTCAAAAGAATTGTCTAAATTGTTCTGGCTCGGGGTCCCACTGTCCACTCCTGCCCCAGAAGGATGTTCTGACTCTCACGCCCACTTCCCAGAATCCCTGCAGGAGCTGGTGTCCCACACGGTGGTGCGCTGGGCTCAGGAGGACTTCGTGCAGAGCCCCGAGCTGGTGCGCGCCATGTTCAGCCTCCTGCATCGGCAGTACGACAGTCTTGGGGAGCTGCTGCGTGCCCTGCCGCGAGCATACACCATCTCGCCATCCTCCATGGAGGACACCATGAGCTTGCTCGAGTGCCTTAGCCAGATCCGCTCTCTGCTCATCGTGCAGATGGGCCCCCAGGAGGAGAACCTCATGATCCAGAGCATTGGGTGAGCCTGGCCTCCCTCCCCTGCCTGCACAGCCCCAGGGAAGGGATGGCGCCTTCCCCAGCTCCCAGTCTCTAAGATCCTCTGAATAAAATAGTCTTCCCGTCCCCTGTTTCCATCCCCATCTCACTCCATCTGCTGGCAGCTGACCCATCCCAGGGGAATGTTGCAGACCCTTACTTCTCCGCCCATTCCTGGGGTAATAGCTCCAACTTCTTGTATAACTCTTAGCATAAAGTTTACTCTTTCCTCCCTCAATTATTTCATTATGATAAAGATATACTATAAACCATTTAACAAGTCAGCTTTTTACATTCATCATATGCAAAGCCATGACTAATATTCTTTTTCAAAATATTGTACCACTATTAATACTATTAATAGGGGGGAAAGACAAAATAACAACCAAACAAAACACAAACACGATTAATAGAAGCCCACTGGCCTCCAAGAAAGACTCCTTCTCTCTCCCCCATCCCTTCCCCTACACTAAAAATCTCTGATCCCTTTCTATTTATTTTATGTAAGTGCGACTGTCCAGTATTTGTTCTTTTGTGATTGATTTCTTTCTGTCAGTATAGTATTTTCAAGATTCACCCATGTTATTTACAGCGTGCGTAAGGATTCATCTCTCTTTATGCCTGATTAATACGCCGTTGTCCGGACATGCTACATTTGGTTTCACCCATCCTCTGTTGATAGGCACTTGTGTGATTTCCACCGTTTCCTTTTGAGAACAGTGCTGCATTGGGTTTCAAGTTGTCCCTCTCGCTTTTGAACTTTAGTTTGCTCCTCTATGAGATAGAGCATGGTTGTGACTTCCCCACTGAGTGGCGGTGAGGCTTCAGTGAATTCACACACGTCTCTCTACCTCACTGCTGCTGAGCTAGAGGCCATTCAGAGCTGACCCTCAAGCAGGTTTTCAGAGCTGTAAATTGCTTGGGAGGAGATGGCCCATCTTTCTTCCTTGGAGCAGCTGGTGGATTTGAACTGCCTGCCTTTGAGTTGGCAACAGAACTCCTTAACCACTGCGCCACTAGACCTTTAGTAGTTGTTGTTAGGTGCCATCAAGTAAAGTACAACTCCTAAAGATCTTATGAATTCTATTAGTAGTAATAATTACTAATTACTATTAGTAGTAATAATAATTCTTGTTCCATGCCAAGTGCATTACACCATTTTTCTCACCCACTCAGCAAATACTGAGCACTAACTGTGTGCTGGGCCCTGCTGTTTGCACTTGAGAATACAGTGAACAATATGACAAGGTCCTAGGGAACCCACCATCTATCTGTGCCTCAGTTTCCTCATTTATGAGGCATATAATCTTAGTTCCTGCTTCACAGAATGGACATGAGAATGAAATGAGTCGAGAATTGTAAAACAAGCAGTGCCAGGCCCAGAGTAAGCGTTCAGTGAATGTTAACCACTACCAGGGTGGTGATGGGGTTTTCCCAAGGTCTGGGAGCTGTCCCCACACTTGGGCCCGCCAGCCCCCAGTGACCCCAAGCATTCTACCCATCCATAGAAACATCATGAACAACAGAGTCTTCTACCAACACCCAAACCTGATGCGAGCGCTTGGCATGCACGAGACTGTCATGGAGGTCATGGTGAATGTCCTAGGGGGCGGCGAGTCCAAGGTAAGGGGCATGGTGGGGGCAGGAGTTCAGGACAGGGTCCACCAAGAGCCGGCACTGATCAACCCCCACTCCACCCCCGGCCCCAGGAGATCCGCTTCCCCAAAATGGTGACGAGTTGCTGCCGCTTCCTTTGCTACTTCTGCCGCATCAGCCGTCAGAACCAGCGCTCCATGTTTGACCACCTGAGCTACCTGCTGGAGAACAGTGGCATTGGCCTGGGTGAGCACCCGAGCCCCTCACAGCCGCTCCCGGCAGCCCGGCCAGGTTTGCCCCACTCACCTTCTCCCTCATGCCTTCATGCATTTAACAAACACCCACCTTCAGTCCTCGGTCCGACCCAGTACTGGGAAGTGCTGGGGACACAGTGCTGACCAAGATAGCTCTTGGTCTGACTCATAGGCTCACAGTCCAGTATCTAAAAGTGCAGGCATACACCTCAGGCAGAGACAGTCCTAAGTGGCCAGTGCTGAGAGAGACAACATAACCCCAGACGAGGCACCTGGAAAGGGAGGAATCAAGGAAGACTTCCTGGAAGAAGGGAGACAAGAAGGAGCAAGATAGGCTATTATGCACCTCTGAAAACCATGCTCACCCCCTCTCCCTTCCACAGGCATGCAGGGGTCCACGCCCCTGGATGTGGCAGCTGCCTCCGTCATTGACAACAACGAGCTGGCCTTGGCACTGCAGGAGCAGGACCTGGAGAAGGTGTGGAGGGTGGGGTTTGCCCACCCCCGGTCTAGGCAGGATGTTGGATCCTCCTTGGCCATTTGGGCTTATTTGAAGGGACAATTTGGGATGGTTCAGAGGAAAATCGGAAGGGGAATAATTTGCAGGGAGAGGAAAGGACCCGTTGTTCACTTTTGGGCACCGTGAGGCTGAGTGTGGCTCTGTGCTCCACCACCTCCGGCAGTGCTGTCTTGGCATGTGACACAGTTATTTGTACCTCTCCTTCTGGGCGTATAAGGGATGGTGTGGGCTGTGGAATCCATCAACTTGGGTTCAGCTCCCGTCCCCAACTCCCTTGGGGTGTGATCTTGCTAGGTGACTAAGATTCCTTCTATTCCTATTTCCTCGTCTGCAGAATGAACATAGTAACAGAAACAACCTTGTCATATTCTGAGGTTTATAGGAATTAATCTATTTAAAACAGAAAAAGAAAATCAAACAAACAAACTCAAACTCATTGCCATTGAGTCAGAACTAACTGATAGCTGATTTTCTTTTGGGTTGCTGGAGGCTGTAAATCACATAAGAAGAAATTACCCATCATTCTCCCTTAGAACTGCTGGTGGATTTGAACCACCACAGAGGCACCCTGCCTTTGGTTTGGCAGTGGCTATGCTACCAGAGTTCCCTAAGGTGATAAGCACTCATTCGTTCATTAATGGTTAGCTGTTTCGGAATTATTCTTCATTTAACAAATATCTTGGAGTGTCTATTAGGAGTTGAAGGAGCCCTGGTGGCCGAGTGCATAACTGACTGGGGTGCTAACTGAAAGATCAGCAGTTTCAATCACCTGGCTGCTCTGTAGGAGAAGATGGGAATGGCCCTTCTGTAAGGATTTACAGGCTCTCTGAAGCATGGTGCAGGGGCTGTCTGCGTTGGAACCAACTTGACAGAAGTGTGTTACTATGCATTGAGACCTGTTCAAGGCAATAGGGATAAGACAGTGATCAAGGCGGTGAAAAACTTCTGTCCTTGCAAAGCTGACATTCTAATTTGGAAGGCATTTCATAAACAGAATGAATAAATAAAATATATAGTGAGTTAGCCATTAATGAGTGAAGTGTCCGAAGTCAGGAGGGTGTCTGAGGTTAGATAAGGGTGGCCAGAGAGAGTCTCACAGAGAAAGGGACATCCCACTGGAGCGTCAAAGGTGGTAAATGGGAGCCCTGTCGACATCCAAGAGAGCGTTCCAGCCAGGGAGCAGCTAGCGCAAAGACCCTGGGGTGAACGGAAGCTGGGGAGCGTGAAGGACAGCGAGGAGAGCAGTGTGGGTGGGACAGAGTGAGTGAGGAGCTCAGGGTGATGGAGGCAGAATGCATAGGGTCTTTCGGGTCACAGGGAGGACTCCAGCTTTTCTCTTGAGTGAGATGGAGTAGCAGAAAGGTCTCGGGCCAAGAAGTGATCTAACTCAGGTGCTCCTGGTTCCCTGTGGCCGTGGGGGAAGGGGGTGAGAACAGGGACGCTTTGCCGTGGTTCAGCCAGAAGCTAAGGATGGATGGACTGGTGATGAATGGAACTGAAGGGTGCCAGAATCCTTGGGGTTGGGAGCTTCCGGGGCTCTGCGAAGGTTGGGGGGAAGGTGCATTCTCCTGCTGTGGTATTTATAACCTCTGAAAACCCACTGGAGGGCCAGTTACAAGTCTGTTCCAACTGGATGGTACATAAGAAGAGCAGCAAGCCTTGGAGTAGGTTATGCTTTCTCTGGCTGATTCTGCCGCCTCCCGCCTGCAGGTGGTGTCCTACCTGGCAGGTTGTGGCCTGCAAAGCTGCCCCATGCTCCTGGCCAAAGGTTACCCTGACATCGGCTGGAACCCCTGTGGCGGCGAGCGCTACTTGGACTTCCTGCGATTTGCTGTCTTTGTCAATGGTGAGACAGGAGGTGACTGGGTGGCGGGTTGGGGTCCCTCAAAGTGGACCCAGTAAGTGCTCATATCCCTTCGGACCGAATGGGCGACAGGCGAGAGCGTGGAGGAAAACGCCAACGTGGTGGTGCGGCTGCTCATCCGCAAGCCTGAGTGCTTCGGGCCTGCACTGCGAGGTGAGGGCGGCTCAGGGCTTCTGGGCGCCATTGAGGAGGCTATCCGCATCTCCGAGGACCCCGCCCGGGACGGCCCAGGCGTGCGCAGGGACCGCAGGCGCGAGCAGTGAGTGTCCTCAGCGCCGGTCACCAGGCTACTAGCCCTCCCGCACCCCTTGCGGGCCCCCACCCAAGCGACCTGCCTTCTTCTGCAGCTTTGGGGAGGAGCCCCCAGAGGAAAACCGGGTGCACCTGGGACACGCCATCATGTCCTTCTATGCTGCCTTGATCGACCTGCTGGGACGCTGTGCGCCAGAGATGCACGTGAGGCCCGGGTGGGATGGAGCCTGGCTTTGAACACTGCAGCCATTCAGTCACTTGAATTGAGCAGTTATAAATATGCCAGGGAAGGAAGGCATAGGCAGAGGGGTGGGCACGGACGAGGGGACGTCAGGAAGGGCTTCCTGGAGGAGGGATGTCTGAGCCAGGATTTGGAAAGAAAAAAGCAACTGTCTGTAGAGGAGGAATGAATAGATTTAGGTTGGTAGCAAGCTTCAGCATCCCCTTGCTCTCTCCAGTTGATTTATTTTCACTTTTCTTTGTGGTGTAAGTGGAAGTTTGAAGAGCAGGCTGATATTCCATTCAACCATTCATACACATTTTGCTTTGACATTAATTATAATCCCCACATTGTATCAGCAATCTTCCCACTTCCTCTCTGTGGTTCTCATTTTCATTCTTCTTCTATCTTGCCCCTTCCTACTTTCTGAGCTTTATCCTGGGACAAGTGATGTCCTTTTGATGTTGTACAGTGGATTATTCTAAGGCGTGACTACCTGTCTGATGTTATTCACCTTACAGTCTATTGTTTGGCTGAAAGTTGAGTCACATGATGAGTTCAGTTCTGTACTCAAAGGGCGAATAAGGATTAGTACCAATGTAAGGGGATGTAGAAAGATTTCACCAGTCTTTATTAAACTAGTAAGCTGGCCATTTCGATTATTTTTAGTTTTGTTCCTCATAGTCTATCCAGGGCTCCTTGCTGTGATCCCTTTCAGAGCTGTCAGCCTGCTTCATCAATTTAAATGAGAATGGACTCTCTAACTCTAGCTGGTGGATTTGAACCTCATACCTTTGGTTTGTGAGAGCAATTCTTTACCACTAGGCCACCAGATAAGAAACTCAAAAAAGAGTCTTAGACTTTGTTGTCTTTTACGTCTTCAACATTGGGAAAAGAAAGTGCTGGTTCAACAAATGCAGAACTTCCAAGTTAGATATTTTTTTTCAGAGAGCAATAAATGATTAAGTAAGGTGTTCAATCAGTTATCATTAGAGACTGAAAACTACTTTCACAAACAACAACAGCCTCTGAAGTCCTAGTGTGTTACAAGCATTCTCTGTTAGAAAGATTCTTTCCAAGGATGGTGTGCTGACGTGCACAAGTTGGAGGACAGAAGCCAAATTTCCTCTCCTTGTCTTGCTCAGATTTCCTCCCCAGCTGTTAATGTCACCCAGTATGGGGCCCAGCACTGGAGTTCTGGGGTTAGCAACACAAGAAGTAGCTTTCTGTAACCTCATTATAGTGAGAAGAGATAGACAGTGCAGCAGTGACCATCTGGGGGACACCCAATGACATGCCTACCCACCCCCTCCAGCTAATCCAAGCCGGTAAGGGTGAGGCCCTGCGGATCCGTGCCATCCTGCGTTCCCTCGTGCCTCTAGACGACCTTGTGGGCATCATCAGTCTTCCGCTGCAAATCCCCGCCCTGGGCAAAGGTGCAGAGGGACAGGGCTCAGTTATGGGGTGGTGCCAGGGAGGAGTGGGTGAGTTTTAGGGGGGAGCATCCCTGATCACCCCATCTCCCTGCCCACAGATGGAGCTCTGGTACAGCCAAAGATGTCAGCCTCCTTTGTGCCGGACCACAAGGCATCCATGGTTCTCTTCCTGGACCGTGTGTATGGTATTGAAAACCAGGACTTCTTGCTGCATGTGCTGGATGTGGGGTTTCTGCCTGACATGAGGGCAGCCGCCTCACTGGACACGGTAAGCAGCCTTGCACACAGCCTGGTCATGCCCCTGCCTCCGCCCTGGGAAGTACAGAATCACAGCAGTAGCACTTGGCTAAGTCTATGCGCTTGTACATATGATATCCTCTCAGTCCCCACATCAAGATAGAAAAGAAAAATGGGGTTCTAGGAGTCAGTCCCCACATCAAGATAGAAAAGAAAAATGGGGTTCTAGGAGACGGGGAGGGAGTTCTGGTAGCTAAGTGCCAATCCAAAGAAATATGGCTCAAACCCATAGCTGCTCTGTGGAAGAAAGATGGACAGTTGCTTCTCATGTGATTTACAGCCTCTGAAAACCTACTGGAGAGTCAGTTCCAACTTGACAGCATAACAACAGCAGGAGTTTCCAAGTCCTCAGGGTCTAAGAAATAATTATTCTCAACAATAGGTTAGCACCACGGGCATACAACGGATGACCTGTGCATACCAACAACTATTAAGATAACAGATAGGGACAGAACAGGTACTATGAGGACTGAGAACTGGTCTAGCAAGCCAAGGGTCACTGATGACTTTGACAAGCAATTTCTGTGAAGTTTTCTTGTTAGGTGCTTTCAAGTCAAATTTGTCTCATCATGACTTTATGCACAGTCGATGGAAACCCTGTCCAATCCTGCACCGTATTCACAGTCCACGTCTGCATGCTTCAGCTGTTGCACTCACTGTGTCGATTTATTTCAATGAGGATCCTCCTCTCCTTCACTGACGCACTACTTTTCCCAGCAAAAAGTAGTGGTGGTTAGTGTAGGAGTCTACCTGGAGAGGGCATGAAAGAGCCTGGGAGTGTAAAAAAATGTTGTATTTTTCTTTGTTTTTACCTTTCATTGTGATTTGAGTGAAAGTTTACATAGACAATTGACTCAATTCATACACATTTCACTTTATGATGCTGATTATAATAACAGCATTTCCCCTACTTCCTCCTTTTGGGTCTCATTTTCAGTCATCCTTCTAGCCTATCCCTTTCTGTATTTTGGGCAAATGCTGATGTTTTGATCTTGTATGTATAAAAGTGAGTGGAAATTATGATGATCTAGTGAGTAAGGAGTTGTGCTTCCAACCCAAAGGCAGACAGTTCAAATCCAGCAGCTGCTCTGAGAGAGAAATATGGGCAGACTCTTTCCATGTGATTTAAAGTATCTGAAGAACTCCCTGAGGGATCAGTTATGAGTCAGTTCTGACTCCCTGGCATGAGTACCTTCCCGGTGTCATCATTGTTCATCTTGTTCATCCTGTCTATTGTGTGGCTGAAGTCAAGATAGGAGTGAGTTCCAAGCTCAAAGTGTGGCTGAGGACCGGTGTCTCGGGTGTTCCACCAGTTTCTATCAGACCAGCAAACCTGGCTATTTTTATGATTTTGAGTTTTGTTCTACATTTTCTCCTATTCTGTCCACCATCTTCTACTGTGATCTCTTTTAGACCAGATACTAAATAGTTCTTATAGTTTTAGGGTTATAGAGGTTGACCTTCAGGAGCCATTCATTTTTAAGCTTTTAAGACCTTCCTGTCCCTACTTGGCAAAGTATGATGTAGAATATATTGGGATATTGATGGTTCTTACATAGATAGTTCTTTACACGAGCCACTGACAAATGAGGTCGAGGAATGGGAAAGTTGCTGGAGTGAATCTGGTTGAGATTTTTCATAAAATGAGAGGAACAACTGTTTGCCATTAACTAGGAAAAGAGAAGCTGGAACTTGAAGCTATAAGCACCAGATTATAGGAAATGCAGGCATGATGTCTTTCTCCCAGAACTGGCCCTTCCTGATGACATGCCCTAAGTATGTGAGAAGAAAACTTACTGCCCTTGCTTCTCAGGAACACTCTGGCTGCACTTCCTTTTTTAAATGTTTGTGTGTTTGTGATTACAGTTTACATGACTCCAGCAGAGCAGTCCCACCACTATGTTCTAACCTTCAGCTGGGAACTCCTACAAAAGTAAACCCAGACTTGACAGGAATGTGGGTTTAGCTATTCTAGTGACTTCTACTCTTTGGGCCTCATCTTTGACACTAGATCACATCATGTTCTGCTATTATTTATTCATAATGGCCTGTTATTTCACAAGTGGAGGGATAGTCCTGCTTCCTAGTCTTAATCTGGAAGCTCCACTGAAAGCTGTCCGCTCTGGGTGACCCTGTAGGCGTCTGTAATACCAGGAGCATAGCCTCAAGTATCCCAGCTATACACAAGCCTCCACGGTGGGACTACAGGCATAGAGGCTAGAATTTCTTACACCTATGAATCACACAATTTAGTCCATAACACTAATAACAGAGAAGTGGGAATTTGTTTCTGGGCTTGTGTGTGTGTGATGATGGAGAATTAATAACTCAAAGGAGCAGGGTTTTGGGGAAAATAAGAGTCTGAGTCTTCTAGCCGGAGGTGTCCAGGGCAAGGGCCAGGACAGCCTTCGGGAGTGTGCCCAGAGTGCACCTAAGGGCCTGCCCTGTCCACGCCTCAGGCCACTTTCAGCACCACCGAGATGGCGCTGGCGCTAAACCGCTACCTTTGCCTGGCCGTGCTGCCACTCATCACCAAATGTGCGCCTCTCTTTGCGGGAACCGAGCACAGGGCCATCATGGTGGACTCCATGCTTCACACGGTGTACCGCTTGTCCCGCGGCCGCTCGCTTACCAAGGCACAGCGCGATGTCATCGAGGACTGCCTCATGGCACTTTGCAGGTGCGGCAGACCCCAGGGAGTGTTTGTGTGGGGTGGATGGGGGAGTAGTCCCTGAGGCCTGATCCCGCTGTCCCCCCACCCCTGCATCCCTCGGCAGGTACATCCGCCCGTCCATGCTGCAGCACCTGCTGCGACGGCTAGTGTTCGATGTGCCCATCCTCAATGAGTTCGCCAAGATGCCGCTTAAGGTAAAGGCTCGCATCCACATGTCCATGACCCACCCACACCACTTTGCTCAGCTCTCCAAGGACAGGGGCTCATTTCAACATAATCCACCAACCTGCCAATGGGAGGGCACCCGCTCCTAGAAGAAATCTGATTAGCATTCTCATTTGCATGCTAGGATTCCCAGCAAGTTCATTTTGCATATGCTGTGCCTCTACTCCTCTCTAATTAGCGTTTAATTTGCCTACCAGGGAGCCAGTTCCCACCTCACTTAGCATATATTTGCATGGTGCACACCATTTTCCCTAATTAGCAGGCTTATTCCTGTGCCCAGACCACATAACTTTCACTATTCAAATGAGTGCATTTATTTAAGTAAATAGGATGCATTTTACTTATGCAGATATTCTGAATATTTGCATACTGCTCCTCCTATTATTTGTTCGTTTGCATGCTACTTTGCATAAGGAATACCCCTGCTTGAATATCTTCACTTTTTTGCATAATACATCAAATCAGCCTGTTTCAAATTTGTCTCTTGGATGATGAGGGCTCTTCCCAATTACTGTTTGCATAAGGTACTGCTTATGTTTGAGCTGGCACACTTATTTGCATGAGAGCAACTCCTTCCATTCATATGTCCTTTTGCACCCAGGGATTAATTACTGTCATGTTTATGGGAGTGACATAAGACTAGACAGCTGCCACGCTAGTGTAGGGCCCACCCTGACTCGGAACCAGAATGTTCAGTGTCCATAATAAATAGTCCAGCATCATCCTTCAATAGGTAGTTATTTCTTTCCATATTAACGTACAATTTAAGCATTAGCACCCCTGATCCTTCCTGGACTTCATATATTTATACCCTTCACTTGTGTGTCCCCCTTCTTGCTCCTGCTCAGCTTCTCACGAACCACTATGAGCGTTGCTGGAAGTACTACTGTCTTCCCACTGGTTGGGCCAACTTTGGGGTCACCTCGGAGGAGGAGCTACACCTCACTCGGAAACTCTTCTGGGGCATCTTTGATTCCTTGGCCCATAAGGTCTGACTCTCATATGGGGTCCCCCCAAAAAAAGCCCCTATGTGAAGGATTTGGGGTACAAGGTTGGGGTCAGACTGAAACCTCTAAATTTGAGAGTTCATGGAACAAAGCTTAGAAAGCAATAATGCGGAGGTGGTTTAAGGGTCCAAATGGGTTTGGGTTACAAGAGGGGGTCTGTAATTCAGGTTTTGGGATTTAAAGAAGAGGTTTAATGGCTGAAAGGTATAAATTCAAGAACCTGAGGCTCCAGGGCTTGAAGGCACAGCTCAGCCTATAGTGACCACCCTCTTCCCATCTGCAGAAGTATGACCAGGAGCTGTACCGAATGGCCATGCCTTGTCTGTGTGCCATTGCAGGGGCCTTGCCCCCTGACTACGTGGATGCCTCGTACTCATCCAAGGCTGAGAAAAAAGCCACAGTAGATGCTGAAGGCAACTTTGACCCCCGGCCTGTGGAGACCCTCAAGTGAGCCCTGGGAGCCTAGAAAGGAAGACTGTGGAGGGGCTGGCTGGCTCCAGCATCTTTAATGATTTTCTTCTTCCCACCCTCACAGTGTGATCATCCCAGAGAAGCTGGACTCATTCATCAACAAATATGCAGAATACACACACGAGAAGTGGGCCTTTGACAAGGTGGGAATCAGGCATCCTCACTGGCCTTCCCAGGCCTGCAGCTTGCCCCTAGACACAAGCCTTTTCTGAAACCCAGATTTCCCTGGGACCACAACTTTCCTCAAGAGCCCCAGTTTTCTTGAGACCCCTAAAATTGCTCTTGATGTATAACAAGTGATCAGAAAGACCATGGCCTGAATCAGATGTATCTTAGTCCTCAAACTGACACATCATTGATCCTTAATAATTTGGATAGATCCTTAATTACAGACCTTCCCAATGCAGTGCATCTCCTGATTTCCTGACTGCTGGTACCAAGGGTGTTAAAGTGTGGATCTAAGTAAGATGAAGTTGTTCACAGTTTCAATCTTTTCTCCATCTATCATGATGTTGGCGTGTCAGGAGTGGGACCCGAACCCACGCCTCCAGGGGAGACTGCGGCTGACTCTGAGAAGAATGGGAGCCCCAGAACATTTAACTGTGCTAATACGAAACCTATATTTGGACCAAGAGGCAGTAGTCAGAACAGAGCAGGGTAACACTGCATGGTTCAAAATAGGGAAGGGTGTACGCCAGGGATGCATCCTGTCTCCATACCTTTTCAACATGTATGCAGAGCAGATTATCCGAGAGGCTGGGCTCTATGAGGAAAATTGTGGCATCAGGATTGGTGGAAGATCTATCAACAATCTCCGTTATGCAGATGACACAACCTTGCTTGCTGAAACTGAGGAGGACCTCATACACTTGCTGCGAAGGGTCAAGGACTGCAGCCTTCAGTATGGACTAAGGCTCAACGTCAAGAAGACAAAGATTCTCGCCACCGGACCAATTGGCAGCGTCAGGATGGATGATGAAGAGATTGAGAGTGTTCACAGCTTCACTTTGCTCGGCTCCACAGTTAACACTCTTGGTACCAGCAGTCAGGAAATCAAAAAGCGTATCGCGATGGGAAAGTCTGCCGTTAGGGACCTCTCAAACGTACTCAGGAGCAACAGTGTCTCTCTGGAGACTAAGGTGCGCCTGATACAGGTCATGGTATTTGCAATCGCTTGTTATGCATCAGAGAGTTGGACAATGACTAGGGAGGACAGAAGGAGAGTGGATGCTTTTGAGCTGTGGTGCTGGAGAAGGGTACTGAATGTACCCTGGACTGCCAGGAAAACAAACAGATCCATCTTGGAGAGGATTAAACCAAGCTGCTCCTTGGAGGCAAGGATTCTGGGGCTTCATCTGACATACTTTGGACATGTTGCCAGGAGGGACGGGTCCTTGGAGAGGGACATCATGCTTGGGAGGGTGGAGGGACAGCGCAGGAGGGGAAGACCCTCTATGAGATGGATTGATTCGGTGACTGGGGTAATCGGGATGGGTGTGTCAGAGGCGGTGCGGTTGGCGCAGGATAGAGCAGGGTTTAGAGCTGTTGTGCATAGGGTCGCTATGAGTCGGAAATGACTCGATGGCACATAACAACAACAACAACATCATGATGTTGCCTCTTGGTCCAGTGGTAAGAATTTTTGTTTTCTTGACATTGAGATGCAATCCATATTGAACACTGTATTCCTCTGCAACAGTGTTTCAAGTCCTCCTCACTTTCACCAAGCAAGGTTGTATCATCTGCATAATGCAGGTTATTGATGAGTTTTCCTCCTATTCTGATGCCACATTCTTCTTCATAGATTCCAGCTTCTTGAATAATTTGCTCAACATACAGGAGAGCGAATACAACCTTGATGCACTCCCTTCTTAATTTTAAATCATGTAGTGTTCCCTGCTCTATTCTTACAACAACCTCCTGGTCTAGGTATAGGTTTCACATGAAAACAATCAAGTGCTCTGGAATTCCCATTCTTCTCAATGTTAGCCATAACTTGTTATGATCCACATAGCTCAATGACTTTGCATGGTCAATAAAATATAAATATTCTTCTGGTATTCTGACTCAGGGTAGATCCTTTACAGACTCCCTCTTTTTACTCCCACCCTAAGGAACGATGATATCAGTTTGAGGACGACGGTGAATCTGACTTAGGCCATGGTCTTTCTGATCATTTGCTATGTGTCTGAGAGCTGGACAATGAGTAAGGATGACAGAAGAATTGATGCCATTGAGGTGCGATGTTGAACATCCCATGGACAACCAAAAGAACAAAGAAAGATATCTTGGAGAAAGTTCAGCCAGAGTGCTCCTTGGAGGCAAAGATGATAAAGTTTCATCTCACATAATTTATGAATGTTGCTAGGAGAAGCACATCATACTTGGAAAGGCAGAAGGTCAGCAAAGGAGAGGAAGGCAATCAAATGGATTGACGCAGTGACTGCTGCAATAGGCTCTAGTGTATCAGGAAGTATGAGGATGGCACAGGATAGGACAAGTGGTCATAGGGTCACTATGGTTTGGACTTGAGGGCACCTAACAACAACAACAAATTGTTCTGAGACCCTCAGCATTCTAAAAGCCCTCAAACAGTGCCCCCTTGTCCTACCCTACTCCACTCCTTGCTAGCTACCCCCTTCACTGCCTCCACTCACTCCACCCCCTTCCGCTCCAGATCCAGAACAACTGGTCCTATGGGGAGAACATAGATGAAGAACTGAAGACCCACCACATGCTGAGGCCCTACAAGACCTTTTCAGAGAAGGTGATTAAACCTCAAGACTCTGTGTTGGGAGTCCCAAATGAACTCCCAGATGTTGGGTTTCACAGAGGAGTGGCACTGCTTCACAGGGCTGGATCTAGGTGGCTTTGTGGGCTAGGATCCCCCACTCATGGGCATTGCCTTCTTTTAAATTTGCTTGCCACCCCTCTGGTACCCCAAACTTAAGTAAGCTTCAGTTTTCCCAAGTGTGAAATGGAATAATTAGAGTTTGTTTAGGAGGCTGCCTTACCAAGCAGGTAAGAATCCTGGCTGGAACACTTCCTGGGTGGGTGGTAAGAGCTTTCCTCTTCCCACTGAAGCTGAGTGGGAGGCCCTTTGCACCCTCCCTTCCTCATTCATTAATAACCTCTCTCCTTGCTCCAGGACAAAGAGATTTACCGCTGGCCCATCAAAGAGTCCTTGAAGGCCATGATTGCCTGGGAATGGACGATAGAGAAGGCCAGGGAGGGTGAGGAAGAGAAGACAGAGAAGAAAAAGACCCGGAAGATCTCTCAGACTGCCCAGGTGGAGCAGGGCCTAGGTGGAGGGTGGTGGGAGTGGAGAATCGGAAGGGTGGGGCCCAGGGGGGAGGGGAGCCTCGAGGAAGGGGAGGTGGGAGTATGGTGGGGCCTAGAGAAGGGTACTGGAGAGGCTGGAGTGGTTTGAGCCTGGAGGAGGGGCTGTCCTGGGCTTCTTGCTAGCCCATGGAGCCCCCCCATCTCCTTCGTGTTCTCGCAGACCTATGACCCGCGAGAGGGCTACAATCCCCAACCCCCTGATCTTTGTGGAGTTACCCTGTCCCGTGAGCTGCAGGTAACGTCCCTGACCCTTTATTTGAAGGACATGGGGGAGGAATCTCTTTCCTGCCTGGTCCTTGACTCCCCACATCTTCTCCTAGGCAATGGCAGAACAGCTGGCAGAGAATTACCACAACACATGGGGGCGCAAGAAGAAGCAGGAGCTGGAGGCCAAGGGTGAGGGGACCCGCGCCTGGACACAGACCGCCCCTGCTCAGTTCCCTTGACATAGGGTCCAGTCTTGAGGGTCTAGGTTAGGGCCGCGGCCACACCGGGTGACTGAACCTTCCCCTCCTTGAACTTCAGTTTCTCTGTACAACAGGGATAATAGTAGCTCTTAGCAATTTAGGATTGCCATGAAGATGTGATGAGCTAATATGCAAAAAGCACTGTTTTGGTTCTGCTTGTCTTTAATTACTATAACTGAGCACCACTGCAGGGGACCCCTTCAGGGAGAGTGCCCTAGGATCTCCCCAGTGCCCTGATTTCTGCTTTTTTGTTGTGTAGGCGGAGGGACCCACCCCCTGCTAGTCCCCTACGACACGCTCACTGCGAAGGAGAAGGCGCGAGATCGGGAAAAGGCCCAGGAGCTGTTGAAGTTCCTGCAGATGAATGGCTACGCGGTCACCAGGCACGCAGGCGCAGAGTGGGGGACGTGGGAGGGGCGGGACACCCGTGTGGAGGGGCAAGTCAGTGGAGGCGGGGCTGAGAGGATAAGGGGTGTGGCCTGGCTTAGGATGCCGGACTGTAGAGGCTAAGAGGTGAGTGGCCTGTGCAGCGGGCCTGAAGATAAAAGGTAGTCTGGCTCGTGGAGGCCGGGCTGAAGAGAATAAGAGGCGGGTTCCGATCAGCCGAGGCTGGCCAAAGAGGGTAAAAGGATACGAGGACAAGAAGAGAGATTGAACTCATGTCTACTAAGAGTTGTCTGAGAAGCTGCAGAGTGTAGATCGGGGCCTGCAAAATGGAGAGGAGGAAACCTCTCATTTTTAATACTGAAACAAACCTAAAGCAAAACTGTTGGGTCTTTACTCTGTATTTACCCTTGATGCATTAAAGAACTGATAACTGTTTTTTCTAAAAAAAAATTTAAAAAATAGAAGAAGAGAGGTTGAGGCCTGTTCCGGGGAGGTGACGATTGAGGGGTGTGACCTGATCGGAGGTGAAGCTAACAAGGATAAGGGGGGTGTATCCTGGCCAGACGAGGTGGGGCTGAAGAGGATAAGAGGTCCGGCCTGAGAGGTCTAGGCAGGGCTGGATGGGAGAGGGGAAGAGAGAAATGTTAGAGGTGGAGCCTTAGAGAGGCAGAAAAGTGGGCAGGGCCTGAGTCTTTGATGACCCCTCTCCATGCAGAGGCCTAAAGGATATGGAGCTGGACACGTCATCCATTGAGAAGCGGTTCGCCTTTGGCTTCCTGCAGCAGTTACTGCGTTGGATGGACATTTCCCAAGAGTTCATTGCTCACCTGGGTACGAGGACTTCCACCCCCGTTACAATCTGCATAGAACCTGCAGAGATTCACCTGGAAACCCAGAGCCTACATTTCTTCCTCCCCCTTTCCTTGTCTCCTCCCTTCATCCTGTATTTACTGAACATCTGCTTGGTGCAGGTGCTGTTCTAGATGTTGACCATTCAGCATTCACAGGGACCAAGATCTTGATATCATAAATCATTGAATCATTTAGTGTGTTAGAAGATGGTTAGTGTTTGTGGGAAGAAGAACAAGATTAAGTTGAGTTAGAGGGGAAGGAAGTGTGGGAAGGTGGAAGAATGTGGCATCATCTAAGCTCAGAGAGAGAGGAAGTGAGAGAGGGGTCAGTGTGACCATCAGGCAAGATCATTCCAGGCAGAAGACCAGCCAGTGCAAAGCCTGGGAGGCCCCTGCTGCTGAAGCAAAGTGACTGAGGGTCAGAGCCAAGGGGCAGGAGGCCAGAGAGCTGAAGAGCAGAGCCTATACAGCTTTGTGGGTCATGGAGAGGACTGCTTTTTAACCCTGAATGAAATGAGGACAAAAGAAGGTCCTGAGCAGAGAACTAAGGGACTCTGACTGTGTCTGGGAACAAGTTGTTGGGGAGCAAAGAAGAGAATTGGCCAAGTCTGGATCTGGTAGAAAGTTCAGGGAGCTCAGGTGGCTCAGTCTGTAGGCAGTTGCACTGCTAACCTGGAGGTGCCACTCTGGAGGTTCCAATCTGCCCACTGTCCAAAGGACAGAGATGGCAGTCACCTCCCATGTGATTTACAGCCTCAGAAGCCACTGTAGGGTCATCTATGAGTCAATTCCAATTCAGTGGCAATGAGTTAAAAGGTTAAGACTGCTGGATGCCCCTTATATACCACTAAGAATCACAACTGGGGCCTCTATAAGCCCTTCTGATTTTCCCTGGAGATCTTAGCCTCCATCTGACATTCTGTTGAGAGCATTCCACAGTCCCCTTCAAGTGAATGACAAAGCAGGATTCTTCTGATACATAGAATTCACTTCAAAGCCCCCACGCTGGGTCTCTTGACAGTTTCCTTCCGTCTCTGAAACTTGATTTTGCTCTCTGTGGTATGGGCATACTGTTACCATGGCCAGATGCCGTCCTGTCATTTATTTGCTGAGCTGGTTGAGGTGAGTTATTTCACCTGTTTCTTCATCTTACAATGGAGAAGGGAAAACTAGACTCAATGGTGAGTGGAGGCTTTCCCACAGTGCCACAGACATAAGGACATCTAGTCATTGGAAGCCAGTATGATTCTTTCAAGAGCTGTGGTGGTCTAGGGGCAAGGAGCTGTGCCGCTAATCCAAAGGCACGCAGCTTGAGCCCATCAGTTGCTCCACAGGACAAAGATGGGCATTCACCTCCTGTGTGATTTACTGCCTCATAAAACCTCTGGAGGGTCGGCTATGAGTGGGTTCAACTCACAGTACTAGACAACAACAACATGATTATTTAGATAGCATTAATTTACTATCATTATCCACTTCCATGTGCCTCCGGAACCTCTATGAACTTTGATAAATGTCGATAGTTGTGTAGGGGCCTCAGGCCTTGTGGCCACAGGGTCGCTATGAGACGTGCTCGACTCGAAGGCAATCAACAACAGCAACAATTATTACTATTATGTGTGAAGTTGACTTCATTTGAAAACTAATTTGTCTGCTCAGCGTCTTGTTTCCTTGTTCTTTCATTAATTTGTTCTATAAGAAAAGTGTTTGTGATGAGTGAGAGGGGTCTGCTCCATGGCTTCACTTCCTCCTTGGTCCTCTTTTCCCACTTTCAGCCTCAAGAACGATTTCATCAGTGGTTTAGGGGAAGCAGATAAGCAGTAGGCGAGAGAGGTTTATTTAAAAACCAATAGAGATGACTTCATACCAAGAATGTATCAGTCATCCTTGCCTAACTCTGCCCCCAGAGTCTCTTCCCGTCAGGACATCTCGAGTCCCCCCACCCTGAACTCCCCATAATCCCTCTTTGTCCTTCCCTCCCAGAGGCTGTGGTCAGTAGTGGACGCGTGGAAAAGTCCCCGCATGAACAAGAGATTAAATTCTTTGCCAAGGTAAGAGGTAGGCTTGGCCGCTGAAGAGGGTTTGGGCTGGAAGTGGCTCTCCCCACTCTTCACCCAATCCCCCTGTCTCGTCCCCCCACCAGATTCTGCTCCCTTTGATTAACCAGTACTTCACCAACCACTGTCTGTATTTCCTGTCCACGCCGGCCAAGTTGCTGGGCAGTGGTGGCCATGCCTCCAACAAGGAGAAGGAAATGATCACCAGGTGGGATGCTCTGTAACCTCTGACCCAGCTCCCTTGACCCCTACCTGAACCCAGAATCTCAGGAGTTACATCCTGGAGGCTGGCACTGCTGACTTATGCCACAAAACTGACTGAAGGACGAGGGTGACCAACCTCCCGGTTTTCAGACTGATGAGAGGTTTTCCAGGTATTGAGGACCTTTAGTGCTAAAACCAAAAAGGTCTCGGCAAACTGAGTTGGTCACTTTTGAGAAACCCACTTAACCCCACTTATCATGTGCTGCTTTCCAGCTTGTACCCCTCTCTGGCCTGCCTTCCTGTGTTAATCGATTTTCTTCCTCCTGCAGTCTCTGTCTCCTCATCTTTGCTAACCTTGACTCCTTTAACTGTATCCCCTCTGTCCTTGTCTCCTTGGCCTCCTCGCCCCTGTTGCCCTTTTCTCTCTCTTCAGCCTGTTCTGCAAACTTGCAGCTCTTGTCCGTCACCGAGTCTCTCTCTTCGGTAAGTGTCCCTGCTCCCGGAGCACTTCTCCCTCATCATCTTTCCCTTCCTCTCCTCACCAACTCCACCACATAGAAATGGTCCCCAGGTTCAGGCCTTTAATTCAGACAATGTTCATTGGTCCAGGCAATTCTGGAGTCCTGTCCTCCCTTGTGCAGCCCCCAGACCAGTGAGGGAGCATAGTCATTGCCAAGCAGTGATGACCCAGAGAGTGGTGTTGGGGGGAAGCTGGTGCTCAGTATGTGGGGGGTACAGACATTGGGATAAGGGTGGGAGGGGGGCCATGGGAAGCATAGGCAAAGGAGTCAGGCCAAGGTTAGGAGCAGGGAGGCACTGGTCAAGGACAGGGAAACAGAGGTAGAGGAAATGCACGGTGAGGGGTCAACACTGGGATGGATGAGACACAGGCAGAGGGTTAAAGAGCCCAGAAACCAGTCAGGGTGCTCGTAGCATGTCTTTCTGCAGTAAGGCAGAAAGGGTGGGTAGATGTAGAGGGAGACTGTCTCCTGGCCCTTCCTTCACCCTCCCCTGTCCCCTCTCCAGGAACTGATGCCCCAGCTGTGGTCAACTGTCTGCACATCCTGGCGCGCTCCCTGGATGCCAGGTCAGGCTCAGGGTCTCAGTACCCCTCCCACCTCATTACACTCCCCACTCCCCCACCTCAGCCCCTGTGCTTCTTGACTCTCTGAAACATGTAGTCTCGAGTTCTGGGACTGAGGTTCCTTCCACCAATTCCCTAGGACAGTCATGAAATCAGGTCCTGAGATAGTGAAAGCTGGCCTCCGCTCCTTCTTCGAGAGTGCTTCAGAGGACATTGAGAAAATGGTCGAGAACCTGCGGCTGGGCAAGGTGTCCCAGGCTCGGACGCAGGTGAAGGGTGTGGGCCAGAACCTTACCTACACTACGGTGGCGCTGCTGCCCGTTCTCACCACCCTCTTCCAGCACATCGCCCAGCACCAGTTCGGGGATGACGTCATACGTAAGGGCTTTTGACCCCAAAGTGTGGGGATGAAGTGGGATAATGCAAGGGGTCAGTTCCCCCACACCACTCTTGCCCACTTGCCTGATAGAAGCTTTAGGCACTTGAGGGTATGGATTGATTTCTTCAAGCAAACTGCATTTGGTACATTCACAGATAACAGAATGAGTGAGTGTAAGTCCAGCAGTTTTAAAAGACTTTAAATCATGGTAGCTTAAAGATAGTAGTTTACTTCTTTCTCTTAGAAGAGGATTATGAACCACTTCTTGTTGTTGTTGTTGTTGTTATGTGCCATCAAGTCACTTGTGACTCATAGCGACCCTTTGTACAAGAGCCCTAAACCCTGCTCTGTCCTGTGCCAATCACACTGTGTCTGACACACCTACTCCTAATACCCCCACAACTGAATCAATTCATCTCATCGAGGGTTTTCCTCTCTTGCACTGTCCCTCCATCCTCCCAAGCATGATTTCCCTCTCCAAGGACTGATCCCTCCTTACAACATGCCCAAAGTATGTCAGACAAAGCCTCAGAATACTTGCCTCCAAGGGGCAGCCCGATTTCACCCTCTCAAGGACAAACCTGTTTGTTCTCCTTGCAGTCCACGGTAGATTCAACACTGTTCTCCAGCACCACAACTCAAAGGCATCAATTCTCATTCTATATCACCCCTAGTAACTGTCCAGCTCTCTGACGCATAGCGCACAATTGAGAAGACTATAGTCCAGATCAGGTGCACCTTAGTTTCCAGCCTGACGTCGTTGCTCTTCAGTACTCTGGAGAGGTCCCTGACAGTTGACTTTCCCAATGCAATTCATTTCTTGATTTCTGGCTGCTGGTGCCAAGAGTGTTGATTGTGGAGCCAAGCAAACTAAAGCTGTTAACAGTCTCAATCTCTTCACCATCCATAATGATGCTGCAAATTGGTCTAGTGGCAAGAATCTTTGTTTTCTTGATTTTGAGCTTCAATCCATATTAAAGGCTGCAGTCCTTGACCTTCTGCAGCAAGTGCTTCAGGTCCTCAATTTCAGCAAGCAGGGTTGTGTCATCTGCATAACACAGGTTGTTGATGAATATTCCTCCAATCTTGCTGCCACATTCCTCCTCATACAGCCCAGAATCCTGGATGATCTGTTCTGCATACAGATTGAAAAGGTATGGGGTACCCCATTCCCGATTTTGAACTGTACAGTGTTTCCTTTCTCTGTTCTGATGACTGCCTCCTGGTCCAAGTATAGGTTTCACATAAGCACAATCAAATGTTCTGGGATTCCCATTTTTATCAGAGTCAGCCACAGCTTGTTGTGATCCACACAGTCAAATGTCTTTGCATAGTCAATGAAGCACAGACAGACATTCCTCTGGTATTCTCTGCTCTCTGCCAAGATACATTTAACATTAGCTATAATATCCCTGGTACCACAACCTCTTCTAAACTCAGCCTGCACATCTGGAAATTCTCTGTTGACATGTTGCTCCAGTTGTTTTTTAATAAGTTCAAATTCCCTCTATTGTGGGCTCTGCCATCCCTGAAATACTGCCTTTATCCACATGGTCCAAGTAAGCTCACTGTGACATCCATGGTCTAACCTGTGCCGAGGGAGGAAAAGGAAAGAAAGAGCACTTCAATTCATGTGGTGACGCAGGTCAGTTGAGATTCAGCTTATAATAATGTTGTTAGCTGCCAAGGTGAGTGTGCCCCAACATGATCCATAGAGCTTCCATTGCCTTATTTTGAGAAGTAAATCTCCAGGCCTTTCTTCCTAGTGTGTGAAAGCTGGTATGAAAGCGCCACTAAAACCTGTTCAGCATTGTAGTAGCATGCCAGTTCCCACTGACATACAGATGATGGCTGTATCTTGAGAGACACTGGCCAAGAATGGAAGCTCTGTTAGGTTGACATTGCAATTTATGAGTGAATGCATTTATATAATCTCTTTTGCAGAACTTTTGAGAGCACACACCATGATCCCTCATCTTTGAATACTGGACCTCCATAACATCACGATTGCAGCTAATTTAACCATATTTTTATTTCTGTCATTATCCCCAAAATGTCTTTATATTTTTTTTCCAGCTCACAATCTAAGTCAAGATTCCCATTGCATCTAGTCACCATGGCTCTGAAGTCTCTTTTGAATCAAGCACTGCACCATGCACTCTTTTTGGCATCTTGGGGTTGATGAGGCTGTTCACCTGGCTTTCAGCAGAACGGTCTAAGAATAGCTTACAACCATAGATAGGACTGCATGCTTGCTTGCATTCCTTCTGGAGAGGACATCCAGCACTTTCATCAAGGAGACAAATCCATGACTCCTCTGCAAGCGAAATGCAGCAACTACATTGTTGCTACTCCCTATCTGGGAGTCTGCTGTGTGACATGCCTGTGGCCATGATACTTAAAGCCTCCAGTATAATCAGCCGAGTCGCCCGCAAAGCAAAGGTTTCCATGGAGTTTCCAGACTGATGCAGTAGGAAGCAAGTCCTGGCCCTCCACTTGCAAAAATTGTTGTTAGGTTCTGTCATGTCTACCAGAACCCATAGTGACCCGGTGAACAACAGATCTGAACCTTGCCCTCTCCTGTTCCATCCTCACCCTCTCTGAGATGCTTGAGATCGTTGTTACAAGCACTGTGTCTTGTTGAGGATCTTTCTCTGAACCTCCACCTTTCCAAGCATGATGTCTTTTTCCAAGAACTGGCCCTGCCTGACAACATGTCCAAAGTAGATGAGATGAAGTCTTGCCATCCTTGCCTCTAAGGAACACGCTGGTTGTACTTCCTCCAAGACAGATGTGTATGTTCTTTTGGTAGTCCCTGAGATATTCAGTACTCATCTCCAACACCTCAACTCAAAGCCATAAAATTTTCTTCTTTGATCTTCCTTATTCCTTGTCCAACTTTCAGATGCAAAGTAAATAGTTGAAAAGACGATAATAACCTGGGTCAGGAGCATCTTAGTCTTTATTTTTTTAAATTTTATTTCATTATTTTTTGTGTGTACTGTCAAATCAAATCTGACTGATACAAAAGGAGATTGTTCCTCCTTCTCCAGCAGAGCATCTAGTGGATTTGAACCGTGTGCCTCTGAGATTGCAGGGCAGCTTCTTGCCACTAGGCCACCAGAGCTCGCCGCATCTTAGTCTTTAAACTGACATCATTGCTCTTTGACACTTTGAGAGACACATTGGCAGCAGATTTTTTCCAGTGAAATATATCTTTTCATTTCTTGACTGCTGCTACTGAGTGTTAATTGTGGATCTTTGTAAAAGGAAGTAATTTCTCCATCTATCGTGATGTTGGCTATTGATCCCATGGAAAATGAAAAACTTAGCCAATGAACACCCTAGGGCCCACAACAGCACACTGTCCCATGGAGCAGGACTGAATGAGGCTTTGTTCTGATATACAGAGGATCACCTTGAGTTAAGGCCAACTTGGTGGCCCTAACAACAAGAACAAGAAGCCATTATTGAGTGCCCTGGTCTAATTTCTTTTCATGTATACATGGTGAAGAGATTGGGATTGTTAACAGCTTTAGTTTGCTTGGCTCCACAATCAACACTCCAGGTACCAGCAGCCAGGAAATAAGAGACAAATTGCTTTGGTAAAGTCAGCTATCAGGGACCTCTCCATAATACTGAACAGCAATGACGTCAATCTGGAGACTAAGATGCACCTGATCCAGGCCATAGTCTTCACAGTTGTGTGCTATGCATCAGAGAGCTAGACAGTGATTAGGGATGACAGAAAGAGAATTGATGCCTTTGAGCTGTAGTGCTAGAGAAGTGTTAAATACACCATGGACTGCTAGGAGAACAAACAGGTTTGTCCTGGAGAGGGTAAAACCGGACTGCTTCTTGGAGGCAAGGATTCTGAGGCTTTGTCTGACATAATTTGGGCATGTTCTAAGGAGAGACCGGTCCTTGGAGAGGGACAGAGAAAGAGAGGTAGACCATTGATGTTATGGATTGATACAGTGACTGGGATAACGAGGATAGGTGTGTCAGAGACAAGTTGGCACAGGATAGAGCAGGTTTCAGGGCTGTTGTACAGAGGGTCACTATGAGTTGCAAGTGACTTGATGGCACATAACAACAACAACACTTCCCTTTAAGGAAGGTACTGTAATTATTCCTATTTTACAGATTGGAAAACAGGGGCCAATAGTGAGTTGATACTTGCTTAAGCCACTCAGTTAGCAAGTGGCAGTATGGCTGTACAGCCCCTGGTTTGGCCCTATCACAGGGAGGAAAGCTGGGGTCGGGGGTGGGGGTTATGGGTGGGTGCTGACCTTGCAGTGGGTTTTCAGAGGCAGTAAATCGCAAGGCAGGGAACAGATAAGGCATCACAGACTCTCCTTCTCTCCTTCAGTGGATGACGTCCAGGTCTCTTGCTACCGAACTCTGTGCAGTATCTACTCCCTGGGGACCACCAAGGGCACTTATGTGGAAAAGTAAGGAGAAAGTCCTAATCCTGGGCTGGGGTGGAAACAAGATGTGAAGGGTGTCGCAAACCGTGGCAGCTGCTGTTCCCCAATTCCCCAAGTTGGCCACATGGGGGCACTCAGGGGAAAGCCAGTTGTGGCATGGGAGGGCCTCCAGCCCTGGGGGCCAGGTGAGCGCCAAGTTAAGTACTGGCCAGGATCTCAGTCTGGTTACTGCTGAAGTACAGACCTCCCCTGGCATGGGGCAGAGTACACTAGTGGGCACCCAGGAGACTCGTGGCAGTGCCAAAGGCCAAAGTCATTAGCGGGGCAAGAGGGTCCTCAGGAAGCCCTGGGGAAGGACAGTTTATAATATTAACCTCTTTCTGATTCCAACCCGCATGCACTGGTGTTTGGCAGCTCTAGCCCCAAAAAGCCCCTGGCGGAGGGGCACTTCTGTAGAGGCTGCAGGACCGGAGACAGACCTGCCTCTGGGAGCTAAGCTCAGCCTTCTCTTACAGGCTGCGGCCTGCCCTCGGAGAATGCCTGGCCCGGCTGGCCGCGGCCATGCCGGTGGCCTTCCTGGAGCCCCAGCTGAACGAGTATAATGCCTGCTCTGTATACACCACCAAGTCTCCCCGGGAGCGGGCCAGTAAGTTGTGTGGGGACTGGCAGGGGATGGGCTTTCCAGTTGCCCAGCAGAGTCAGGGGAAACTCCACTCTGTGGAAGTTGTGGCCCAAGCTGGGCTGTGAGGAACTGAAGGACCAAGTTGGGGATGGTCCGGATTAGAGGATCCTGCAGTTTATGGGTTTCTTGGTTTGTGGTGTGAAAGCATTTCAAGGCTGTTACATGAAGGAGTCAGAGTTCTTGGGTAGTGCAAAGGGTTGAGCACATAGCTATTAACCAAGAAGTTGGCATTTCAGACCCATCCTTAGAAGATATGTTTATGCTCTGCAGCCACAGAGGCATCATGAGTCCAGTCCGGCCCCTCTTACAGATGAATAGATGTTGTTATGTACTGTCAGTCGGAACCAAATCCGTACAGCAGGAGACTGCCCATTTCCTCTCACAGAGCAGCTGATGGATTTGAATCACAGGCCGTGGGCTGGCAGCATCCCCCTTACCACTAAGCCACCAGAATCCCCCAAAATATAGTTTGATAATGTATGTATGTATATACCCCCCTCAACACACACATATAAAGAGAAAGAGAGAGATGCTCACTCCTACCCCACTGCTGTCAAGTCCATTCGAGTTATGGTGACCCTCCATCATATTTCTAAACCTTTACATTTTTTTAACCACAATGCCATAAAATTTTATTTTTAAAAATTTTTTTTCTTAATTTTAATGAACGTTTACAGAGACTAGATTTCCATTCATTCATTGTTGCACTTTTCTCCCTGCCCACCCCTCCCCTCCGATTCACTCTTCTCTTTGAAAAGTACAAGAAAAATTCTTTCACTCTTATACAATCCCTACCCCCAAGTCCACTCCACTATGCAGCCTTCATTCTGGACTCCTCTCCTTCATTTGTTTCAATGCAGTATTCATTATTGAACCCATCTTTCTCAGTCTCTCCCCGACCCCAAGGTCAGTCCTGTTTTACAACAGTGGCACCATGCAGTATTTGTCCTTTTGTGACTGAGATACTTCACTCACCATAATGTCCTCCAGGGTCACCCATTTTGAATAATATTGCATGAGTTCCTTGTTTTTTTCAATGCTGCATAGTATTCCATTGTGTGTGAACATACCACAACTTCTTTATCCATTCGTTTGTTGATGGGCACTTAGGTTGTTTCCAACTCTTTGCTATTGTGAACAAAGTCGCGATAAACATGGGTGTGCATATATCTGCTTGGATGTCAGTTATGGTTTCTTTGGGGTATATTCCCAGTAGTGGAATTGCTGGGTCGAATGGTGTTTCTATTTGCAACTTTTTGAGAAAACACTATACCGCCTTCCATAATGGTTGCACCATTTTACACTCCCACCAACAGTGAATAAGGGTTCCAGTTTCTCCACAATCTCACCAGCATTTGTTGTTTGCTGTTCTTTTAAATTTTGCTATTCTGACTGGGGTGAGATGGTATCTCATAGTTGTTTTGATTTGCATCTCTCTTAGAGCTAGGGATTTTGAACATTTCTTCATGTGTTTGTTTGCCATCTGAATGTCTTCCTTGATGAAGTGTCTGTTCATATCCTGTGCCCATTTTTCAATTGGGTTGTTTACTTTTATCTTGTTGTAGTGCTAAACCTTTACATTTTAACAGAAAGAGACTGCCTGTAGAGTGACTGGTAGATTCAAACTGCTGACTTTTTGTTTAGCAGTGCAGCACTCTACATATTATGCCCCCAGAGATCCACATATGTAATTATAAATGTTTATTATAATGAGTAACATATGTTTCTATATTACATAGGAAGCTCTGGTGACATAGCACATAGGGAGTTGTGCTGCCAACCCGAAGGCAATGCCTGTCTGGCAGTTTAAATCCACCAGCAACTCCACAGGAGAAAGATGAGCAATCACTCCTGTGCAAGTTATAGCTTCAGAAATCTCTGGGTGGGTTGACTATGAGTAATTTCCAACTCAATAGCAATGAATTTGATGTATTAGATATTATATATAAGGGTATATGTTGCAAGGAGGGACTATCCTTGGAGAAGGACGTCATGCTTGAAAGGGTGGAAGGATGAAGAGAGGGAGACCATGAGGTGGACTGATGCAGTGACAGGGTAGTGCAGGTCGGTGTGTCAGAGACAGTAAAGTTGGCTCAGGATAGAGCAGGTTTCAGGGCTGTTGTGTGTAGGTTCGCTATGAGTCACAAGCAACTTGACAGCACATAACAACAATAAGATATATATATATAGATATATATATACACACATATTATGTATAAAGTGTACATATAAAAAACCACATGCACACACATACAGGTGATGAGTTTTATATTTCAGGTGACTGAATTGGGGTGTGAACTTTAGAGAGCTGTGATTTGAGGTCAGAGGTTGTCAAGGCTTACTTCTAGGGCTTAGAACATAGCAGGTGAAGGCAGGTTTGGGATAGAGAAGATTCAAGAATGAAGATCTCCAGGGCTTCGATAGGTGATTGGGGATTAGGTGAGATTTTAGAAAGTACATGGGTCTTGGGGTTTGAAACCTTTTAACTTCAATGTGAAGATTGGGAGAGGGAGTTCATTTGGAAGGTGGGGTTCGAGGATGAGATTTGGTGCGCTGTTGGGGTGCTTGTGGGTGCAGGAGCACTGAGTCATAAGGATGATGGATTGCCTTTCCTGAGGCTCTTCCTGCACCCCAGTCCTGGGGCTCCCCAACAGCGTGGAGGAGATGTGCCCAGACATTCCAGTGCTGGAGCGGCTCATGGCAGACATTGGGGGCCTGGCCGTGTCGGGGGCCCGATACACTGAGATGCCACATGTCATCGAGATCACACTGCCAATGCTGTGCAGCTATCTGCCCCGCTGGTGGGAGTATGGGCCTGAGGCGCCTCCACCCTCCCTGGCCGCTGGCGCGCCCCCACCCTGCACAGCTGTCACCTCCGACCACCTCAACTCTCTGCTGGGAAACATCTTGCGGATCATTGTCAACAACCTGGGCATCGACGAGGCCTCGTGGATGAAGCGACTTGCTGGTGGGTCTGGGCACTGAGCCGCTGGTTCTAGCCCACTGCCCTGGGGGCTGAGGTCCTTTAAACAGAATCTGAGAGGGAGAACACAGGGTCCATGGTCTCCTGGGAGTTGGCAGGACTCAAGTGTCAGGGTTCAGGACCAAGAGGTCAAGTGTCATGGCAAGAGGTCAGAATTTCTGCCACATGGAGCTCCAGATAGATTTTGGGGTTTTCTGGATTTTCTATTAAGGTCTAAGCTTAGAAACCTGAATAATTCCTTAGGCCAGTGATCAGCACACTAGGTCAAGCATCAGGGGCCCTGATTTGGAATTTTAGGTCAAGAAATAAATCTTAAAATGTTTGGGATTTCTGCTGCAGAAGTTTTGTGTATGGAACTGGGGTATGGGTCAGGGTCAAGTTAGAGAGAAGGACTTGGGATTAGAAATCAGAGACTGAGATTAGAAGCCTGGGGTCAGAGTCTGGGTATGGGCTTGGTCAGAGGTTAAAGACTGAGGTCAGAGGTCATAGAGCAGGGTAAGGTATCAGGTTAGGATCCAGTTGTTGGGAGTTAGAGGTTGAAACTTGTGTCACTCTGGGGTCAGATAATGGGGACTGGACCATAGGTTAGGTCAGTGGTCATGGTTTGAGAGCAGAGTTCAGGGGCTATCCCAGAGGTCAGGATTAGAGGTTCAAAGTCAAATACTTAGGTCAGAGGTTAGAGGCTAGATTAGGATGGGGTGGAAGGACTGGTGCTGGGTCATGGGTTGGAATGTGTGTTCAGGGGGGCTGTGTTAGAGGTCAGTAGATGGAACTGAAAGTGCTAGGCTGGAGGTGGCCAGCAGTAGTGGCCTTTGCCCTGTGCCCTGCAGTGTTTGCCCAGCCCATTGTGAGTCGGGCCCGGCCTGAGCTCCTGCACTCCCACTTCATCCCCACAATTGGGCGGCTGCGTAAGCGGGCGGGCAAGGTGGTGGCAGAGGAGGAACAACTGCGCCTGGAAGCCAAGGCTGAGGCTGAGGAGGGCGAGCTCCTGGTGCGGGACGAGTTCTCAGTGCTCTGCCGGGACCTGTACGCCCTCTACCCTCTGCTCATCCGCTACGTGGACAACAACAGGTCAGCGTGTACCCAGCCCCTGCCCAACTTCCAGTTTCCCTGTGAAAGTTCCTATAAACGTCTGCCTAACTTGCTATGAACTTCTTAAAGTCCCTGCCTGACCCATCCTGAAGGTCCAGCCTTCCTGTCCCTGTTGGCTTTGCTTCATTCACAGAGGAAAATGTGGCTGCCTTGTGCTTCTCTTCTCCTGATCCTTCCAACATTCTTGCCCTGATGGCTGTGCCGTGTGTAGTGCCAGCTTTATTGTATCCCTCACCACTGTGTTTGTGGACAGGGGTGTGTGGTTTATGCAGCGCAGTCCAAGGGTCACTCCTTAGCCATTCAGAGAAGAATGGAAGATAGCAGCTAAGGGCAGCCTGATTCCACCTGGAAACATAGGTCGTTAGTAAGTGAACAAGCAATGGGAGTCAACCACTTGCTACATCTCCCTACAACCAGAAAACAACAACTCATTGGTATCGAGTGGGAACCATCTCATCCATCGGGTTTTCAGAGGCTGGAAAGAACATGAGAGGAGCAGTTGGTGAATTCAGACCACCTGCCTTTGGGTTGGTAGTGCAAATCCTTAACCACTAGGCCACCAGAGCTCCCCAAGTCAGAAGCACTGCATAAATATTCATGCATAGATCTGGCTTAGCCCAGCAACGGTAAGTTTCATCTCCCTTGCCACATTCCATCCCATCAACTCTTGGCAAGCCTATAGGCAGAGGAGAACTTCCTGTGAGTTTCCAAGGCTGGAATCTTCACAGGAGCAGACTGCCACATCTCTGTCCCTTGGAGAAATTGGGGGGTTCCAACCACTGACCTTGTTATCATGTGAGTGCTTAACCACTGCACCAGCAGAGCACTGTTTTATTTTAAGCTGGTTGTGAAGCCCATTTGACTCCAGATCACAGTGACCTCACTCATGAAATGAAGGAAACCCTGCCCAGTCTTGCACTATGGTTGCTTACACTAATCAAGATCTCATTGGGATTTGCTCAGGAGAAGGGTGAGTGCTGAACAAAACAGAGTTGGATATGCAGTGAGAGGAAACTGTCCTTCTGTCTTAGCTCTCTGGGGCCAGACATGCACAATGCGCCATTTCTTTGTGCTGTGCTAATACACAATGCTGTAAAGTAGCTGATGGTGCTGTGCACCCTCAAGTCAGAACTGACCCATCACGGACCCTCCAGCAGGTTGTCAGAGGCAGTTAATTGCATGGGAGAGTGCCTATCCTTCTGCCATGGAGCATCTGCTGCATTTGAACCATGTTCCTTCAGGATTACAGCACAGATCCTTACCACTAGCCACCAGAGCTCCATGTAGCTTTTAAATATTCCCAATAAAGCACCAAAGGATACATAGAACTGCCTCTTTCTTGATGACAGTACAGCATTTTCTGCAAGTTGTTGCTATGTGCCATTGAGTCAGTCAGAAGCTGACCCTTCAGTGGGTTTTTAGAGGCAGTAAATCACACAGGAAGAGACTGCCTATCCTTCTTCCATGTCTTTGCAAGTAGAGGTAGTTCATTTAATCAGTCTCTTCTTTCAGATGGACGCATACTCATGTTATTTCTGGATGTCCTCTGTTATTGATGAGATACTACAAGGAACCCTGGTAATGTGGTGTGTTAATTACATGTTGAGCTGCTAATAGAAAGTTTGTTGGTTCAAGTCCAGGCACTAGACTGAGGAAGAAAGAAAGCAATCTCCTCTTGTAAAGATTCCTAGCCTTAGAAACCCAAGGGAGAGTTGCCAGAAGTTAGGATCAGCTTGACAGCAGTGGGTTAAGTTATCTGTCTTTCTGGACATGGAGTGGATATTGCTGTCAGATAGCATTCTAGAAAAGGGAAGGCTGGGCTAAAAGAGCATAAATAAGAATATGTTCATCCGACAGGAGCCTTTTGGATTTCGCTGTTGCTGCTGCTTTGTTAGCCCAGGGCCACTCACCTCCTATCCATATCCAAGATGTCTCTTTCTAACAAGCTAACTCTGGACAAACTGGATATAAAAGGGAAGCGAGTAGTCATGAGAGTGGACTTTAATGTTCCTATGAAGAACAACCAGATAACCAACAACCAGAGGATCAAAGCTGCCATCCCAAGCACAAATTTTGTTTGGACAGTGGAGCCAAGTCTCTTGTTCTTATGAGCCACCTGGGCAGGCCGGATGGTGTCCCCATGCCTGACAAATACTCCTTAGAACCAGTTGGTGTAGAACTTAGATCTTTGCTGGGCAAGGATGTTTTGTTCTTGAAGGACTGTGTTGGCCCAGAAGTGGAGAAAGCCTGTGCTGACCCAGCTGTTGGTTCTGTCATCCTGCTGGAGAATCTTCGCTTTCATGTGGAAGAAGAGGGGAAGAGAAAAGATGCTTCTGGGAATAAGGTTAAAGCCAAGCCAGCTGAAATAGAAGCCTTACAGGCTTCACTGTCTAAACTAGGCGATGTCTATGTAAATGATGCTTTTGGCACTGCTCACCGAGCCCACAGTTCCATGGTGGGAGTGAATCTGCCACAGAAGGCTGGTGGTTTCTTGATGAAGAAAGAGCTGGATTACTTTGCCAAGGCCTTGGAGAACCCAGAGCGACCTTTCCTGGCCATCTTGGACAGAGCTAAAGTTGCAGACAAGATCCAACTGATCAATAATATGCTGGACAAAGTCAACGAGATGATTATTGGCGGGGGAATGGCTTTTACCTTCCTTAAAGTGCTCAGTAGTATGGAGATTGGCACTTCTCTGTTTGATGAAGAGGGAGCCAAGATTGTCAAAGATCTGATGTCCAAAGCTGAGAAAAATGGTGTAAAGATTACCTTGCCTGTTGATTTTGTCACTGCTGACAAGTTTGATGAGAATGCCAAAACCGGTCAAGCCACTGTGTCCTCTGGTATACCTGCTGATTGGATGGGCTTGGACTGTGTGGTTCTGAGAGTAGCAAAAAGTATGCTGAAGCTGTTGCTTGTGCTAAGCAGATTGTGTGGAATGGACCTGTAGGAGTATTTGAATGGGAAGCTTTTGCCCAGGGAACCAAAGCTCTCAGGGATGAGGTTGTAAAAGCCACTTCTAGGGGCTGCATCACCATTATAGGTGGTGGAGACACTGCCACTTGCTGTGCCAAATGGAACACGGAGGATAAAGTTAGTCATGTGAGCACTGGCGGTGGTGCTAGCCTGGAGCTTCTGGAAGGTAAAGTCCTTCCTGGGGTGGATGCTTTCAGCAGTGTTTAGTGTTTGCCTGCATTTTGGTTCATGTGCATGGTTCTAAGTCAATTTGATGCTGTCCTATATCTAAAGTCTTCCACCATGTCAAGATTCAGCTAGTGGCCAAGCAGTGAAGTACCAAGAATGCTTAAACAGGTTAATAACATGTCAGCTCATCTCTGTTACACTGTGATTGTTCCTATATTCTTCAAGATCTCATTTGAATTTTTTAGTAGCTAACCCATTGCACATTCTAGTTTGTATATTTTATTTTGTTAAAATGAGATATGCTAGCTTAGTTCTCTTACTCTGATTACCTTTGTCACTATTTCAGTATTCACATGGAAAGAGAATAAAATTCCACTTTTAGGTAGTTATGCAAACAAAATTGATTGATCAATTAAATAATAAAATATTCATCTGAATATGTTCATCCAATGAACAGAAGAGGGAAACACTGCATGGTTCAGAATCAGGAAAGGAGTGCATCAGGGTTGCATCCTGTCCCATGCCTTCTCAATCTATATGCAAAACACATCATTCAGGAGGCTGGACTTTATGAGGAGGAATGTGGCAGGATTGGAGGAAGACTCATCAACAACCTGCATTATGGAGATGACACACCTTACTTGCTGAAACGGAGGAGGAACTGAAGCATTTGCTGAGGAAGGTCAAAGACTGCATTCTCCAATATGGATTGAAGCTCATCCAGAAAACAAAAAAGCAAAGATTCTCCCCATTGGGTCACTTGGCAGCACTGTGATAAATGGAGAAGAAATTGAAATGTTAACCATTTCAGCTTGCTCAGGTCCACGATCAAAACTCTTGGTACCAGTAGTCAGGAAATCAAAAGATAAATTGCTTTAGGAAAATCTGCTGTCAGGTATCTCTCCAGAGTGCTGTAGACCAATGATGTCAGTGCACCTGATCCAGGTCATGGTCTTCACACTTACTTGCTAAGCATCAGAGAGCTGGACAGTGACCAAAGATGACAAAAGAATTGATCCTTTGAGTTGTGGTGCTGGAGAAGAGTATTGAACATACCATGGACTGCCAAGAAAACAAACAGGTCTATCCTGGTGAAGGTGAAATCCAGGCTGCTCCCTGGAGGCAAGAATTTTGAAGCTCCACCTCACATATTTTGGGCATGTTGCCAGGAGGGACCAACCCTTGGAGAAGGATGTCATACTTAAAAGGGTGGAAGGAAGATGCAGGAGAGGAAGGCCATGGATGAGATGGATTGACACAGTAGTTGGGGTAATGGGGGCTGAGGTGTCAGGGACAGTATGATTGGCTCAGGATGGGGCAGGGTCCAGGGCTGTTGTGCAGAGTCAGCGTTGCTATGAGTTGCAGTTGACTTACCAGCACGTAACAACAACAACTCATCAACAAAAGTGAATGAACTGTTGCAACAAGAATAACATGGATGAGTCTCATAAAACATTGAGATATTAAAGGAAAGAAACCAAGAAAATGGCAATATTAATAACTAAAGTACACTGTTCTGTTTATTGGAAGTTCAAGAAAAGACCTAGATAACTTAGGCTTCTAGAAGTTCAGGAGGCAAGAAGAAGCTATCTGGGTCTTGGAGCTGTTCCATTTCTTGGCTCAGGTGATGGTTATATATGTGTGTTCGTTTTGTGATCACTTAATGAGTGGACCCTTTTTTACTATGTATGTTAGAGTTTTGTTTTTTTTAAAAAAAGAGGAAAAACAAAGGAATGGCTATTTGAAAATGCTAAATGTTTATTCGAATAACTAGATGATTCTAGAAAACACTATTCCTATTGGGTGTCTCCTGGCTGTCCTGACACCCCTCCTTTGAGATCTCTCCATGTGGCCTCCTCCTCTGGGTTTCCCCACTTTTAAGCCCTCACAAGACTCCATCCCCCTACTGTCCAGGGCACAATGGCTGACAGAGCCCAATCCCAATGCAGAGGAGCTGTTCAGGATGGTGGGCGAAATCTTCATCTACTGGTCCAAGTCTCACGTGAGTCAGGCTCTCATTTCCCCTTCTCTCCACAACTCAAGAAACTACTTCCTACAGATGTCCCCACCACACCCTACCTGACCCCAGTCCTTCCTCCCCCACCAGAATTTTAAGCGTGAGGAGCAGAACTTTGTGGTCCAGAATGAGATCAATAACATGTCATTTTTGACTGCGGACAACAAGAGCAAGATGGCCAAGGTGGGTGTGTTGTGCTGGGAGGAGGACTTGGCAGGGCAGGTGGGAGAACCCTCCAGGGCTTCCTCTCAGCTCCTCCCTCTCCCAGCCAGCCCTGTTCTCCTCACATTCCCCGCAGCCCTTAGAGCAGCCCCTCCTCCGTCCTCCCATGCTGTCTTCCTTCCCCTATTTTCCTCCTTCCCTGTGTCTTCTTCCCATCACCCTCCTCTCCATCGCCTTCCTCATCTTTCTTCTTCCTCCTCCTCATCTTTTCTCCCCTTCCCCACATCCCCCACCTCTCCCTTCTCATCTTCTATCACCCATCTCCCTTTTTCTCCCCCTTCCCCCTTCCCTTTCCTGCTCACTCCTCCTTCCCTGTAGCCTCCTCTGCCCTCTCCTGCTTCTTTCCGCACCTTCCCTTTGTTACTCCATTTCCCGCTGTTCTTTCCATCCCCTGTCCTTCTCAGAATTTCCCTCCTCAGGTCTAAAAGAACAGCCCCTCCTCCCCTCCAGGTCTGGAAATTGCCCAGCCAGGGGATGCAGTGGTGGGGATTTGGCAGGGGACTTGGGTGCAACAGCTTGGAGTTGGGTTTGGGGTTCTTTGAGGGGCTGGGGTAATTCTTATCTCTGTTTGCAATCCGGTGAAGCAGGCAGGAGATGTACAGGTCAGCCCCACATCTGGAAACTTCGGCATGGCTCTTGGCTCCTTTTCTCCTTTCCCCAGACTCAGCATCCCCCCCCAAACAGCCCACCCTATCCCCCACCCATTGTCCTTGGCTCCTACCCCACCCTGACACCCCCACATCCATCCCTTCGCCTTCCCCAGCCATTCCCCTCCCAACTCTCAGCTTTTGGCAACTGGACTTTTTTTTTAAAAACTCTTGTTAAAAAAAAAATCTCAGCTTTGCGGAAGCATCCTGGGCCAGGGTCCAGTTGGATGTGGGTGGGTAGGAACGTGCATGACAGGGAGGCAGCACTCTTGCCATGCAGAGGATGGCTTTGTCTTGAGAATCAGACCGACTTGGGTTAGAATCCTGGCTCTGGTGGGAATTACCTGTGTTGGCCCATTTCATACCCATTTGAGCCTCTGCCAGCATCTGCCAGTGGCCTTGAGCTCCAAGGCTCCACGAGGACTCTGAGATACTGCATGCGGCCCATGCTTGATCTGTGAGCCCGTGTGGATGTGGATGTGGCTCTGGCCAAAGCTTGGCACTGGGGGCTTCCTCTCACTAGCATGACTCGGGGGGCACCAAGGATCTGGAGCACAGCTCTGGGCCTATGGGCATGTGTGTCCACCTCTAGGTCTTTCTGGATCTCTCTTGCATCTTCTATCTCCATCTCCTTGTCCACTTCTCATTATGTCTTGTTTTCTTCCCACATCTCTTGTTTCTTGTGACTCTATGATTCTGCATCATTATCTTAGTCTTGGGATATGAAGTGTGTGTGAGTGCATGTTGTAGGGGATGGGAGGAAGCATACTGGACTTCCTTGGGAGATTCTGGGAGAGGGTTGCCAGCAGTGGAAATAGGTCCAGAGGACACAGAAGTCTCATCAAAAGGTTGGAGATAGAAGTTGGGATTCTGGGATAGGACCTTGAACCAGGGAGGGTATAGGGTCAGGAATTAAGGTCTAAGGTGACAGTCAGACAGGTATGGGGTAGAAAATGAGGTGGACTTGGAGGGGAAATGGTGCCTAGTATCCAGGCTGTATTTTGGGGCCTGGGGCTGGGCTTAGGCATGGGGTCGAGCTGAGGCAGGGGGCTGGGCTGGCACCCAGGCTCCCACTGAGCTTTGTGTCCCTACAGTCAGGTGGCTCAGACCAGGAACGCACCAAGAAGAAGCGACGGGGAGATCGGTACTCGGTGCAGACGTCACTGATTGTAGCCACACTTAAGAAGATGCTGCCCATTGGCCTAAACATGTGTGCACCCACAGACCAGGAACTCATCACATTGGCCAAGACCCGCTACGCCCTGGTGCTTGTCTAGACCCATGGGATCCTTCTGAGTCCCCAGGACCTCACTGAGTCCCCTGAGAGCCTAGGACCTTCCCTTGGGCCCTGCAGAGTCCTCCCCTAAACAGTGATGTCTGGAGCTTACAACTAAAATATTGACCCCACTGACATCACTTCAAGATCCCTAAGATCTAGGAACCCTAACTCAGACTCCACTGTGACACCAGAAATGCCACTAAGACCCTTAGATCCTACTGCATACTGTAGGACCCACTACATTCCCTACGACCCGACGACCTTATTCCTAGTACCGCCCTGAGCTTTCAATATTTCCACTGCCACTTTTCTCCCCATGCCATTCTCCCCAGACTATGCCCAACCTACCAAGGCCCTAAAAATCCCGCCTCAAGGTACCACTGAGCCTGCTACTGGGACCTCAAAATCCCTTTGAGACCCACCAAAGCCTCTAATGAGCCCATTGGCCCTTCCATGGCCTACTGGAACTCAGCTTTAGCCTAAGACCTTATTGACCATCCTAACCACTGACTTACTGGATCCCTGTGTCTCCAATTAGCCCCCCAGGACCCTAATGATTTCTTCCGAGTTACCATGAGAAACCTCCTAGATCTCTCAGATGTCCTAGCAATCAATTGACCCCTCCTCTAGATCCCTCTTAAGATCCCTGTGGGATCCCCAGGAGGTCTCCCAGAATCCCACTTACTGCTGTATCAGCAAAAACTCCCACCTACATACATCTTTTCCGCTTTGGGACTCTAAGGAGAGCTTTCCAAAGTTTATCCCTAGATTCCTAGAGTCTGCTCCTCCAGGGCGTTACCACCTACTGTTCTCACTTATCCTTACTACCTACTAACTTCCCTGGGCCCTGAAGACCACTAACAATTTAGGTTTCCCCAGGAACCTCTTTCCCAGGATTCCAAACGCCTTTTCCCTCATTTGCTCAAGCTCCTTCTAGTTGAGTCCCCCAGGACCCCCAAGAACCCTCCAGGGTTCCACTCACCCCCACACACACCTCAATACTTGAGGACCCCTTTCTTAAGACCCTAAAGAACTCACATTCTGGTCCCTCCTTTGGCATCTCTGTAGCGCTCACCAGTCGCATGGTTGACCTTGATCTTCTGGTATCCTGGACTGACCTTGCCAGCTCCCTTATAACTCTTTTCATCTTCAAAATCTTCCTACTCATCTCCCACCCACTTTCACACCTATACTGACCTTGATAATCCCCTCTTTCATCTTATTTGACCTTTGATGGGATCATCCTATTACCTTCCACCCCTTCCCACACCTGCAAGAACCCCTCAAATTCTCTGTCTCTTCAAAGTGCCTCCCAGCTCCTCCAGCCCCTTCTAGGATGCCTATCTGAACGTTCAACTGTCAGTTTCTCTCAGACCCTCTCTGCACAAACCTCCCTCTAGGCCCTGGGTGGTGGGCTAGAAGGGAAGGGTTATGGGTCAAGGAGGGCTTCTGGTCCCCCAGAGTGACCCAGCCTGGTTATATCTCCCTAGAAAGACACTGATGAGGAGGTCCGGGAGTATCTGCACAACAATCTTCACCTTCAGGGAAAGGTATGTCTTTTGCCTGCAGCAGAAAGGGGATTGCTGAAATAATAACAGCCACCAGTGTGTGAGCACTTACCATGTACCAGACATCCAAAGAAGCACCTTAATGTGCACTGTCCAGGGAAAACTCCATAATGCTGAGAGGTAGATGGACAAGCTACTTTTGTAGGGGGTTGTCCCCTCAGAGGAGCCCCAAAAGAGGGACCTGACAGAGGAGGCACTCCACACCGTCTGTTCTTCCTCCTTGCAGGTGGAAGGCTCCCCTTCTCTACGCTGGCAGATGGCTCTGTACCGGGGTGTCCCGGGCCGAGAGGAGGACACGGATGACCCAGAGAAAATCGTGCGTAGAGTCCAGGAAGTGTCCGCAGTGCTCTACCATCTGGAGCAGGTGGGTGGAGCTAGAGGATTCATAATGTGGAGTGGTCCAAGCTGGCATGGGGGCGACTTGACTCTCGGGGCCAGTCCTGGGTGAAGGAATGGACCTTGGGACTTTGGGTCCTATGGGTTGGGTCAGAGGGATGGGACTTGGGTTTGCAGATAGGGCCTGGGTGGAACCTTAAGTCAAACCTGAAAATGGGTGGGGGCGGGGCCCAGAGTAACACCTTGAACTTGTGACAGGGGCGATTGTACCTCCAGCCTGGAGGTGGAGTGTAGGGTAGACCCTTACAGCTAATTGAACCAATGGAACCCTTTGGTTCTGTAAGTAGAACCTGGGTTTGGACCTGGGTACAGATGGACGGTTTCACCGGAGGGTGGGAATGAGACTCAGACCAAGGACAGGGTCGAGGGACCTGACAGAATGCCCGCCCCCCTAGACGGAGCATCCTTACAAATCCAAGAAGGCCGTGTGGCACAAGCTCCTGTCCAAGCAACGCCGGCGGGCCGTGGTAGCCTGTTTCCGCATGACTCCCCTGTACAACCTGCCCACGTAAGGCGCCTGGGGCGGAGAGGAGCCAGCCGGAGTGGTGGAGAAAGGGTGGCATGGAGGTGGAAGGAGGGAGTGCCAGCGCACTGGGGTCTTGGGGCCTTGCTAAGGGAGGTAGATACATGAGAGGGCCTGGAGCGGTACCCCTCAGTGACCTTCCGCTGCAGGCACCGAGCATGCAACATGTTCCTGGAGAGTTATAAGGCCGCGTGGATCCTGACTGAGGATCACAGCTTTGAGGACCGCATGATAGACGACCTTTCAGTGAGCTGGAGCCTGCGCTGGGGCTGGGGGAGGGCTGGGCCCTGTTTTGGACTAGGCTGTCCTCATCACCGGATGGCTCCCCTCACGTCGTTGTCGTTGTTAGCTACCAACAAACAGGGGACCATCACATCGAGGTCTTGTGAAATGGGGCATAGCTCCGGGTGGGGCCCAAGCAAGGGAGGGGGCAGGATGGAGAAAAAAAACACTCAGCCCAGTGGGATAGAGAAGGGTAAATGAAAGCATCTCCAGAAACCCTCCCACATGAACTACCTCCACCCCCAGAAAGCTGGGGAGCAAGAGGAAGAGGAAGAAGAGGAGGAGGAAAAGAAGCCAGATCCCCTGCACCAATTGGTCCTCCACTTCAGCAGAACGGCTTTGACTGAAAAGAGGTAAAGACCTTGCCCTTGGCATCAGAGATGTCCCCGGGGTCCTTCTTGAGACACTACACACAGACACACACATACAGCCACACACACACACACATTCACGGCAATCTCCTTGTGCCTCAGGAAAAACCATTTGTGTCCAGGGGAAGCCCCACAGCTGATCTTTTCATCACATTTACAGGCAGGGACAGGCATGATGCCGGCCATGTACACTATGCCAGGGGCCTTGTGGGAGGGTCCCATCCCTGTTGGTGTGCGTTCACTTCAGGATTTCCTGACAGCAAGTGTCCTGCTCAGTGTATTATAACACTGTTTCCAACAGATGCATCTGAGGAAGGGGAGCCTTTTATCTAATCCACAAAAAGGCTTCCCAGGACCACCATATGAGCTAGCGATGGTCTTGGGAATAAAGAATAGTGTGATAGGATGCTCCTTTTGATAGTAATCACAGACATTTATCAGGTGATTCCTATGTGTCAGGCACCATGCTAAGCACTTGACATAGATGTAGTCATTCCATATCCACAGTGTGAAATAGGTATTATTATTATTAGCTCATTTTTTTCCTCATAGCATTGATATTTTTTATTCATTGTTGCACATTTTCTTCCCCCCTCCCTTCATCTAACCCACCCTGCAATGCATCCCTTGTTCCAGATTGTTGTCATACATATAATCATATATTCCTTTTGGGCAGTTCTTCCCTTCATCAGTTCTACTGCAGTGTTCATTATCTATCCACTCTTCTCCCATTCTCTCGCCAACACCCTCACCCCAGCTGCCCCGTTTTACAACAGCAGTGTTATGCAGTATTTGTTCTTTTGTGACAGAGAATTTCACTCACTATAATGTCCTCCAGGCTCCCCCATGTTGTGTAATGTTTTACGAGTTCATTGTTGTTCATTGCTGTATAAATTGCCATTGTGTGAATGTACAATAGATTTTTCTATGTTTATGGGCTTTTGGCACATTCTTGTGGATGAAGAAATTGAGGCACAGGAATTTCCCCCTCCCCCGCTCACATAGCATGGAGTTAGGACGTAGCTTAGAGCCAGTGCAATGGTACAACACTGGCAAAGACACAAACTCCTTCTAGCTTTCTGTTATACCCTTCTTAGCTTTTGTCTTAATGGGTGTTGCCTCCTCACCCCAAGGTGGATGCTGTACTTCCAAGTCTCATACCCACCTGCCAGACAGAAAGACAGGAAAAGGCTTTTTCTTTGTTCCTTTCCAAGGAGCCCTATGGAGCCTGGGTGGTATAGAGGGTTACGTGTTGGGCTGCTAACTGAAGGGTCCTTGGCTTGGAACCACCAGCTGCTCCATGAGAAAAAGAAGTCTGTCTGCTCTCATAAAAATATATGGCCTGGGGAACCCCATGGAGGGGTCTCATGAGTCAGGGTCAGTCAACTTGATGGCAGTGGGTTTAGTTCTTAAGGGTCCTTGGAAGTGCAGGTGTGGATTAAGCTTTGGGTTGCTAACTAGAGGGTTTGTGATTTGGACCCATATGCTGAACCACAGGAAAGAGATGAGGCAGTCTGCTCCTGTAGAGACTCACAGCCTTGGAAACCCTCGGGGGCTGTTATACTCTGTCTTATAAGATCTCTATGAGCCAGAATCAACTCAACAGCAGTGGGTTTACACAACACCAAAATATTTTTATTGAGAGGGAAAGTTCTCCCTAGTGGACTTCTGAAAGGTGAGTGTTTTACTTTCCATCCTCTGTAAGAGAACATATTCTAGTGGTTGAAAGCACTGACTGGAATTATCCAGGTGTGAATCCCTTCTCACAAGTAATGTGATCTTGGCCAAGAAGACTCTGCTCCTTAGTTTCCTCATCTGTAAAAGGGGTCTAGTAAGCTACACTGCAATCCAAAACACACAGTTCAAATCCACCAGCTGTTCCATGGGAGAAGGATGGGCAGTCTCCTCTCATGTGATTTACTACCTCTGAAAACCTACTGGAGGGTCAGCTATGGGTTGGTTCCAACACAACAATAGGATTAGTAGGGAGCTCTTGTGGTTGAGTCCATAGAGCGGGGCTGCTGACTCAAAGGCTTCGTAACAGCTCTATGGGAGAGAAAAGATAGGCAGTTTCCTCCTGTGTGATTTAAAGCTGAAGCCCAGTGGAGGATCAGGTACAAATCGATTTAGATTTGTCAGCAAAGAGGATTATGATGATTAATTTGTTAATATATGTTAAACACTTAGAATAGGGTATTAACATAAGGTGCATACTCCACTCAGTAGGTGTTACTCAGATATTGCTATTGTGTCACTCTTACTCCCAACAACCCTCCGTCAGGTTTCACCCATTTTTCTCCCTTAGCAAAGCTGATAGGTTTGAACTACTGACCTTTCAGATTTCAGCCAGGGCTCTTTCAATAAGCATTCCAAAACTGAAACTCAAACGCATTACTGTCAACTTTGAGCTGATCCCTCCAGTGGGTTTTCTGACGTGAAATTGCACAGGAGAAGACTGCCCAACTTTCTCCTTCAGAGTCACTGGTGGATCTGAATCACCAGGGATAAAAAGCTCAGAAAGTAGGACAGTGTAGGAGGATAAATGGAAACTAGATTCACAGGGAAGAAGTGGGAAGTGCATGGTCACAACGTTGGTGGTATAATTAATGTCATATGACAATGTACAAATGGTAGAACAGAAAACCAACTTGCTTCATAAAAGCTGGTCCTCAAATCACCAAGTTATGTATTATATAATTTTATATTATTATATATAATGTATATTACATATATAAAAATATCATAAAGCATCTTCCTAGGCACTCCAGAATAGTCCATTACACCATTTCAACAACAAAGTACAAAGAGAACACCTTTATTAGCAGCCCCAGCAAAACCTCCAGTGTACACAACCATCTCTTGACTGTTAATGTGACCAAGCAGATAGAAAATGCTATTGATGAGGCCTTCCTCACATGCCCTCCCTGGCAATGGACCAGGCATTTTACCCACCTGATCCACACAATCAGGAAGTGGAGGGATAACTCACCAAAGGAACACCAGCAGTTGTTAGAAGATGGAGATCTTGACTGTCCTGGTGCTTACTTCCTCAGCAAACTGGATGAAGATTACCTGTATATGGCGTATGCTGACATTATGGCAAAGGTGAGACCCTGTCCACCCAGGCCAGATTCCCTTCTCCTCAGAGCTGATGTCCACTGACCAAAGGTGGACTGAGATAGCTCCTTTGTTCACCATATCCCTAATACCATTTCCAGAGCTGCCACCTGGAGGAGACAGAGGAGAACGTGGAAGCTGAAGAAGAGGTGGAAGTTTCCTTTGAGGTAGGTAGGACCAGAGACACTGAAGCAAAGAGATGAGGGGCCCTGACTTCAGCGATCTACCATTTAGTTAAAGTACAAGTTCACAGAGCAATGCTCGGGCTCAAGCCTTGTACAGAGCAAGGTTGGGGACATAGCCGTGACACCAGTCAGTCCGCTGGGGAGCCAGACTGTGACAGAACAGAGTGCACATGGTGGTGCGAGAGGCACAAATAGAGAGGTCAGCACTGCGGTGGAGATACCCAGACAATCAACTGACCCAGCCTGAGACACAGGTGTCATGAAGGGCTTTTCACAGGAGGAGTTGTCTGAGCAGATGAATGTAAAGGGTGTGACAGTTGCCAGAAGGGGGAACAGCAAATGTCAAGGCTTGGCAGTGAGAGAGAGCTAAATACCTGCCCATCCATTCATTCATTAAAGCAGCCAGCAAGCATTTGTTTCAAAGGTTCTTAACCCTTTTTTGTGCTCTTTGGAAGCTGGTGAAGCCTTTCTCAGAATCATATTTTTAAATGAATGAGATAAATTCATAGGAAGCAGACAAAACTAGGATATGGTAATATTTAACAAAATATATTTTAAAAAATTATTCAAAACAACTATGAGATACCATCTCACACCAGTAAGAATAGCAAAATTTAACAGAACAGCAAGCAACAAATGCTGGCAAGGTTGTGTAGAAACTGGAACCCATATTCACTGTTGGTGGGAGTGTAAAATGGTGCAACCACTGTGGAAGGTGGTGTGGCGCTTTCTCAGAAAGTTGCAAACAGAGATATCATTTGACCCAGCAATTCCACTACTGGGAATATACCCCAAAGAGACCATAACTGACATCCAAGCAGATATATGCACACCCATGTTTATCATGGCTTTGCTCACAATAGCAAGGAATTGGAAACAACCTAAGTGCCCATCAACAAATGAATGGATAGAGAAGCTATGGTATATTCTCACAATAGAATACTACGCTGCATTGTAAAACAAGGAACTCATGAAATATTTATTATTAAAAATGGTGACCCTGGAGGACATTATGCTGGGTGAGATATCTCAGTCACAAAAGGACCATTACTACATGGTGCCACTGTTGTAAAACAGGACTGACTTCGGGTTTGGGGAGAGACTGAGAAAGATGGGTTCAGTAATGTATACTGCATTGAAACAGATGAGGGGGAAAACTGCTTAAAATGGATATGTGATTAGATATTATTGTCATGACAGGAGTCCAGAGCAAAGGCTGCATAGTGGAGTGGACCTGGGGGGAGGGATTGTAAAACAATGAAAGAATTTTCCTTTTAACTTTTCAAAGAAAAGAGTGTACTTGGGGGAGGGGTGGGCAGGGAGAAAAGTGCAACAGTGAATGAATGGAAACCCAAAGTCTCTGTAAATTTTCATTAAATTAATAATAATAATAAATAGAATGTGGAAAGCAAAAAAAATTATTGATAAATGATTATATGATGTACTTTTAAAATCCATTATATAACAAGATCTTGCAGTTGATCCAATATTTTACTATCGTGAAGAAGTAGCAATGAACAAAATGGTATTCCCAAATATCTGTACCAAGGATGTGATCTGAGAACAGCTGTGATTCTTATTTGGTGGGAAAGATCACAGAATCTGCTAATATTGTATGATTTATAGCCTCATAGGGTCACTGTGAGTCATAGTCAACTCACTGGCACCTAACAACAACGTTGGTCATAATGGAGGGTGATGCTACACTTCAGTTAGAGAGTAGTCAGCCCAGAAACCTAAGTTCACACATCACCTGAATTTGTCCAATGACACATGAAGGGGAGAGTGTGGGCTTGAGGAAAGATCTCTGATTTTACGGCTCATAAAAAATCATGGATAACATTTCCTAATATATGAGAATTCCAGAATTTTTTTTACAGATGACTTTAAAATTATTATTATTAATTTGAGAATTCCAGAATTCTTAATTGTACTCCCACAAAACCTGCACATAAGCCAAGAGACAGTTAATCAAACAGAACAAGGGGATCCTGTGTGGTTTAAAGTCAGGAAACATGTGTGTCAGGGTTGTGTCCTTCCTTGTACTCTATTTACTTATTCAATCTGTGTGCTGAGCAAGTAGCTGACAGGAGAATATGGATGGCACCAGATTTGGAGGAAGACTAATCTGACATCCAGATGACACAACCTTCTGCTTGATTAACTTGAAGATTATTTGAAACACTTACTGATGAAACTCAAAGACCACAGCCTTAAATAACAAACAACTACAGCCTTTAGTATGGATTGTTGTTATTTGGTGCCATCAGGTCTAATATGACTCATAGCAACCCTATGAACAACATGTCCTATTTTCACATTCTTCTGACACATTTGAACCCATTGCTGCAGTCTTTGTCAATCCACCTGGTTGCACCACAACAAGATAAAGGTAAATAATCCAATAGAAAAATGGGCACAGGATATGAACAGGCACTTCACCGAAGACGACATTCAGATGGCTAACAAACACATGAAGAAATGCTCAAAATCCCTAGCCCTAAGAGAGATGCAAATTAAAACAACTATGAGATATCATTTCACCCCAGTCAAAATAGCAAAATTTAACAGAACAGCAAGCAACAAATGCTGGCGAGGTTGTGGAGAAACTGGAACCCTGATTCACTGTTGGTGGGAGTGTAAAATGGTGCAACCCCTGTGGAAAGCAGTATGGCGCTTTCTCAAAAAGTTGCAAATAGAGATACCATTTGACCCAGCAATTCCACTACTGGGAATATACCCTGAAGAGACCATAGCTGACATCCAAGCAGATATATGCACACCCATGTTCATTGCAGCTTTGTTCACAATAGCAAGGAGTTGGAAACAACCTAAGTGCCCATCAACAAACGAATGGCTAGAGAAGCTGTGGTATATTCGCACAATGGAATACTATGCTGCATTAAAAAACAAGGAACTCATGCAATATTATTCAAAATGGTTGACTCTGGAGAACATTATGCTGAGTGAAATATCCCAGTCACAAAAGGACAAATATTACATGATGCCACTGTTGTAGAATGGGACTGTCCTTGGGGTTAGGGAGACACTGAGTAAGATGGGTTCAATAATGTATACTGCACTGAAGCAGAGGAGGGAGAGAACCGTCTAAAAGATAGATGTAACTGGGTATTACTGTCATCACAGGAGACTAGAGCGAGGGCTGCATGGTGGAGGGGACCTGGGGGAGGGTTTGTAAAACAATGAAAGAATCTTTTCTTTTACTTTTCCATAATTTTTGGACTCATGTACTTATAACTTGTTAGTCAGATTTGTGTCTTCTAGGTTGCAACACCCCCATGATACATCTTGAAGGATATGTACATGTACAGCCAAGCACAATCAATAAGAGTGCATCTGAATTCCAAAATCAATCTCCATAATAGTCTATGTGTTTCCTACTGCCAAAGGGGCCCTTTAGAGTAGTGAGAGAAGATCTTCACCCTGAAACCCACAGCGTCCCTTTTCAGCAGGAAGTAGCTAAGAGAATACGCCGTCCCCTTTTCCTTATGACTCAGGGTGAAGTCTCTCTCAGGGAGGAGTGATAGGGAATGGCAAAGGATACACTGACAAAGAAGATTAATCAGAACTGGCTTTGACAAGCACTGTGGCATTTGGACAAGAACAAACTGGGAGGAGGGTAGAGAGAATAGTGCAACAATGAATGAGTGGAAGCCCAAAATCTCTGTAAATGTTTATGAAAATTAATAAAATATAATTATAGAAAAAAAAATCCACCTGGTTGAGGGTCTTCTCTTTAGCTATCCCTCTACCTGTCCAAGCATAATGTCACTCTCCAAGGAATGTCCTCTCCTAGCAACATGCCCTAAGTATGTGAGATGAAGCTTCATCATCTTCGCTTCCAAGGAACAACACAAAGCAAACAAAAATCCTCACAACTGGATCAATAGGCAACATCATGATGGAGAAAAGGTTGATATTACCAAGAATTTAATTTTAAAGTCCATAATCAATGCTCATGGTAGCATCAATCATGGAATTAAGCAACATAATACACTAGACAAATCTGCTGCAAAGGACCTCTTTAAAGTATAAGAGGAAGGATGTCACTTGAGGACTAATGTGTACTAGACTCAGCAATAGTATTTTCAGTTGTCTCTTTTCTTTTTTAAAAAATGCATATTCCTTGAATGACACAGCGATCTTTTGCCTATTTGCTGACCTGAACAACTTGGTGTTGCTGTGATGCTGAACTCTTCCACAGTCTTGTCAAATACCATAATGTTTACCCATTGTGTACAGTGTTTGGATGAGCTTCCAGATTGATTTATGCTGGGAAGCAGGAGTGGCATCCACTTCCTAAAACTAAATGTCTGTGAAAACTCTGCAAACTCTCTGAACTCTTTAAATGTATAAAAATTATGGTACTTAGACTCGAAGGCAGTGGCGGCAGGAGCCTCTTGCGGACCCTGGAGCAGCACAGCGATGAGCAGGAAACACGCCAGAGAGAAAAAGTCCAGCAAGTGCATGGTGGAAGGTCTGGTGGCCTAGTGGCAAGAAGCTGCACTGCAATCATGGAGGCATGCAGTTTGAGACAACCAGCTCCTCTGTGGAAGAAGGAAGGGCTATCTCCTCCCTTGCAATAACTGCCTCTGAAAACCCACTGGAGGGTCAGCTATGGGTTGATTCCAATTTGATGGTCAGATGTCATCCCCACTGCACTGAGAGAAGTTAACACATTCCTGACTACTTACGCCAAATCTTGGGATACTATCCATAGTTTCTGTAGTCTACATAAGTCTATGCACATTGATCACCTGGACACTCCTTGGATCCTGAAACTAGGAAACAAACTAGAATGACTCTATACTTAATCTACTGCCTGGACAGCCTTTTTCTCCAGCTACCAAAAGCTGAGTCTTCACAAGTTAAGACTCCAATCCTATCAGATCCTACTGTTCATTGTTCCCTGTGATTTTGTTAATCCTCTAGATGGTTCACAAAATTCAGCTTAACTATTCATGTAGATGGGCATTCTCCTCCTTTGAAGTTTACTGCCTCTGAAAACTCACTAGAATGTCAATGATGGTTCTGACTTTATAGTAGTACTTAACAAAGACAGCATTTACCCATAATGAGCACTGGTGACATCTGTAGAGTGTTGTACTGCTATCAGAAAGGCTGTGAATTAACCAAAACTCAATGGAGGGTGGCTATGAGTTGGAATGAACTCTGTGTGAGTTTTCTATCACCCTTATAGTTACCTAATCTAACCCACACTGGTGTTTCTTTTCCAGTCTTCAGTAAGATTTTATTTGCATGTGATATTAATGATATTGTTCAATATTTTACATACTCTGTTGCATCCATTTTTTTTGGTCTGGTCTGTTTTTGTTTAGTATTTTGGGTGTTTGGTTTGTGGTGGTGTGTGTGTGTGTGTGTGTGTGTGTGTGTGTGTGTGTTCCAATGGGAACAAATATGGATCTCTTCCATCAATTGGACAAAAGTAGCAATCTCCCAAATTTCTTGGCATAAACTAGAGAGGGTATCCAGGGTTGCATGCATCCATTTGTTGAAACATGTCCGTTGATATTCCATCAATTCCTGGAACTTTATTTTTTTTTATCAATCCTTAATACAGCTTGGACTTCTGTCTTTGTAAAAAAAAATTATGGTAGTTATAGAACAGAGTTCCGTACAGATATGTTAGTCATAGAACACAGTTTAGATCTTTGTGCAAAACCTACTCTCAGTTGTATTCGACTCGACGGCACTTAACCACTGCTAAGTGAAAGTAGTGCTGTTCTATCTGGAGGAACACCCTTCCACTTTGTACATCACTCTTTGTCAATGTGCAGTATGAAGTAACCTGGGTTTGCTGTGATGCTGAACTTTGTGCCATTGGGGTATCAAATACCAGAATGGCTTCCCAATGTGGACATTTGTTGGTAGAGCTCCCAGATATAAAACAGGTTTGGAAGCAGGATTGGCATCCCCTTCTTAAAACCACATGCCTCTGAAAAGTCTATGAACTTGGTGAAATGATGACAGTTATGGAAAGGTATTAGGTCTCTTGTTCATAGAGTCACTATGAGTCGCGTTCGACTCGACAGCAATCAAAACAACACATCATATGCATGTGAAAGTTGGACATAAGAAATCTGGAAAGTAAGGAAGACTGAAGAACTGATGTCTCTGAACTATAGTGTTGATAATGAATATTGAATACACCACAGTTAGCGAGAAGAACAAGCAAATCTTGGAAGTATAAGCATTGAAGCCAATCTCTGTACCATGCTTGGTAATGCGGAGGGTCATCGAAAAAGAGGAAGACCCACAGCAAAATGAACTGACACAGTGGCAGCAACAATGGGCTCAAAAAAAGAATGTGAGGACAGGGCAAGATTGGTAGTGCTTTCTTCTTTTGTAAATTGAGTCATCATGAGTTGAAACAGATTGACAGGGACCAACAGGCCTGGCCCTGTACTAGATTCCAGAGGGGACAAAGAATTCCAACCCCAGGGGGCAAGAGGAAGCTTACAGTTGATTGAAGGGATGAGTCAATCCCTGCAGTGGAGCCTAGGGGCAGGAATGAGGAACAAGGTGGTGAGGGTAAAGGCTTGGCCGGGCTAGTCTGACTCACTTCCCATGTGATGCCTCTTTACTCTAGGAGAAGGAGATGGAAAAGCAGAGGCTCCTGTACCAGCAGGCAAGGTTGCACAACCGAGGGGCTGCAGAGATGGTGCTGCAGATGATCAGTGCTTGCAAAGGTGCCCTTGCCACACGCATTTCCCTCTTTGGGCACCCCCTTTTCTACTCTCACCTCACCAGTTCACCCATTTCCTGTAGGCCCAGTGGGAACACCTTCCAACTTCTGCATGCCATGGTTTGCCCTTGTGTGTACACTCTGGCCTTGCATGCTTTCCCATCCTTCAGTCATTCCCTAACATATCTCGCCACGCATTCAATCACTCCCTTGCACATTCTTCCATCTATTCTCCATCTCCCAGGATGGCTCTTTTCTGGAGGGTGGGAAACACCATTCACAAATTGAATGGACTATCTTTTGCCACCATCCCGGTTCCCTACAGGAGAGACGGGATCTATGGTGTCTTCCACCCTGAAGCTGGGCATCTCCATCTTGAATGGAGGCAATGCAGAGGTGCAACAGGTAACAGAAGTGAAAGGTCTTGGAATGGGGTAGGGGTGGTGGAAATTTCTTGAGTGACTCTCAGATTCTCTTCCCCTCCCACTTCATCTGCAGAAGATGCTCGATTATCTGAAGGACAAGAAGGAAGTTGGCTTCTTCCAGAGTATCCAGGCGCTGATGCAAACATGCAGGTAGGTTCCAGCATGCCCCTTCCAGGTGTGGCACAATTGGTCTAGTATTTCCTCTACTCCTTTCTGCCCCACCATTTTCTGTTCTAGTTCTGCTCTTTTGGTTCACAGCACCAAGACCCACTCAGAGTGGTCCAAATAATAGGAATACATGTGGAATGAAAAGGGCAATAGAATGTCATGGAATTTAAGAATGAGAGTTACTTTTTGGATTCCAAATGGCTGGAACTGAAAGGTGGTTGAAGATTCAAGGGGAACTTGGCAGCAGGGAATGTGGGTTCTTTCTGTGACCCCTGTTCATTTGGGTCTGCCGCTGTCTCCCTGTTCTTTTCTCTAGTCAGTTGATTTGTTCTGTCCACTATAATGGTATTAGCTGCCCACAAATTAGTTGGCTGTGCACCACGGAACAAAACGACCAGACCATTGTGAGCCACAGGGTTTTTACTGGCTGATTTTTGGACCTCGGTCTTTCCTCCTTAGTAATTTTTAGTCTGGAAGTTCTGGTAAAACCTGTATAGCATGGTTGTTGTTAGTTGCCAGCAAGTCAAGTTCAACCCTCTGAACCTTGCCCTCCCCGTCCTTCACCATCCTCACCAACTCTGATAACCTCAAGCCCCCTGTTACTGTGTCAGTACATGCCATTGAGTGTTTTTCTATTCCCAGCAACATAGTTTCAGGCAAACTTTCACTGATGGGTGGGGGCTTCAAATGAGGTTCATTGGTCAGGATCAAACCAGAGTCTCCTGCATGGAAGGTGAGAATTGAACCACTCAACCACCACTGGCTGTTAACTTTTCCTAGACGATGGTTCTGCTATCTCATTATTTTGACTTGGTTCATCTTGGCCTTATCTTACTTTATAGCCACTACTCATTAATTCAGCCAGCTTCTCTTCTGCTGCCTCTTGATTCTGGCGGCTATAAAGCTTTATAGTAAACTATATATATATATAGCTATAAAGCTTTATAATAAACTATAAAGTTTACTGCGGCTCTCCAGCCTCCATGGTAGAAGCTGCAAAGTTCTGGAAGAGAGGGGAGCAGAGGCCACATCACCTACCTCTTACCTATCATCCTTTCTTCCCCTCAGCGTCCTCGATCTCAATGCTTTCGAGAGACAAAACAAGGCAGAGGGGCTGGGCATGGTGAAGGAGGATGGAACTGGTGAGACCTTCTCTTGGGCTTCCCTCCCCGCCCCTGGGACCTCCTCTTCCTCCAGGCTTCTCACTCACCGACCCCCACTGCACAAAGTTCACTTCTTTCAAGATGCCCCCTCCTCAAGAGCACCCCATTATTCCTTCCCTTGTAGCAGTCCCCACCCCCGGGGGGCAGGCCTTCCTGTCCCTACCCATTACATGACTTAGCCCTCCAAACCTTTGAGATTCCTGCCCCATTGCTGTTCTCTCATTAATGTCCCTAATCCGGGTTAATGAAGTCTCCTCTTTGCTGTGTTCTGATGTGTCTAACTTTCTACCCCAATCCTCACTCCTGCCTCCAACCTCCACCTGTCCAACTCTCTCCTGGGAATTGCCCTATCTTTCCCCTGCTTTTTACCCTCTCATCTTTCTTCTTCGCTAATCTACTTCCAATGTCTCTTCAATCTGGCTTTCTGTGGGTCTTTTCTCTCTGTGTCTGACTGTGTGACTGTGTGTTTTTCTATCTCTGGTCCTTTTGTCTCCCGTCCGTCTGTCTCTCTTTTTCCCCTCTTTGCTCCCGCTTCCTCCTCCCATCCTGTCGGCTGCCCCAGTCAACAATCGCCAGAACGGTAATTTCCCCAGCTCCTCCCTCTTGCTGCTGTGCTGCCGCCACTCCTGCCTTTCTGAGCCCTACCCACTCACTCTGGGGCTGAGGATCTGGGCGTGCCCGCAGAGAGAGGTAACCCTAAAATGGGTGTGCCAGGCCGCGGGGAAGCCTTGACGTCCCTGAGTCTAGATTCGGGCCATTAATAAACCGTAGTTTAAACAAACTTCTAGTGTCCCCTGATCCTTGGTTCCCCATCCTTAAAAAGGGAGCTTGAGAATTACAAAGATCTCTTGAATGATCTTGTATCTCCACGCCCAGATTGACAGTCCCAGGTGGGGCGACCCTCACTCCCTACTCCTTGCTCTCTGCACCACGTCCCTGGATTGCCCTGGCGTGGTCTATCAGGCCTTGGTTCCCATCCACCAACCGGACTGGGTGCCTCCATCATCCACTCTGATTGGTGTGCGTGCCTCTCTGCGCCTGTTCTGATTGGCCCATTCACTTTCTAGCTTTCTCCCACCCTCCCCAAAAGCTCACCTAATTGGCTCCTTTCAGATGCCTGTTCTGATTGGCCCGTATTGCTATGACTTCTTTGTTTCTCCCTGACGATTGACTGCTTTCATGGCATCTGAGCCAATTAGCTGGCTGTGGATCCATGCCTCTACCCAGCCTTGCCGCCAGCTTAGTGTGAAAGTGACCGCTCCCACCTCCATAATCTATTAATCACCTTGGCCCTGAGGGGGGCTGAGGGAGGTACCAGCTGCCTGATATCAGGGTGGGCAGACTCCCAGATGGCACACAAGTGGGGTGACATCATAGGGACACGGATATTGTCCAAAGACACTTGAGGCTCCATCTTCATGAATCAGGACCCTAGAGCTGTCCATCATCATGGACTCCAAGATCAAGACTCCTGACTTCATGAATGCTTGTGACCTTCACAGTGTCTTTGAAGTGGTGGCTGCTCCTCCTAGCGCCCCTATGCTTTTGTGCATGCGTGTACACTGTGCAAGTGTGTGTGCATGTGCACATGTGTGCTGTATCCTGGCCCATCTGATCCCACCTGGGCCCTGCTTCCTTCCACCTTCCAGGAGAAAAGGTCATGGCAGACGACGAATTCACCCAGGACTTGTTTCGCTTCTTGCAGCTGCTCTGCGAGGGGCACAACAATGGTGAGGGGAGAAACAAAGGGTTGGAGAGGTGGCTGAATGAATCTGTAATGGCTGCTTGAGTTCATCTCTTGACCCCTTATCACGGATGGTCTCACACCCACCCAGGCCTTACCCTTCTTCCTCTGCAGATCTTAACATTTTGCCTACCCAATCGTCTCCCATTTCTTGCTACACTTAAGCCCCTCCCATCTTCATCCAAATACCATGTTACCCTGGTGACATAGTATGTTATGTGTTGAGCTGCCAAAGGAATGGTTGGTGCTTCCAGTTCATCAGCTGCTCAACAGAACAAAGGGATTCTCTTCCTGTAAAGATTCACAGCTTCAGAAAGCTACCATGAGTCAGAACTGACTTCACAGCACTGAATTTGCTTTCTTTTTCCACCTCATTGGAAGATGCCCTGGTCAGAGCAGTCAGTGGCTGCTCAGTGTGTTGGCACTTTGAACTTTCCAGTGCTCCGTGGGAGAACAATACAACAGTTGGCTTCTATAAAGATTTACAGCTTTGGAAACCAAAGCCTATGGGCAGTTCTGTCTTACAAGATTGCAAAATCGGAATCAACTTGGTGTGATAGCTTTGGGGGACAATCTTCAAAGAAAGAAACTCTAATGGCATAGTCAGTAGATGTTCACCAGCAGCTCCACGGGGAAAAAAGATGGGCAGTCTCCACCCATGCTAATTTTTGGTCTTAGCAACCTGATGGAGGGTTGCTGTGAGTCTGAATCAACTCAACAACACTGGGTTTTCATTCAAAAGAGCCCTCCTTGGCAGTGCAATGATTAAGTGCTAGGCTGCTAACTGAAAGGTTGGTGGTTTGAGCCTACTAGCTGCTGTGCAGAAGAAAGATGTGGCCATCTATTTCCATAAAGACTACAACCTAAGGGCCCTTGTGAGTGAGAACCCACTCCATGGCAACGAGTTTAGTTCCGTTTTGGTTGATCTTCATTTGTTGTTGATTGATTGCTATTGACTAGAACACAATTCTAGTCGTGAACCTATGAACAAAAGACCTGAACCCTGTTCTATAACTTCTCTTAAGTTCATAGTTTCCAGAGGCATATTGTTTAGGAAGTGGATGCCACTCCTGCTTCATCAAACACTGTCAACCATGAGTAACCATTATGGCATTTGGCACACCAATGGCACAGTGTTCAGCATCACAGTAACTCTATGTTACCTCAGTACAACAATAGACGAATGTTCCTCTAAAATATAACACTAGGGCCCAACCAACTTTTAAATACAAAGGACCTCCACCAGATCCTGTTGACTCTAAACAAAAGGCTTAAATTAAAAAACAACCAAACAGTCCACACTGGACCCTCAACCAAAACAAGAGAGCCCACCATTCAGAGTCCAAGCACTTCACCTATCAGCCTCCAAACTGGAGACAAGGGCCCAGCCTTAAATACAAAGGCCCTTCACCAGGTCCTGTTACTGAATGCAAGGGGTTCTTTCCGTAGTCAATTGCCAATAAGACAGACAGATTGCAGTATCCATAAGCACTTTATTACAGATCTGGGAAGACAGTGACATCCCCTCAAAAATTGCCTCTTTGCCTGGGAGTGGTCATTAGGTTTTTAGACTAGGGTTAGATACTAACTTACTTAACAATACATTTTTGTTAGTAAAGTTACAGATTTTCCACATTTGAAAAGAACATTTCATATATAAGGACTAATAATTCAGAAAAGGCACATTTCCCTTCTTGGTAAACAGGCTGATTAAGATATAATTTATATATGACTGGAGAAACCCATTTCAAAGAGGTAAATGCTAATCTAACAAAGATGCATTTCCTCTCCTGGTAAATTAAACTATTTTACATGATTAAAGAAAGGAAACAAAGAGTTCTAAGACAAAGTAGTTTTGCCAGCTAGAGAAAACATGTGTCAGTTTTATAACTATAGAATTATAGTTTTATAACTGATACAGAATTCAGAGAATTCTAAATTTACTAATACCACTCCATCATTCCCCCCTTTTTTTATGTCATCTTACAAGACAAACATTCTGAGTTGATTCTTGGGGGAGTAGGACTTCCTTACAAAGAGATTGTCCATTTTTATTTGTGGATTCCCCATTTGGGAATAGGGGTACAGACTCTGGCTGCTTCATGCTGAACATGGTGCTGAGGTGAAGGGGAAGGTGAGCCCACTTTAACTCTTTACTGTTGGTCTTGAGTTGAAGCTGCATGCCTTCTTGTTCAGTTAGAATATACTGTCATGGCATCTTCTGCCCTCTGGACTGCACGATGTCTAGGGAATGCAGACATAAATAAGAAAAAATAACCCAGGAGATAAAAAGGGAGTGTTACTGAATGGTTGGTTTTTCTATTCACCCTTTTTTTCCACTTGACTTAACAAATATGTAATAATTTAGTAACATTCTAATACACAGGAACAGAATTTAATAGTTTCTATGACTTCCCTGGGTGACAGTTAAGATACTAGTATTTTTGTCAGTTATTGAACTTTTCTATTGTGATTAAAGACTCAAGTTCTGTTTTTATTTTCTCACTTCTTAAAGGTTAAAACAGTTACAAGTAACTATACTGATGTACTGTACCATATTTACTAGATTTTACTAATTTTAAGTTATATGAAATACTGTTTAACTTTTAAAACAAGCAAAGAAAATGAAGAGGGATGGAGCATTTTTTTAACTTGCAGGGTTGAGTCCAATGGGAGTGGCTGGCTGAATTTTGATATCCATCCACCTTCCCTTCCTTAGCTGGCAGTCTTATCTCTCGAACAGTACTCAGGGTCTGGAACAAAACTCAGGGTTCAAGTTACCTATAGGAAAGGGAACAACAAACCTAGAGAGAACAAACTTGTGAGTTACAAAGAAAAAGGGGTTTAGTTACTTACTGATGTACTAGAGGAGGAGATGGAGGAAAGTGGCTTAGATAAAGTTTCTCATAAACAATTTTATGGGCTAATTTAATCCTACTTCTGGTGCTACTTTAATTCAGAGCAAGGCTAAAGCAACCCCTGATTATACTAGAGATGTGTTTCTTGACAGGGATCAGTTGTTCACTTCATTTCCATTGTCACTTTGAAGGCTTTCAGAAACTCAATTTTTATTTTTTTACATCTTCAGATTATTTCTTATGATTTCCCAGGACTTGAATTAGATCTTGCCAGGCATGGCCTACGAGAAACTCCCACATGCATGTTCTGGGCTTTAAGAAGAAAAAATTACTAGTGCAGGTAGTTTTGTTTTAAAAGCAGATTATCTTATCTGGGCAGACATGCATAGAAAGAGTAATTTTTCTCCTTTCTGAGTAAAAAACTCCAGGGTTAGTGTTATATAGAAAAAGATTTGAGAACAAGAGAGAGAGAAATAAACTGGTCCTAAGAAATGAACAGGCCTTTATTGCATGGTCTGAGAGAGATGCCAAGTGACCTGACTGCATGTGGAAAGAGTCAAAATGGCACACAGGCAGCCAAGGGTGGCCTCTTTTTATAGCAAGTGGCATCCACTTCCTAAACAATATGCCTCCAGAAATTCTATAAACTTTGATAAATGTCGATAGTTATTGTAAGGTCATAAGGTCACAGACTCAAGAAAGGGACCAGAATATAGGAAAGCTTAAAGGCAGCTTTATTAATGGAGCTTCCAGGCAAGGTTCCTTGGTCTGGAAAGGGATGCCAAGGAAGTCATGCTTAGGGTGTATTCAGGGAGGTTTTCATAGCAGGCCCTTCCAGGAGGGGTCTAGGCCATTACATTCTTTTGATTCCCTATCACCTCTTGGCCTTTGTTTTGGCCCAACAGTTATAGAAAGGCTTCATGCCTTTTGTTCACTGGGTCGCTCATAAGTTCATACAGGACCCATAGGCTCCTAGGGTCATTCATAGGTTCATACAGGACTCATAATGATCCTATGAACAAAAGGCCTGAAGCCTTTCTATAACTATCCACATTGATCAAAGTTCATAGAGTTTCCAGAGGCATGGTGTTGAGGAAGTGAATGCCACTGTTAATCCAGAGTTGGTTGTGAATGAAACAGGGTAGTAGATAGTCTAGGGTGCATGTTCCTGTCCAGTTGGTTGACAGGCAGGAGTAGATTCTGTTTCTACAGAAGAGACCGCTTTCTGCTTTCAAACATCCCCAAAAGTCAACTCCAAAAAGAAGCTGAACCTGGGTTCTGCATTTTCTTCCCAATTATATGACCTGAAATATGCAGCTAAATATGCTAGAATTAGAGGTTGAAGAGATATATCTTTGGTGGAAAGTATTGGTTTCTCTAAGGTCAGTCTCTTTGTTGGGTGAAGTAGAAAGAGATGAATAGATAGGGCAGTTTGTAACAGCACACTGTGCCAATCTTCTTGTTGTTGTTGTTGTTATGTGCCGTCAAGTCGTTTGCGACTCATAGCGACCCTATGTACAACAGCCCTAAACCATGCTCTATCCCGTGCCAATCTCATTGCCTCTGACACACCCATCCCGATTACCCCAGTCACTGAATCAATCCACCTCATAAAGGGTCTTCCCCTCCTGCGCCTGTCCCTCCACTCTACCCAGCATAATATAATGTTCCTCTCTAAAGACCTGTCTCTCCTTACAACATGTCCAAAGTATGTCAGGCGAAGCCCCAGAATCCTTGCCTCCAAGGAGCAGCCTGGTTTAACCCTCTCTACAATGAATCTGTTTGTTTTCTTGGCAGTCCATGGTACATTCAATACTCTTCTCCAGCACCACAGCTCAAAGGCGTCAATTCTCCTTTTGTCCTCCCTAGTCATTGTCCAACTCTCTAATGCATAACAAGTGATTGCAAAAACTATGGCCTGTATCAGGCACACCTTAGTCTCCAAAGAGACACCATTGCTCTTGAGTAGTTTAGACAGGTCCCTAACCGCAGACTTTCCCATCGCAATATGTTCTTTGATTTCCTGGCTACTGGTGCCAAGAGTGTTGACTGTGGAGCCGAGCAAACTGAAGCTGTGAACACTCTCAATCTCTTCGCCATCCATCCGGATGCTACCGATTGGTCCGGT